TAAAGCGCTTCTGAAATGCAACTTTTGAAAATAAAATATTAATATTATTTTCTGTACATATGCATTGTTTTTGCCAGTCAGCGCTCAAGTCCAAAAAGTGTCCCGATGTTCCCAGCGGCCCGTCACGCTCATTCTCCCAGCATGCTCTAGTTCCCACACAGACCGAACGCTCGATTTGCTCCAGCAAACATTTGACAAATCTGAAGACGTTCACATGCACAAATCACGGCCACATGACCTGACGCTGCAGCCAAAAGTGAAAGTTGCATAAAACGTCATGCCACTAATTCTCATTCATGTCTGTTTTGAAGCTTAGAATTGCTTTCATTCTGAAAATGTAGATATATAAACATATCCTGTGTTTACATCATTGCAAACTGCATGCAAGATGTCTTTCTCGAAACCAAAACACTGTTTAAACCAGGTAGTGTGATCAAAATAATCATGACATGCAAAAGAAATTGAGCCAGAGTCTCATTCCTAGAGACAGATCATCCGATAAAATTAGATTTAAAGCAAAAACAAGCCCAGAAAAGTCAGATATACACCGTCGGGTTTTCGAAACGTTGCAAATCTTCAATATTTCACAGAATACTGGATTGTGATTGGTCAACGGTGTCCTTCTGTGCTCAAATACTTGTGTATAATGACGTTAGATAGTATTTATTATATATTTATACACAGTAAAAAAAAACGTTGGGTTGTGTTTTTTAACCCAACCATTGGGTTACACGTTATTTTTTTTTAAAAATTGTGGGTTATTTTTTAGAAATCGTTGGGTAATTTCCTCGTAATAACTCAGCTGTTGTGTTAATACGTACACTTGTGTATAAATACAACACAATTGTAAATGATGTATATTTGCATTAAATTCTAGACTCACTTATATTTAGTTGGTGATTTAAAAATATATTTGTTGAGACACATTTCTTTTATACAAATAAACACTCGTCATAAATAAAAAATAAATCATTTGGTTAAAATAACTCACAGTTGGAAAGGTGCTATATATATATCACCCCATAGTTGATGATGATGATGCATTTTTTTAAACCCATCAGGGCTCCAGACTGCGACCAAATGGTCGCATTTTGCGACCAAAATTTGAGAGTGTGCGACTGAATTTTACATCCAGTCGCACATGTGCGACCGGTAAATTTGCCACACGTTAAACGCATGGTAAGCGTGGAAGGGACGCGTCAATGAATCCGTGACAAGAATAGCGCGATTACACTTCTGTGGGAAGGAGACGGAGACAAATATCACAACCTGATGTGCGTCTGAGCAATAAGCGATCTATCTATGGAATGCCAAAGCTGACTAAATTAAAAATAAATAAATACATAAATAAATATACGAAGAAATGTAAAAAAGCAAAAATACATAAATAAATACATAAATAAATATACAAAGAAATGTAAAAAAGTGCATATAAATGAGTATTTATACTTTTATTTCCATATTTATGTATATAATTGTATTTTTCCACACATTTATTTATTTATACATTTATTCATTTATTTATTTCAACTTTTATTTATTTCCACATTTATTTCAGTATTTATGTTTTTATGTCTACATTTCTTTATTTTCACATTTATTTATTTCTATATTTATTTATTTCCACATTTCATCATTTCCACATTTATTTATTCCAACATTTCCTTCTCCGTATGTTAATGAGGGGGGCGTGTTTTAACTCAAGCCGGTATGTTTACAGAAGTCGTGCGATTTCATGTGTTGCGTGACGTCTCTGTGCCCAAGTAGCAGTGCTTCGCCTGTGCTTCCCCCTAATATAGTCCCAAGTCAATATCTGCCTAGGAAATCGCCGAGTGTTAATCTGGGTCGCTATTTGTACTCGTTGTGAATATGCAGGCCACAAGAAGTAATTACGTGGGTTTGTTTATTTTTTTTAACCACTTTTACTCAGGACATGCTAGCTGGCAACAAGGGAATCCATTCATTGTGCTAAGCTAAGCTAGCGCCGACACTGTCAAACTAAAACAATGCATGCACTGAGACAAAAATGAATTTGCACACATATCTAAATGTAGGAAAGAATGTGAATAAGCCATATTTCAAAAAACGGTGGAGTTTTCCTTTAAAGTCAGCATGAAACAGACGTATATCTGAGTGAAGCACTTCTGGAACAAGAACACATGTAAGCCAGGGCTTTATTTTGTCTGTCTCACTCTCACACACACACACGCACACACACACACACACACACATCATCATCATCATCATCAGAGATGCTGCAGTCTGACCTCTCAGGATCGAGATGTTACGGCTCGTTATTCAACACACATTAGATCTCTCACACACACAATCCATCGCCAGATCGATCTCTCAGTGCTTTCAACACAGTGACTTGCATTTTTAATGGACACTGCTATAATTCTCCAACACTTCTCAGTCCATCATACACACACACACACACACACACACACACACTCAGGAGACAGAAACAGTCACATGACATGATCCACACCGACTTCCTGGGCTCGTTGTGAAAGATTCATCAGTGACGTGATTCTCAAGAAAAATACCGAAATTCAACTTGCTCCGCCTCCAAAATGACATCATCAGTGCAGGTCAAAACTGACTTTAAAAAGTGGCACAAAAAGAACGAGAAAAACTTTACGGTTTTTGACTCGGTACGTTAGTTAACCTCAACTTGGAGTTGTGTGTGTGCGTGCCGTGTATGTGTGTATAACTCCATAATTAATATTTAAACAGAGGTTTTCTGTTTATGCAACTATAGAGTTGGGCATTTGTGTGAAACTAAACTTTCACATCGCTAAAGACACACACACACACTAGTCAGGAGGATTAATGAGCCGAGATTTGGAGATTATCAGCTTTATGCACAAATCAGAAACAGACATTACGGATGATTTGAGTCAAATATCAGCTTATTAAAACACTGACACTGGCTGATAACAACAACAACATGCTGACGCTTATTTATAATCTCGGAAACTGTTCCTGCAACTACTAATTCATTAATTGCGTAATATTATGCAATTATCACATGTAATCTCCTACTATGAAGGCGTGATCTCTGTCTGTCCTTCTGAAAAAATGCCTTTTATTTTTTTTAATTATGACAATATTATAAAATAATAAAAAAAATGCAGTTCATGATCCTTTCCATCAGGATCTCGGGCGTCAGTTCTCCGGGGAATCTCCTGCAACCCATCACATCCTTGATGACACAACAGCAGCCCATCAGGTTGCCGTAGTAACCAACACACAAACGTACACACACACAATCACAACACACACTTTCTCTCACTCACTCACTCACTCACACACACTCTCTCTCTCTCTCTCTCTCTCTCTCTCTCTCTCTCTCTCTCTCTCTCTCTCACTCACTCAAACACGCAAACTTCAAGAGTGTCCATTGCAATTCAAAGTGGTTTACCAGAATAAAACCACTAAAATACAAAATAATGTAATTCTTTTTAGAATTATTCTTTCAGAAATAAAGAGAAAGTAAAGCGGATTTGACAGGCCTAACAGCCATTGGTCAGTTTTTAAAATATACACATAGATAGATAGACAGATAGATAGATAGACAGATAGATGGATAGACAGATGATAGATAGATAGATAGATAGATAGATAGATAGATAGATAGATAGATAGATAGATAGATAGATAGATAGATAGAACAACAACATCAGATTTCCTCAATCAAACCTGAACACCTCAGACAACAGCTGTTCTATGACTGACATTTTAAGCGGCACATTTTATTATTTGCATATGTAAATATATCAGGTTAAGCAGTTTGTACATCAATATCCCGTCGACTGCTCGACTGTTAGTCGTCCATCACCGGCAGATGAAGGTTTTTAAGGTGTTTTAACGTGTTTTACCTGCCCACTGTCTGGTTGGCCAGTTGTCGCATTCGGTTGAATTGCTTCTTCATCTTCCTGCAATTTGCGCGTGAATCCCGATGGATGAAACACAAACTGACATTCCTCACTTAAAGAACAACCTTCGGGAAATACTCCACGGCACGGGCCATAGTGAACGATTTCTCTTCGGTGTGTAACCATCACAAATATACGATGAAAACGCCAGAAATCATCATTTGCGCGTTCTGTTCGTCGCTCGAGATGCTCCGCTGAATGCCGGTGACGCGCGGCTGGTGCAGCAGGGCATTGTGGGAAATGTAGTTCTGACGTGAGACAGAATATTTAAGAGACGTCGTGTGTTCCGTTTTTAAGATCTAAAGTTTTGAAGCTTTCGTTGCATTCAAGTAAAATATTCCAGTAAAAAAAAACACAAAAAAACTGGTAATATAATCAGGTAATATAATCATAATAAACATGCAGCTAATGAAGTGAAATCAATGTAATTTTTTAATATAATTTGCCTTGAAATTGAATTACATAATTTACTAAATATACTTGTAAAATAATTTAATTATTCACGATCAAATAAAAAAATATACCAATAAGAAAAATAGTTATTGTAACAATGTTGCCATCGTGTGGATGTCCTGTAGAAGTACACCTTTGAGAGAGAATATAAAATGTCGTATGTTCCCAGGAACGAGCAAACAAATTAATACTTATTTAATATACGTACATTTGGAACGAGTAACTTTATGTCATATTTAAATTTATATTTATTCATTTACCTGACGCTTTTATCCAAAGCGACTTACACAAATGAGAGTTCAACTAACTAAAGGACAACAATATGCAAGTGCTATGACTCTACGTGTACTTTTTTATTTCTACTTTTATTTTTATAAAGATAATAGATATAGAAGTGTTAGTATTAATGGATCAAGTGTTGAATATCATCTAAATTATATTATATCATGAGACTTTATATTAAACTGACTCTTAATTTCCTTTGACTTCACATTCATACAAAACAATGTCGAATTGTTTACAGACATTTATGACATAATTTGTCATCGCTTTCTGCTGCAGTGTCATTGAGGCGTGTCCTCTGCGCAGATTCATTGACAGCTGATCGCGCATGCGCGCTGTGGAGTGTCAGGGCGGCAAGATGGCGGCCCTCAGAGCGGGTCTCCTAACCCGACCTCTTATTAAAGGAAAAACACCGAGAATCTCTGAAATTGTCCTCGGAACAAGAGCAGGTGCTGACTTATACACATGTCACCCCCTTATTATGCGAATATACGCTATAAAAACAGTGTTTTATAGGATAAAAAGAGGATAACCTTCATGTCAAGGCCGGTGAGCTAACAGGCTAAGCGAATCCATGATACTTCTTTTACGTTTGTAAACAAATGTAGTTAGTTGTTCACTGCTTTGCATTTGCATTAATTGTTGATTTGTTTGAAGTGCATTATAAACTAAGTGCCGTTTTTTAGTCTTTTTAACAAATGTGTTTCTAAATGTCCAACTCTGTTAGCTTTTGTGCTGTTGTATAGTATAGGATGTAGTTTTCTTCATATGACAGATTTAATGAAGTCACTAGATAAAGCAATAATAATATATCTGTATTTAATATGCATTTTAATGTGACTAAGGTTGTCTGGAGAACACAGCCAGGTGTTATAAATGAAGTATTGTGTGTAATGCGGAATCATAATAATGTTTTATGTTGTGTTTTTGCAGCCTCTGGTGGTTCGAAGGACATGATGCCCGGCCCGTACCCAAAAACCCCAGAAGAGAGGGCGGCAGCGGCCAAGAAATACAACATGACGCTGGAGGATTACCAGCCTTTTCCAGATGACGGCCAGGGGTGAGTATCAGTTTAATGTTCACACACTTACAATCAATAGTGTGTTTTCTTACCTAAATGCTAATTAGCTGGCGATGTATTTAAATACGTTTGCACTGTTGTTGCGCAGGTATGGTGATTACCCGATGCTGCCAAACCGATCGCAGCACGAGAGAGACCCCTGGTATCAGTGGGACCATCCTGATCTGAGGAGGAACTGGGGAGAGCCGGTAAGAATCCCTATAAATCCCAGTTCATGTAAGTCACACATGCATTGGGTATTGCCTTCACAAAATCACTTTGCACCACTGTGCACACTCCAGCATGCCCACTCTTTCATGCTTTTTGAAGCAGAGAAGAACGACAGCATGTAATCTTTAAAGCACCATGCCGTTTTGCCAACTTGCTGATATTTGTATAAATATGTAGTATATCTGAGCCTTTAAAATGTGAGCGGTAATAACTGAAGTGCTCAAACAAATTTAGATCTAGAACCATTTTTGTACGGTAAGATACAACATTAAAATTACAGCTTATTGCTCAATTTTGATATTAAAGGGTTAGTTCACCCAAAAATAATATTTCAAAAAAGTCGTTTCAAAACCATGAGCCCCATAAATTATCTTCATAACACAAATTAAGTTATTTTTGTTGATAAGATAAGTTTATGACTCATTGCAACTTTGAAGGCCCTGAAAATTAGTAAAGACATTGATGAAAAAGTCATTATTTTAGGGGGGGGGGGGGGTTGCACATAAAAAATATTCTAGTCACTTTATAACATTTAATAATGCCGCTGCTGCCTATGGAGGGTCAGAACATCAGGGTGAGTGATTAATGAGAGAAATTTCAGTTTTGGGTGAACTATCCCTTTACGGTGTTTGAATGCATAGATATCAAGTGTCCAATTGAATGTATGGAGTATAATAAAGATTTATAATGAAGAATGTTAATGCATTGGGTTCTCAGATTAGTGGCTGTTTTGTGAGGTTTTCTGTTTGTGTTGCAGATGCACTATGACTTTGACATGTACATCAGGAACAGGGTGGACACGTCTCCGAGCCCGGTGGACTGGAGGACCATGCGTAACACCCTGCTGGGCTTCCTGGGCTTCATGGGGCTGATGTTCGGCTTGGGCGAGATGTTCCCCTGCTACCAGCCTGTGGTGAGTACAGGGAAAATAATGAGCAATTTTTATTAAGTAGGGCTGTGAAACAATTAATCGCATCCAAAATAAAGGTTGTGTGTTTACATATTAATTATTAATTAATTGTATAGTTATTTTGTATATATAAATACATGCACATTTTTTTTTAAATCGGGTATTTTGTGTAATTCACTTGCCAAATAGTCTTAAAAAACAACATGAAAATTAATTGTGGATCATCAAAAGCTTTCCACAAATCTTATGAATGATTATTTTTCTCTTTCCAGGCACCTAAACAGTATCCTTACAACAACCTGTATCTGGAGAGAGGCGGAGACCCGGAGAAACAACCAGAACCTGCCAGTCATTATGAAATCTAATGCTAGAAGCCTGTCTGTTCCATAACTTGTGTATATTTCTGTCTCTCTAATAAAGTTAACTTAAAACGAAAGCTTGTCAGTTCTTATAATGCTTCTACCTTTCATTTAATTAAGACTTGTCATCAGGTTTTTATTTTTTAAGATGTGTGCCTGATGCACACCTTCATTTCATATTTCAAATATTACTTTTATTCATTTTATTTTCAATAGCTTTTATTTACCTTATGCCAGTAAAGTATGTCAAAATAAAATGCTGTAAGAACACTAGGCTGTGTTAAACACCATAAAACTTCAAATCAATATGGTTGTGTGTAATTCAAGGTTAGCTGGCTTTTTTACTTCTATCTCTTTTTTGGGGATAAAATATGTATTAAACATTTTGGATGGGCGGTATTGTCCTTATTTATTTATTTAAAATGTATTTGTTTATTCATATTGAAATGTTGGCATGAGTAGAAAGGTAAATCGAGTCGAGCAGAAGGGGTTTGAGTTTTAATCGTTTCGTACAACTTGTCCTTCGCCGGTTTCCGTACTGGACTACAATTCCGCACCGGACTACATTCTCCATGAGTGACGCGAGGAGCGCCGCTGACTGAACTCTCATCAACACACAAACGAGACTATTAATCACCAACAACCGTAAGTACACAGACAGCACTTTGTAAAATTTGGCGTTTTCGGGATAAACTCGAGATTCTGATGTTTTATTGTGGTCTGCCCGGTGTGTCAGTGTGTTTTGAAGCGCAGATAATGAACAGTAGGTTGATGCTAATGCTAACGCTAAGAGCTGCTGATCAGGAATAAACGTGATTGTAAACATGTCTTCTGCTCTAAATTAACTCCGCGCGACATTTATTACACATATACTTTAAAAGGATGACAAAAGAAGCTGAGATTATAGATCATTTGAGTCTGAGAAATAATATATGATGTAGGCTATGTCACACACTCAACCCCGAGTCTTGTTTGTGATTTCTGTGAGGATTTCTATTGCGGAAATGTGATAGTACTGTTATCTGACATAATATTAAGTCACTTTTACAGGTTCTTTAGGCTGATATGACATTGTTAGTGCAGAGGAATGTCATTTAAGTGCTGACAGGTTAATCACATCATGTTCTTCTTGTCCTTTCAGCAGTTTGGAGGAAGATGAGGGTGAAGGAGATCCTCAGGACGGCCTCTCAGGCATGGAGTCCTGCGAGACAGCATCCCACATACCTGGCCTTAGGTATACAGGTGTATATGTGTGTGTTTTCACCTGTCAGCCAGTGTACAGCAGTGGATGACAGCGAGTTTCACTTAAAATGCTTGAATAAAAATCTCAGTTTCTTCACTTTTTCACATCTCCAGGCACCGCAGCGCAGCAGTTAGACGCGTCTTTCAACACCAGCTCCGTTCTGGAGATCTTTGAGATGGATTTTGCTGATACATCCATGGACATGAAGCTCAGAGGAACTCTGCCCACCTCCAACAGGTGTGTTTCTGTGCACTAGCGCTCAGACGTTTGGGGTCGGCAACATGTTTTAATGTTTTCTTCTCCTGCTTTAAGATCAGAAAACCTGTAAAAATTGTGAAATATTTGTAGAATTTAAATCAATACATAGTAAAGTGTAATTTATTTCTGTGATCAAAGCTGAATTTATCATCATTACTCCAGTCTCCAGTGTCACATGATCCTTCAGAACTAATATGAGTATCTGATGATCAAGAAATATTTATGATTATTATCAGTGTTGAAAACTGTTTTGTTTGCTGAATTAAAATGTTTATTTGATTCACAAACGAACCAATATAATGCGTCCTTTGCTGAATAAATTATTAATTTATTTAAAAAATTTAAAATATTTTCACCCAAACGTTTAAGTATTAATCTGTGTGTATATATATATATATATATATACACATACTTTCTGAATGCATACTAGAATACCTATATGACTTACAACTTAAATCAGCTGGAAGTTTTAACATCTTTTCTTTTTTAAACAGCAATACTTTGAGTTGTTTTTTTTTAACGTAAAGTTAAATTGAAAATGCATAACAACCTCACATCCTAGTAAGATGTCTCACATTTTTCTTTTAAAAGCTGTAATTTAGCTAGTTTAGTTTCAATGACTGGGTGTGTTTAGAAGGTTTACCATTACAATCGCTCTCCATCCTAAACCGAGAACATTTATAAGCCACTACTTGATTTTGAAAGAAAGTGATGATTTTACAACAGTTTGTTGATGTTCTCTCGCTTCTCTTGTTGATGTGCATTACTTTCAAACTAATTTATGTTTATGTTATTAACTTTCTTCCCCAGCAACGATTCAATAGCCGAAATACAGGTTTAACAGTAGCATTATTTCAGTGTAGTCATTCTGCATGGTCTAACACACACACACACGCGCGCGCTTGTGTGAACATGTTTCTGACACGTCTGTGGTATGTGTCACTCTCATTCATCAGTTTGACCTTTTCAGATTGCCACATTGTCTCACAATGGCATTGTTAAAATGGCAATTCCAGTTTCTCTGGTTTTGTGTTCATGCAGTTGTCAGATTCACTGCGCTGTTTTAAAGTGTTAAATCACTCTATATATTAATATTTCAAGGTCATATTCATATATATATATTCATAAGGTCATATATATATTCATAATATTCAAGGTCACTGAATATTAAAATATACTACATAATGGGTGCCAGGGTTGCAACCTTTGACTGAATCACGAGTTATCACTCATTTTCAACTAGCTCATTGTGCACAAAATGCTAAAGTCACAATTTTGAGACATTTGCTGCATATAATGCATGAGCATAAATGCAAATGCTTTGTTAATAATATGTTGGATAATACTTTATTTAGCATATCGAAGGAACTTGGGGTTTGTGTATTTATTCCTCAGTGATGGCACTATTGTCTTCTGTAGAGTTGCATGAATTGAGCTCATTTCAACTCAACTTTACACAGTTATTGGACTGAACTGGATCAACACTGATCTGAATTATGACCCTTGAGATGAATAAATAAGCTTTCCATTGACGTTTGGTTTGTTAGGATAGGACAATATTTGGTTGAGATTCATCTGAGAATCTGAGAGTGCAAAAAAATCTAAACATTGATGAAATCTCCTTTAAATTTGTGAAAAATCTATAATTTTGACCAATACAATTCATTGTTGTCAATTGCCACAGATACATACAGCCGTGCGAATTGACTAGTTTTGTGATCCAGGGTCACATATGTGTGTAAAGTGTGTGTATTTGTGATGATCTCAGTGTGTGTTGGCAGGTTTCACAGTCTGATCTGGGTGGCGTTTGATATGGACGTGACGGCGGGTTCATCGGGGCGGCTCATCGGAGGCAGTGAGAACGGAAGCGTGACCGTCTTCGGCCCGGACGCTATTCTCTCCGCGGGCGAAGACGCCGTGATCGGACAGTCCAACAAACACACGGGGCCCGTGCACGCCCTCGACTACAACCGCTTCCAGGTAGAGCTTGCGTCTCGTTTCAGATCCACTCGCATCTGCACTGCAAAAAAATGCTTGTTTCCAGTCCAAATAGCAAAACATTCTGCAAAGAATGCTTGTTTCCAGTCAAAATATAAAAAAAATCTGAAAAAATGCTTGTTTCCAGTCCAAATATAAAAAAAAATGTAAAAAAATGCTTGTTTCCAGTCCAAATAGCTAAAAAAAAATCTTTCCAGTCCAAATAGTAAAACATTCTGCAAAGAATGCTTGTTTCCAGTCAAAATATCAAAAAAATCTGGAAAAATTATTTTTTCCAGTCCAAATATAAAAAAATCTTTTAAAAAAAATACTTGTTTCCAGTCCAAATAGCTAAAAATTTAGGGGAAAAAATGCTTGTCTCCAGTCCAAATATCAAAAGATTCTGCAAATTAAATGCTTGTTTCCAGTCCAAATATGAAAAAATCTGTGAAAAAAGGCATGTTTCCAGTCCAAATATGTGGAAAAATCAGCAAAAAATGCTTGTTTCCAGTCCAAATATGAAAAAATCAGCAAAACAAATGCATGTTTCCAGTCCAAATATGAAAAAAATCAGCAAAAAAATGCATGTTTCCAGTCCAAATATGTAAAAAATCTGAAAAAAAATGCATGTTTCCAGTCCAAATATGAAAAAATCAGCAAAACAAATGTATGTTTCCAGTCCAAATATGTGGAAAAATCAGCAAAAAATGCTTGTTTCCAGTCCAAATATGTAAAAAATCTGAAAAAAAAAATGCATGTTTCCAGTCCAAATATGAAAAAATCAGCAAAAAATGCATGTTTCCAGTCCAAATATGAAAAAATCAGCAAAAAAAATGCTTGTGTTCAGTACAAATATGTAAAAAATCAGCAAAAAAATGCATGTTTCCAGTCCAAATATGTGACAAATCAGCAAAAAATGCTTGTTTCCAGTCCAAATATGAAAAAATCAGCAAAACAAATGCATGTTTCCAGTCCAAATATGAAAAAAATCAGCAAAAAAATGCATGTTTCCAGTCCAAATATGTAAAAAATCTGAAAAAAAATGCATGTTTCCAGTCCAAATATGAAAAAATCAGCAAAACAAATGCATGTTTCCAGTCCAAATATGTGGAAAAATCAGCAAAAAATGCTTGTTTCCAGTCCAAATATGAAAAAAATCAGCAAAACAAATGCATGTTTCCAGTCCAAATATGAAAAAAATCAGCAAAAAAATGCATGTTTCCAGTCCAAATATGTAAAAAATCTGAAAAAAAATGCATGTTTCCAGTCCAAATATGAAAAAATCAGCAAAACAAATGCATGTTTCCAGTCCAAATATGAAAAAAATCAGCAAAAAAATGCATGTTTCCAGTCCAAATATGTAAAAAATCAGCAAAAAAATGCATGTTTCCAGTCCAAATATGTGACAAATCAGCAAAAAATGCTTTTTCCAGTCCAAATAGCTAAAAAATCAGCAAAAAATGCTTGTTTCCAGTCCAAATATGTGGAAAAATCAGCAAAAAATGCTTGTTTCCAGTCCAAATATGAAAAAATCAGCAAAACAAATGCATGTTTCCAGTCCAAATATGTGGAAAAATCAGCAAAAAATGCTTGTTTCCAGTCCAAATATGTAAAAAATCTGAAAAAAAAATGCATGTTTCCAGTCCAAATATGAAAAAATCAGCAAAACAAATGCATGTTTCCAGTCCAAATATGAAAAAAATCAGCAAAAAAATGCATGTTTCCAGTCCAACTATGTAAAAAATCAGCAAAAAAATGCATGTTTCCAGTCCAAATATGTGACAAATCAGCAAAAAATGCTTGTTTCCAGTCCAAATATGAAAAAATCAGCAAAACAAATGTATGTTTCCAGTCCAAATATGTGGAAAAATCAGCAAAAAATGCTTGTTTCCAGTCCAAATATGTAAAAAATCTGAAAAAAAAAAATGCATGTTTCCAGTCCAAATATGAAAAAATCAGCAAAACAAATGCATGTTTCCAGTCCAAATATGAAAAAAATCAGCAAAAAAATGCATGTTTCCAGTCCAAATATGTAAAAAATCAGCAAAAAAATGCATGTTTCCAGTCCAAATATGTGACAAATCAGCAAAAAATGCTTGTTTCCAGTCCAAATATGAAAAAATCAGCAAAACAAATGCATGTTTCCAGTCCAAATATGAAAAAAATCAGCAAAAAAATGCATGTTTCCAGTCCAAATATGTAAAAAATCTGAAAAAAAATGCATGTTTCCAGTCCAAATATGAAAAAATCAGCAAAACAAATGCATGTTTCCAGTCCAAATATGTGAAAAATCAGCAAAAAATGCTTGTTTCCAGTCCAAATATGAAAAAATCAGCAAAACAAATGCATGTTTCCAGTCCAAATATGAAAAAAATCAGCAAAAAAATGCATGTTTCCAGTCCAAATATGTAAAAAATCTGAAAAAAAAATGCATGTTTCCAGTCCAAATATGAAAAAATCAGCAAAACAAATGCATGTTTCCAGTCCAAATATGAAAAAAATCAGCAAAAAAATGCATGTTTCCAGTCCAAATATGTAAAAAATCAGCAAAAAAAATGCATGTTTCCAGTCCAAATATGTGACAAATCAGCAAAAAATGCTTTTTCCAGTCCAAATAGCTAAAAAATCAGCAAAAAATGCTTGTTTCCAGTCCAAATATGTGGAAAAATCAGCAAAAAATGCTTGTTTCCAGTCCAAATATGAAAAAATCAGCAAAACAAATGCATGTTTCCAGTCCAAATATGAAAAAAATCAGCAAAAAAATGCATGTTTCCAGTCCAAATATGTAAAAAATCAGCAAAAAAATGCATGTTTCCAGTCCAAATATGTGACAAATCAGCAAAAAATGCTTGTTTCCAGTCCAAATATGTGACAAATCAGCAAAAAATGCTTGTTTCCAGTCCAAATAGCTAAAAAAAAAAAAAGCATGTTTCCAGTCCAAACATCAATAAATTCTGTAAAAAAAAATCCGTTTCCGGTTTAAATATCAAAACATTCTGCAAAGAAATGCTTGTTTCCAGTACAAAAAATTAAAAAAATTCTTAAATCAAGATTTGATTAAACATTGTCTAGATGAGTAAAATGGCATTAGATGATATGTCCTGTTTTCCGGGGGAAGTAAACAAAATTAAGTGAGTTGATGTTTAAAAAAAATCTAAATTATTGTTCTTTAGCTTTTTTAAGGAGCAACTCAGTTAATTTTGAATTATTTCTCCAGAAAACAAGACATAAAATCTAATGGCGTTTTATTACTTAAAAATATTAAATCAAGATGGCTTTACTTGTGATATTTGGACTGGAAACAAGGGGAAAAAAATGCTGAGTAAGAAAAGCAGGTTGTGCAGTGCAGTGTGGCGTTTACAAACGTTCATGTGTTTCCTCTCTCTGTCAGAGTAATCTCATCGCATCAGGAGCCAATGATTCGGAAATATACATCTGGGATTTGAACAACTTCAGTAATCCGATGACCCCGGGCACCAAGTCACAGGTGCGACCCATTGTTCTTGTTCCTGAAGAGTTTTGTGTCATCAGTGTTCCTTGTATCATGTGATGGTAAAGTGAATGCATTTGTCTCTCTGTTCCTTCAGCTCAGTGAGGTAAGATGAAGGTGCTGGGGTGTGTGTGTGTGTGTGCAGTTTGGGTTTGATTAACCTCTTCTCTAGCATCTCTTTGTGCCCCTATTATGCTTTATGCAGATATGACCTTTCATTTAGTGTATAATAAAGTTGTTTTTGAATAATAAACAAACACTAGTGTATCTGAGACTGGAAGAGTTCGGCTCGTGTTGTTCATGTTTTCTGAGATTGATACGGTGAAACCCACGCCATCGTCACTGTTCGTATCACTGAGATCAAGAGCTGAGAGTCAGATATGATAATGAGCGTTTGCTTTCTGGCCAATCAGAGCAGAGCAGCTCTCAGAGAGGCGGAGCTTAGAGACTGAATCCTCAATGGAAGTGTTTCAGACACTGAGAGGAAAGAGCTGAGATTCAGATTTGATAATGAGCGTTTGCTTTCGGACCAATCACAGCAGACATCTGACCAATCAGAGCAGAGCAGTGTTCAGAGAGGCGGAGCTTAGAGACTGAATCCTCAATGGAAGTGTTTCAGACACTGAGAGGATTATGAGGAAGTGTTTGACACTTTATGCATGTAAAACTATTGTAGGAGACTCTAAAACAACATTAGAAGCCTTTAAAACAGCTTAATAGGGGCACTTACTGACACTAAACAATGGTTTACTGCCTTAAAAAAACAATTCTGAGACGATTCGTCTGCTGAGTGTTCAGACAGTAGCGTGTCTCTGCTGGGGTTTGTTGGTTTGGATGCTCATCTTCAGCTGGGGGTTTGTGGGAAGACATTGCGGTGGTTTTATCCGTGTGCTTGTGCGTGCCGTAGCCAGCGGAGGACGTGAGCGTGGTGGCGTGGAACAGTCAAGTGCCGCATATACTGGCATCCGCCAATCCCAGTGGGAAAGCCGTGGTCTGGGATCTGAGGAAGAACGAGCCCATCATCAAAATCAGTGACCACAGCAACAGGGTAAGAACATCTGAACGCTTGGACGAGTACAAAATAAATATATACATGTGTGTATGTGTATTTAGATATACACAGGACACACACAAATATTATGGAAACACAAACTTTTATTTTTGATGCGATAACATAAAAAAAGCTCATTATAAATAAAATGTGTTATTTTATTATTTTTCTTGACAGATGCACTGTTCTGGGATGTTGTGGCATCCAGATGTGGCCACTCAGCTGGTTCTGGCATCCGAGGACGACAGGCTTCCTGTGATACAGATGTGGGACCTGCGGTTCGCGACCTCGCCTCTCAAAGTGCTGGAGAACCACACCAGGTAGAGTAAACCCCACGTCTCTGAGCTGCTTTCATGCTCCTGCACACGTGTGACGTCCTTTTAATATCCCAGAGGAATTCTGTCCATCTCATGGAGTCAAGCCGATCCAGAGCTTCTGCTGAGCAGCGGCAAAGACAACCGGATCCTGTGCTGGAACCCGAACACCGGAGAGGTCCGTCAATCGCATTCACATTTACATCCTTGCACTTCTATTGTAAATGACTTGCCTTGCCTTCATGATCAGGTCATGCATTCCCTGAGGATCGAACCCATGTTTGCATCGTCAATCATACAAAAATACTGTCATTTTTGTATGATTAATATTTGAATCTATTTTGCATCTATTAACATTTTTACAGACACGGTACGAACAACAAAATATGAACCTTAAAACTGATCACAGTTTAAAAATATTACAAAATTAAATGGATCTGTGAAATTATTCTAACAATGTTCTAATATGTTTTATATTATAAAATATTATATAATTTTATTTTATAAATAATGTATAATAAAATATTATAGAATTTTATTTGATTAAATAATCTGTTATCAGTATGGCTATGAAATCATGATTATCATTATTACTATTAATAAAAAACGAATTAACAAGAAAATAATATAATAATTATCATTATTTTACATTACTGTGAAAATTACAGTAGTAATATTTATGACTCTGAATTTAATCTATTTTTAAACATTTAATTTTCACAGGCAGTATGAACAACCAAAATATGAATTTTAAAACTGATCAAAGTTTAAAAATATTACAAAATTAAATTGATCTGTGAAATTATTCTAACAATCATATACGTTTTTTATATTATATATAATGTATAATAAATATTATATAATTTTATTTTATAAATAATATATAATAAAATATTATAGAATTTTATTTTATTAAATAATCTGTTATCAGTATGGCTATGAAATCATGATTATCTTTATTACTATTAATAAAAATCTAATTAACAAGAAAATAATATAATAATTATCATTATTTTACATTACTGTAAAAATTACAGTAGTAATATTTATGACTCTGAATTTAATCTATTTTCAAACATTTAATTTTCACACGCAGTATGAACAACCAAAATATGAATTTTAAAACTGATCAAAGTTTAAAAATATTACAAAATTAAATGGATCTGTGAAATTATTCTAACAATCATATACGTTTTTTATATTATATATAATGTATAATAAAATATTATATAATTTTTATTTTATAAATAATGTATAATAAAATATTATAGAATTTAATTTTATTAAATAATCTGTTATCAGTATGGCTATGAAATCATGATTATCTTTATTACTATTAATAAGACACTAATTAACAAGAAAAATAATATAATTAATCATTATTTTACATTACTGTAAAAATTACAATAGTAATATTTATGACTCTGAATTTAATCTATTTTCAAACATTTAATTTTCACACGCAGTATGAACAAGCAAAATATGAATTTTTAAACTGATCAAAGTTTAAAAATATTACAAAATTAAATCTGTGAAATTATACTAAATAATAATAATAATTCGTTTTTATTATATAGAACATATAGTAAAATATAAATGTTGTTGTTATTGTTAAATTATATATAAAATAAATAATCTTATAATAATAATAAATAATAAATAATCTTTTATCAGTATGGCTGTGAAATAATCATTATTATTACTTAATAAAATATTACAATTCCTAAATAAAAACAAATTAAGAAATATTACTTCTTTAAAAGTATTTAAGAACAATAATATAATAATCAATTTATATTATTATTACATTACAATAACATTATGTATGGCTGTGTTAATTTCTTCATTTTCAAATGTTAATCCATCGAACTTTTATTTTGTTTTAGGATTAGTAGTGAATAAAATTGTGGAAATCCATTAGTGTGGGATCTCTGGATCACTGTATTGACCATCATGCCTTGTCTCTCGTGTTTCAGGTGATTTACGAGCTGCCAACAGCCAATCAGTGGTGCTTCGATGTGCAGTGGTGTCCGCGTAACCCCGCCCTCCTGTCAGCCGCATCATTTGACGGGCGGATCAGTGTGTACTCAGTTATGGGGGGGCGTCTTCAACAGCATCAGCACAGCACGGTGGACCAGGTGCGATTACGTGTGTGTTTTACACACTTTTTCCGAGGAATGTCGCCCATGAAAATTAGCCCATGATTTACTCACCCTGAAGTCATGCTAGGTGTATATGACATTCTACTTTCAGACGAATACAATCAAATATCCAGGCTCTTCCAAGCTTTAAAATGGCAGTCAATGGGTTTATTTAAATCCATCAAGTCCATCTCCATGATGGATAGATGCACTTTTATGATGGATGGATGCACTTTTATGATGGATAGATGCACTTTTATGATGGATGGATGCACTTTTATGATGGATAGATGCACTTTTATGATGGATAGATGCACTTTTATGATGGATAGATGCACTTTTATGATGGATGGATGCACTTTTATGATGGATAGATGCACTTTTATGATGAATAGATGCTTTTTATGATGGATAGATGCACTTTTATGATGGATGGATGCACTTTTATGATGGATAGATGCACTTTTATGATGATGGATGCACTTTTATGATGGATAGATGTACTTTTATGATGGATGGATGCACTTTTATGATGATGGATGCACTTTTATGATGGACAGATTCACTTTTTTGATGGACAGATTCACTTTTATGATGGACAGATGCCCTTATGATGGATAGACGCACTTTTATCATGGACGGATGCACTTGATGGACTTCCCAAAAAAAATATTGACTCCCATTATAAAGCTTTTAAAAGCCTCGACGTTTTTTAATATAACTCCTGATTGTGTTTGTTTGAAAGAACAATGTCATATACACCTAGGATGACTTGAGGGTGAGTAAATCATGAGCTAATTTCATTTTTGGGTTTAATCATCAGTCTTTTTTCTCTCTCTGTTCTTAGATCTCGGCTTCGTTTGACACCAACGACCCGTTTGGAACCGGTCAAGCTCTTCCGCCTCTGCTAATGCCTCAACCCACAGTGGAGACCACCATCATCCCTCCGCTAACAAAGCCTCCCAAGTGGGTGCGAAGGCCTGTCGGCGCCTCTTTCGCTGTGAGTATTTCAGGGATATTGAGACATCCATTTCATTTTAAGATTCGTGTCCGACACACGTCGCTCTCTTCCAGTTCGGAGGGAAGCTGGTGACGTTTGAGAACCCTACAGTGCCGGGTCAGCCTCGACAGGTACAGGTGAGTCAGGTGACCACAGAGACCGAGTTCCTCCAGCGCTCCAGCGAGCTCCAGGCCGTTCTGCAGTCTGGCTCCTTCACCAACTACTGCCACAGTAAGATCACGAGCGCCCCGTCTGACGCCGAGCAGGACATATGGAGGTTCCTCATGGTAAACATTTACACTCGCTGATTAAATTAAACTCGATTAAATGCATGGGAAACACTGCCTTAAAGGATCAGCTCACTGTTCAGAGTTAATTTACTCGCCCCAACAACATCCAAGATGTTTATTCAGTTAGATAAGTAATTAAGGTTTATGAGGAAAACATTTCATGGTGACTTCAATGGGGTCCAACGGTTTCAGTGCAGCTTTAAAGCCTCAACACGATCCAGCCGAGGAATAAGAGTCTCATCTAGACAAACCATCGGCCATTTTATAACGAAATAAACATTTACATACTTTTTAACCACAAATGTGAGACGTGTGATCACGTAATCAGGTTGGGATGCTGGAAACAGTGACGCGCTTCATATGTTTATTTCATTAAATCCCACTTAGCCATTTTAATCCGATCAAGTGTGAATGTGAAACCCTAATGTTTACAGTGGCATGCTTCAGATTCCTGAAAGCTTTTGATTAGACATAAAATCAAACAGAATGATGTCATATATGAGTTTCTCAGGAAATGCACGTCCCGTTCGAGTGTTTTCGTAATTGTTCTGTCGTGTTTTTAACAGGTGAACTTCGAAGATGAAGCGCGGGTGAAGTTTTTGCGGCTGCTGGGCTTCAGTAAAGACGAGCTGCAGAGGAAGGTATACCATCAAACTCGTTCAAGAGCACATGAGTGTAAACCATGCCATATACGGAGATGTTTGATCTAACACAGGACAAAGGAGTGACACATCTTACCCCATCTCATTATTTCACGTTGTGTTTTGCATGGAAAAATCCCAAATAAAATCATAGAAATCCCTTGAATAAAACTATATGGGTGACACTTTACTATAAGATTCATTAGTTAACATTAGTTAACGTATTAGCTAACTACATTTGTTACTGTATTAGTCTTTTAATAAAAATACACTTGTTCATGCACAATGTGTTAACTAATGTAAACAAGATGTTAATGAAGTACATGAACAATGTATAAGTACATAATAATGTATTTAACTAATGAAGATTACTATAGTGTTACCACTATATGCATGTTTTTCAGTGACTCTGCATTTGAAAAACTATTAAGGAGTGTTTTTATGAGTGTTTTAAATGAGTGTGTGTGTGTTGTGATATGTTAGTATATCCTTAAGGAGATTTTAATTCTCCTGCCAGGCTGTCGTTAAAAATAACTTGTTCTTAAGTGACTTGCCTGGTTAAATAAAAGTTAAATTGAATTAAAGTGTCTTCCTAGTCTTGCTCTGTGAGAGGAACAGACCCACACGTGTTCACTTGTGTATTTGCACAGATCTCGGCGTGTTTGTCGCGGAAGCTTCAACCCAACGGTTTGGATGTGAACGATCTGGCGGAGAAGATGCAGACTCTTTCGGATCAGGTCAGACTCAGTTACACACTCATTCAACACGTTGTTTTATTGGATTGATGAGTCATGATGATTTATTTTCTCGTGCGATCAGAGAGCAGACGAGTCTGCGGACGGTTCGTCAGGCCGCGAGTCTCCTGCGGATTTCTTCCATCAACTACCAAAGAAAGAGAAAGACAAAGAGCCCTTCCAGATCCCCGTGTCCTCAGGCGAGCATCTTCACATCACATGCATTGAAATCACTAGCGCTGCCCTCGACCGAAGATTTCTGTAGTCCATCACTTAAAGCTACAATATTTACGATTTTTGTAATAAAATATCCCAAAATCACTTGCACAGTGTAATATAATTCCCAATATATATATATATATATATATATATATATATTCCAATTTTAAATAATGGCTCGTCATGTTCACTTGTCGCCTGTCAATGACATAATATCCGCGTTATCTCTGGTTTCCGCTCGTACTACCGTAGTAACCATGGCGACACACGCTGTTTTTGTTGCGTTTAAAGGGTTAGTTCACCCAAAAATGAAAATTCTGTCAGTATTTACTCACCCTCATGTTGTTCCAACCCCGTAAGACCTTCATTCATCTTCGCAACACAAATTAAGATATTTAAGATATTAAGATCGCTCCTGCATACTAGTCCATAGGCTTCTTGAGGGAATGACTCTTGCTGGCCTCGAAAAGTCATTAAAGACATCGTTAAAATAGTCCAAGTGACTACAGGGGCTCAATCTTAACTTTATCAAACGACGAGAACACTTTTTGTGCGCAAAAACAAACAAAAATAACGACTTTATTTCAACTATTCACTTCCTTCTCCATGGGCCTGTAGTCAGTTAACGTAGTGTGATTGCGTAAAGCTACGTCACACGAAGGCTCGCTATTGGCCGACGCTGGTCATGTGTGTGATGCGTGTGAAGTACAATAACAGAAGCTTACGCTATTAAACTAGTAACCTGACTCGCGCAGAGGGAGAAATAAAGCAATAGTTGAAATAAAGTCGTTATTTTTGCGCACAAAAGTGTTCTCGTCGCTTGATAAAGTTAAGATTGAGCCCCTGTAGTCACTTGGACTATTTTAACGATGTCTTTAATGACTTTTCGATGCCAGCAAGAGTCATTCCCTCAAGAAGCCTATGGACTGTATGCAGGAGCGATCTTAATATCTTAAATATCTTAATTTGTGTTGCGAAGATGAACGAAGGTCTTACGGGGTTGGAACAACATGAGGGTGAGTAAATACTGACAGAATTTTCATTTTTGGGTGAACTAACCCTTTAAACAGGGTTAGTTCACCCAAAAATGAAATGACAACAAGTTCCATACTTCCGCTTAAATCAGTCCCTCCAGAAAAACGCGATTATGCGATCGCTGAATTCAATGCAAAATCAGCCAAAGTCCGCATATTTATGCGGGGGCCGCATTTATTCAAATATGCCGCACTTTCGCCGCATAAATTGCCGATTTCCGTGCAAAATATGTGGGGTTTGCATAATTTCATAATCCTCGCATTTTCGTTGCAAAAAAAGTCACATGTATCTTAGCAGAAAGTTGAAAAATGTTGCGTTTGCTTCACACAAGAGCAGCCATTTCCCCCTGTTTCCATGGGAACGTTATGAAGTGACGCAATTACGCGACGCCAGACAGACTCACGGAGGTGATTGACATCTCGTATAACTGTCTGTCACACGTTCTACCGTCACATCGTTACTTAATAAACAACATAAGATAAAATAAGTTGCATCAAACAGAAATTACCCGCACACATGGGTTCGAGGCGCACATATAACACTGCAGAGAGTTCAACAGGAGCGCGCAGCTCTTAAAGGGGCCACGCCTTATTTACACTCGTTACAGTCTGAAATAAAACAAGATGAGAAATTAAATATTCCCAGCACTTTCTATGATGTAGTATGCTTGCTTATTAAAGGAAGTAATAAGAAATGACTCTTACATTAGCCTAGTGAGAACAGGGTGTTGGGGGAATCACTTTTTTTCTCTTTTTCATCAAACTACAATTTTTGCAAGTTCCCTCAATTTTTGCAAATTCCTGCAATTTCATCGCATAAAATTGTATAAATATCCCGCATATTCCATCGCATTTTTAAAGAAAACTGGCCGCGTAATCAATCAAATTTTGCCCGCAACAATCACAAAAAAACTCTGCGTTTTTCTGGAAGGACTGAATTATTATGGTAAATGTTATATATAAATCGCAAATTTTTTCACAAATTTTTGGAAATTACCACCACAAAATCAGTCATTTTGATCGCAAAAATCACACAAAAAAATCGTGAAATCCTGGAGGGACTGTTAAATGCGTCATAAACCTATGCCTTTGTTTTTGTAAGAGGTTAGCGACCTATAGCGGCGAAAAAACTGCATTTTCTTTAAGCCATTAATCCATAAATCATAATAATGTGCCTTTAATTGCCTATAAAATGTGTATAGTCTAATCAGTGCTCACATGCACACATAAAGCTCGCCACAGCGCACCGGCAAAGGCGAGTATACGCTGAGCTTTGGCTCATTTATGTGAGTGAATCTACAGGAAACGCCATTATTTTACTTTTACAGAAATAAAAGTAGACCCTTTACAGTTTGCGTTACTTTTTTCTGTGTGACCAAAAATAACGGAGAATGTAAAGTTAAACTCAAGTGATGACGCCTGTATGTGTCATGCAGTAACACACTCTCCACACAACACTTGGATATACACCTAATAAGTGCACATTCCTCAAGGAAGTTTTGCTACTTGTGGGTTTTAAGCCATATTTGAGGTTGATTAATGACCGTTAACGATCTGTCCGTTTCAGCCTGCGGCTTTGCAACAATTCTATGACTAATACATATAATAAAAATAATTTGTCGATTGCTTAATAACGTTGTGTTTTTGCTGCTTACGGTTTGTGCTTTGCTGCTGTGGGCAGACACGGACGGGCTGATCAGTCAGGCTCTGTTAGTGGGCAACTTCGAGGGCGCCGTGGATCTGTGCTTGAGTGACGGGCGTTTCGCGGAGGCCATCCTGCTGTCAATCAGCGGAGGGGAGGAGCTTCTGAAGAAGACGCAGCAGCGCTACCTCACCCGCCAGACCAACCGCGTCTCCATGGTAACCGCTCATATCTATATATGACCTCATTTATTTATTTATTTATTGCATCATAATTTTTTTTTGCATCAGTATTATCTTTATCATTATTAGTTTAATTTGCTGTTTTTTATTTTATTTTGAGTATTATTACAATTATTATAATGTTAATGTTTTTATGGTTATTATTAGTTGTCATCTTTATTTATATTATTATTATTACCATTATTGTCATTATCTTATCTAAATTCATAGTGTTCATATTATTATTGATATTTTAGTAATTATTATAATAATTGTAATTATTAATGTTTTTAATGTTCTTATCATTATTATTTTTTTGTTGTTATTTTGTTTATCATTGTTATTATTTTAATTTAAGTATTACTATTTTTACTATTATTAGTAATATCGATAGATGGATATAATTATAATAACAACAACAACAATAATAATTGTTGTTTTTGTTGTTATTAATAATCTTGCTCATATATTTATTCATATTTTAACTATTATTGTTATTGCTATTATTATTGTTATTATTATTGCCATTATTGTTGATGTTATTTTAATTATCATTATTATTTTGAGTATTGCTACTATTATTATTAGTAGTAGTAATAGTAGTAATAAGATAATAATAATAACGATAAGACTAATTGTTGTTATTAGTCAGCTTGTTCATATTAATATTAATATTTTAGTAATTATAGTTGTTATTGCTAGCAGGATTCTCGTTGTTACTCTTCTTTTAATTATTAGTATTCTTATTATTGCTATTATTATTGGTGTTCGTTATGGTTATTATTATTGGTGATGTTATTAGCCGTTGTCTTATTATTATTCATTAAAATATTTTAATGGTTAAGATAATAATAATTCTTCTTTTTATTTCTTATAATTATAATGATTATTGTTTGTCCTCAGCTGATCTCGTCAGTGGTGACGCAGAACTGGTGTAATATCGTCCAGAGCTGTGAGCTGAAGAACTGGAAGGAGGCGTTAGCGGCTCTGCTAACCTACGCTAACCCAGAAGAGTTCGCTTCTCTCTGCGGTGAGATCATGACCAAGAGGAGTCTCACATCAAGTCATTATGGAGAAATATATAGAGTACAGATAAACTTTGAATCCGAATAGAGTAGTGTGTTGTTTTGGAGTGATTGACAGATGTGTGTGTGTGTGTTCAGATACTCTAGGAGCTCGTCTGGATGCTGAAGGCTCAGAGAAACACCGTCTGCAGGCGTGTCTGTGCTTCATCTGCTCCGGGAACATCGAGCGTCTGGTGGAGTGCTGGACGTCACAGAGAGACTGTTCGTCTCCGCTCGCGCTCGAGGTCACGTCACCATCACACACACACTTATATATGTGTCAGGATTCAATTCACATTTATTTGACAACACCTTTCACAATACACATCTTCTGCATCCCTATTCGCCTACTCGTACTACGTCCTAAAAGTATGAACTCTGCAAGCTTTGGGACACACTACTTCATCATCTTGAACATTTTTAACGGACGCCTCTGTCGGTTATGTGCGTCCTGTCACTGTAAACTGGCCTGTCAATCATCATCATCATCATCATCATCATCATTCAATCTAATTTAATTTCCTACCAATGTTGGGTCCTTCATGCAGAGACTCTCCTCATGTGTTTGATGCATTTGAAAGTTAATGGCGTATCCTTACAAAAGTTCACAATGCTGCTTCAGATGCTATATAATGTGAACAACATTGAATAAATACATTTGTCAGGTTAGATACTGATAATTAATCACTCAAACCCGTTTATCTAAACCTCTCTGCATAACCGCTGGACTCGTGCGTCCTCCATATCTGTAGTTTTTAACACTTTTCACTTTGTAGTTCTAATGGAATCCTCGTCCAACGCGCGATGGGCAGTATTAGCCGTTAGCATGTTCCCGGATCTGCACTTGGATATAGTAGACAATCCGGGTCTCTTTGATACTCATTTCAACGTACTACGATTTGGGACGTACTAATTTTATTTTCGAATACTATTTAGGACGGATAGGGACGCTCTGATCGTTTCAAAGCATCTTTACAGAAAATGCAGTTCACGTTGTAATTTACAGTGATTTTATTAGAGGAAACTAAGTTATGTGTTTGTTCATATACAAAATCACAGTTAGCTAAAAATGTCTTAGTTTAAATAATGTAATAATTTAACCCTCAGGTGCTCTTCGTTTCGGAGTCACTCTTGTTATCTTCCCGGTCAAAAGTGACCGGACACCTAAAAATGAAACTTTCTCCATTCCAGTAAAACCAATGCAATTTATTTTTGTTCTATAATATTTATTCTTTTTAATTTAGTGTTTTGAGACAATTTAATTGAATTTATTAATATTTATGGTTTATTTTTGCCATGGAAAAATATATATATTTTTCTATATTTATATATATTTTTTTTTTTTCAAAAAAAATATTAACGCTGTATTTTAGTTTAATATAAAGTCTAGGCCTTCTTCAAAAAAATATTTTTTGAAGAAAATTAGCACCATCTGGTTACAGTATAGAGAAAAAGCGTAGAATTATGGTGTGACCACTAGATGGCATGTACAGCTCTCTATGGAGAGGCATGTGAATTCCCCAGCTGTTTATGAACACATTTTTTTTGTTGTTGTTGGTGGATTTGAGTATATAGTTGAAACAATCTCAAAAACTATTTCTTAATAAAAAATTTGACAAACAAAAATTCACAATTTTTTTATCATTTTTTACAATTTCCCATTCATTTCTTATGGGGGTCATTTTTGACCAACGACCACAAGTGTGACTATTTTTTTTAAGACCACTTAGCATGCTCAGATCATGACCTCAATTTTTTTGTGTGTTCACATACATAATGCCATAAAAGTCACCAAGTTTCGTAACGTTCCGATGAAGCTGCGATTTTTAAAAATTCAAAACTTTTTCGGTCAGAAAATGACCGAAGAGCACCTGAGGGTTAAGGCAGAAACGATGAGCTCAGTGAAGTAATGAATATTTGCGTCTGTGTGTGATGTTGTATCCTGACGTCTGTGTTCTCGTGTGTGTGTGTGTGTAGGATCTGGTGGAGAAGGTGATGATCCTGCGGAAGTCGATCGAGCGTCTGCGTAACCGCGAGGTGTGTGTGCGGAGCTCAGCGCTGACGGAGAAGCTCATCCAGTACTCCAGTATACTGGCGTCACAGGGCAGCCTGAACACCGCGCTCAACTATCTGCCCGACGACTCCGACCAGGTACACACACACATTTATTTATATATATAAAAATTCTTTAAAATGCGTTTGGACACTCAACATGCAGCGAACAACCTTCCCACACTTGTTATGAGAAATTCTGGTTTAGTTTATCATTAATGTAACTAGGGCTGGGTATTGAGACAAATTTCACAATTCAATTCGATTTCGATTCAATATCAATTATTTTGGATATCAGTTACAATAAATGGCAATTTTTCTCAAGGGAATCAAATCTCCTAACTAATGCTGTAAACTATGGGAGTCTAGTTGTAGCCTATAGACTTCATTAGCCTAATATGAAGGTAATAATGAAATAATCTTCTTATTATAAAAATAAATAAAGGTGTAATTTAAGTGATTATATGAAATGTAAACATTTAAATGGTGGCTGTCATAAAAACTTGCCAGATTTATTCAAATATGCATTAAATATTGAAGAACATTAAGATTATAATGCATATGTAATATGGTGTATATATTCAGCAAAATGCTCCTCTCTAGAGTTATTTTTTCTAGCTGACTAACGAGTTTATGTGGGTTTTCTGAGGTAAATATGACGATGACATTGATTACAAGCTGTGTAACTGTTTAACTAACTGCTGATTGAGTGAATCAATGTGTCATGATCCGGATTTGGATAAGTTGTACTCTATCTTTAACACACTTTCAGATGCTCATTCATGTTTATTTGGCGCTGTGACTGGTATTATTAAGCCGGAAGAGAGATCAGCGCTGCTGCTTCTCCAGAGCGATCTCACGCCACAGCGACAAAACGCTATTTATGTTTTTGAATTTCTAAAGAAAATGGACGTAATTTGAAAAATTGAGACTTTGTTTCATATCAATAGTAACAAAGGACAAAGATTATTGCGATTTTTTTTGAATGCGCGCAGCCGCGATACAATGATCCATTCATTCAAATGAAACAGGATGACTAATCGATTCTTGAGATTTAAGAATCGATATCGGTTCGTAAAAATGAGAATCGATTAATATCGAGAAATCGATATTTATTACCCAGCCCTAAATGTAACGCACTAACACACCTCTGACAATCACCCACAAAAACCTAGAAACCCCCAGAATACCCCACGTTTGCATTGAAAGTACGTTTCTTGTGCTCCGTGTGTGTGTGTGTGTGTGCGTGCTCTAGGTTGCTGTTGGGATGTTGAGAGACAGACTGTCGCATGCGAAGGGAGAGACGCTGCAGAGACAACACCCGTCCACACCAGCAGGAGGCGCTGCGAACACACACACACCTCCAGCACACACACAGGTACAGATAAAACACCCGTCCACACCAGCAGGAGGCGCTGTGAACACACACACACACAGGGTACAGTTCACTCCAGTACAGTAGAGTCGGTCTGTCATCATCGGGTCTGTGGTTTTGATGTGCACGCGGTCTGCTGATGATCATCAGACACTGTTTGCTTTCCGATGACCTGATGTGTGTGTGTGTTGTGAAAGACGACGCTGGCATACAGTGTGTCTGCTCTTTGCCAAGGGGCGTCTCGCTCTGATTTACAGTGGATTTTTTTCGAGTCATCATCGTGTTTGAGGCTTTCCGCTGTCTTCTGGGAGTTTTGCTAAACCAAATTAAGGTTATAGTTTCACAACAGACATTTGTGGCTTTTAAATATCATTATGAAAACATTGTTGTGTAAGCATTCATACTTGAACTGGTTCAAAACACACCAGAAAGTCATTCAGATACTGTTATAGTTTTTATTAATCATTTTTAATTCGTTTTTATTTTTGTTTCCGTTTTTATTTTCATTTCAGTGCTTATACTTTTATTAACTAAAACCATAACAACATTTACTTTAACTTAATATTTATTTATTTTTAACCAAAGCAATATTTCTTTTTTTTCATTTGATTTAACTATAATAACTCGCGATTATTACTATATTAACTTGTCGCGTGATATGGAAATGACCTCGGTCACCACAAATTCAGAAAAGTTGGGAGATTTTGTAAAACAAATAGAAAATGAAGTACAAATAAAAAATGAATCTATGTTTTCACTGGCTAAATTAAATTATTTTGATGGCTGCAACACGCTGTAAAATAAGCTGTGACAGAGTCAGAATAAAACTGATAAGATTAAAGAATATCCAAGTTAAGCTCTTTTGAAACAGTCCACTATTAGTATATGCTATCATGATCGGGTTAAAGGAACAGCTCAGTCTTTGCGAGCAAATATAGGTCATGGCTAATCACCAAATTTCATAAGAGATATTGTCAAATGATTAAAAAAAAATCATGTTTCTCAATGCAAGATTGCAAAGGATTTAGGTCTTTCACCATCTAACATACATGATATTGTCCAGAGAAATCTCAGTCTGTGTGGGGCGAGGCAGGAGACCTGTTATATGTGCTTGACCTTTGACCCCTCAGATGGCATTGCCTGAGAAGCCATCCTGCTACGGAGAAGTGCACCTCGAATATCGAGAAATTCCACTTGCAAAACTCTGACGATTAGTATCTTCAATTCCTGAAAGATTAAAAGTGTCATGTGATGTGAGACAGAGGTGGACAGGCCTACTTTTTTATATTGCAGCCATCAAAATCAAAAAGATTATACTTAAAAAATATAATGTGCAAATCTAATCTTCATACTTTTGTCAGTTCAAAAAAGAGAATTAGCATTAACGTTTTATTGCGATTTGAACGAGTGAACATGCGAACTCATTCCCTGACATTAGATGGCACTTAATGTAAAACAGAAATAATACTAGGGTGACCATCAAAAACCAGGACACTCGGCCTAGCAACTCAAATGATACTCGAAGTTTACTCGAAGATGCCTTATTAATTTCAATACATTTAAATGCCTCCTCTGTATGGATAGAAAATTGTTACAGATTCAGATAGGCTTCTCAGAGGTTACTCAACATGACAGGTTTAAAAAATAATGATAGAAATAAAGTCTTCTGTATTAGAAAAATAAATATATTAATAATAAATAACTAAAAGAAATGCCTTTAGACCCCGTTTTCACCTGTATTCAGCATCGTCCACTCGTGATCCGAACAACCGAACCGCACCTTAACACCAGGTGTCCACACTGAGGCCTAATCCTGCCTTAATCTAAGTTTAACATCTAATATTAATTAGGGCTGGGTATTGACACAAATTTCACAATTCGATTCAAATTCGATTTCGATTCAATATCAATTATTTTGTATATCAGTTACAATAAATGACAATTTTTCGCAAGGGAATCAAATCTCTTAACTAATGCTGTAAACTATGGGAGTCTAGTTGTAGCCTATAGACTTCATTAGCCTAATATGAAGGTAATAATGAATAATAATGTTCAAAAATACTGTTTTGTAGCTATACAAACACTTAAATTACACTTTTATTTATTTTTATAATAAGAAGATTATATGAAATATAAACATTTAAATAGGGGGCTGTCATAAAAACTTGCCAGATTTATTCAAATATACATTAAATATTGAAGAACATTAAGATTATAATGCATATGTAATATGGTGTATATATTTAGCAAAATGCTCCTCTCTAGAGTTATTTTTTCTAGCTGACTAACGAGTTTATGTGGGTTTTCTGAGGTAAATATGACGATGACATTGATTACAAGCTGTTTAACTGTTTAACTAACTGCTGATTGACTGAATCAATGTGACATGATCCGGATTTGGATAAGTTGTCCTCTATCTTTAACACACTTTCAGATGCTCATTCATGTTTATTTGGCGCTGTAACTGGTATTATTAAGCCGGAAGAGAGATCAGCGCTGCTGCTTCTCCAGAGCGATCTCACGCCACAGCGACAAAACACTATTTATGTTTTTGAATTTCTAAAGAAAATGGACGTAATTTGAAAATTGAGACTTTGTTTCATATCAATAGTAACAAAAGACAAAGATTATTGCGATTTTTTTGGATGAGCACAGCCGCGATACAATGATATTAATATTGTATTTCGGTTACCAATAACAACACTGGTAATAATAAGTTGGTCTGACTTGCTCCTGGTGTGTGTTTGCATCATCACGGCTGCTCAGACTGTTGCGTAAGCTGATGTGTTGTAATGTGTGTCCTGCGCAGGGGTCGTACCCGTCCACACTCCCTGCTCAGACGATGCCCCGTCTCTTCACCCCTCAGACTGAGTCTGCTGGAGCGCCCCGGCCCGGCCTGAGACCACAATACCCACAATACCCTGCCACAGCTCCAGGTAACCACATCAGCTTCATAACACACCCTAATTACTACGGCTGCCGTCGAATAAAGGTTTTTCTAGTCGATATTTGAGCCATTAGTTGACTAATCGCGAGTTTATATTAATAAACCATCAATCATAATAATGCCTTTGCGATTTCAAAATCGCGATAAGCCAAATCGGTTTAAGCGAGAAATTGCGATAATCATGTAAATAATGTTATCGTGCAGCCCTGTTCAAAATACATCCTAATAATTAAAATAATGAAGAAGAAAAAAGTTATTACTGACCCTAAGTAATTTTTGTACTCTTTGCAGAGTCTTAAGGTACTTGCTTTTTGTGTTTTTCACTGTATTCGTCATTGATTGGCTCTGAATTGTCTAACACCACTCAAAATGCGTGCTACGGAGGCGAAAAACGCAAAAAAAATCAAACCCGATACGAATTTTTTTATGACGGGCGAAAGTTTCGGAGGCCTTGTGGTAATGTGATTAAGGTTGTATTTATTTATTTATTTTTTTATTGGAATGTACAAAAGGGTACAGCAATAACAATAAAAGTATACATTCCCTTTTTCCCCATTTTTAACAACTATTAAGGGTGGACTCAAACATGAACAATCCATATAACCCTCAGTAAACCTCGACCCACCCACCCCGAGGAGGGAAATTAAACAGAAGTATGTTTACAAAGTACACAATAAATTAATAAAATAAATATTAAAATTATTAATTTTTTTTTTCAGTAAAAAAAAAAAAAAGGTAATAATAATACAATAAAAATAAATGGAAGAATAATACGACACCACCCAGATTACATCCTGGGTTTAGGTAATTATACACAGAAACCATAGGTTAATTAAAAATATTGACAAAATTTGTATTCTTGACAAAATTAAGTAGAGGGTCCCAGTTTTTATAAAATTTGTCAGTGGAAACTCTTAGTGCAAACTTAATTTTTTCAATATATAGAAAAGACATCAACCAGTAATTATTTATTTTTCTTAACTACTTTCTTTTTCTTGACTCAGTGTGCAAGGACCTTTACACACTCTAGTATATGTGTCGTCCTCCAGGTTTCCCTCAGTCTCAGCCGTTCCCTCAGTCGGGGTCTCTCGGGGGCCCTGTGGGCTTCATGTCGGGCCCGTCGATGCCCTCCTCCGGCCTGACGGGTCCTTCAGTGCCGCCCGCGTCTCCGCCGGGACCCCTGATGTCTCCTACAGCCGCTCCAGGGTTCACATCACCCACCTCTCTGCCGGGCGGCCCGATGCCCTTCTTCCCTGGCGCTCCACACACACACGCACCCGCCAGCGGTGTGTATACGCCTCTCGGAGCCGGTTATCCTCAGGGCGGACCCGGCGCTCCAGGGGCCAAGAGCTTCACCGGCACCAGCCTCCCGCCTCCACCCACAGGTACATGCAGAACACATCTACAGTTTAGAAGGACTACATGAAAAATGAAAATGTTACTCACGTTTTTAACTATCCTTACCGTCGAAAGTGTGAAGGATTCAGATGTTTCATGTATTTGAAAGAGGTTTCTTCAGGAAGACCAAAAATAGATTATGTTCAATGATGATGATAAAAAGGCCCCAGCTGATCTCCTTCTGTTTTAGGAAGAGAGTTGCAGAGGTTTGGAGAATAAAGGATGACAGAAATGTTTGTTTTTGGGGAGTTAAACTCCTCTGTAGTGTCTCTGAAACACTGTTCCTGCTGTTTGATTTCCAGGATATTTCCCATGGCTGACTTACCAGATAGAAGAGGAAGGTGTGTGTGTGTGTGTGTGTGTTTTATATAAGCTTCAAAACAGAGTTAGTTGTGTGTGTGTGTGTGTTCCAGTGCTTCATAGGGACAGCAACAGTCCAAACATCCTCGAATCGGCTCTTCTAATATTTAATGCTGACTGATTATGAGTAGTTTGTCATAATAAAAGCACACCAGTCATGTTGAGCTTCCTGTGTGATCTCCCAGAGGCTCATGGGTAATAATCTGTGTGGCTTTTGTACGTTTGCTGTGTGGGTTTTGCATTAGGATGATCTAAACTGACAGATTAAGAGGAAGGAGATTTAATAAAACTGTTCAAAGTTTGGGATCTGTAAGATTTTAAATGTTTTTTTATTCATCAAAGCTGCATTTATTTGATCAACAGAACAGACAATATTTTGAAATTACATTTTAAAAGCTGTTTTCTATGTGAATATATATAATATATATATATATATATTTGGCCTGTGCAAAAATTAATTGCGATTAATCGCATCCAAAATAAAAGTCTGTGTTTACATAATATATTTGTGTGTGCTGTATATAATTATTTTGTATATATAAATACCTATGCATGCATGTATATATTTAAGAATTATTTGTGCTTAAATTCTGTATATATATATATATATATATATAAATACATAATCTATATTATATAAATATAAATATTTTATATATGAATTACACATTTTCTTAAATATATACATGCATGAGTGTGTGTTTATATATACAAAATAATTATATACAGCACACACAAATATATTATGTAAACACAGAATTTTATTTTGGATGCGATAAATCGCAATAAATTTTTGCATATATATTGCACATATATATATATATTAGAGCCCGACTAATAAAGGATTTTGAAGGCCGATACCGATACAAATATTTTTAGGTTTTAAAATCCGATATTCCGCTATATCGGCCGATATTTTATTTATTTATTTGAAACTGGACATGATAGTCACAAATTTTGTCATGCTTATTTCAGTTATAAGAGAACTGATGGGGATGTTCTTTTAATTGTTATTCAAGCAATGACCAACTCAACGAGTGTTGCCAACAGGGACGGTGTAGAGCGCCCTCTGGTGGACAAACTATACAACTCCAACATGACATGGTTCAAGCGTGTTTCGTCCGCTTTTATTTTATTTTTGAAATATTCATTTATCGGCCATTATAACTGCCGATACCGATAGTTTGGAAAATGCCTAATATCGGCCGATAATATCGGTCTGCCGATATATCGGTCTGGCTCTAATATATATATATATATATATATATATATCTCATCATAGCATCATTACTCCAGTCTTCAGTGTCACATGATCCTTCACAAATCACTCTAATCTGATGATCAAGACATATATATGATGATTATTATCAGTGTTAAACAGTTTAATGCATCCTTGTTAAATCAGACTGTAGTTTAAATCAGGCAGAAAAACAATCGACACTTAAATCACTCTTAGAAATGTGAGTGAATATCAGATCAAGTTTCTGTTGATGTAGCGTTTCAAACCTGACAAACTCAAATGTTTGGCTTGATGAAGTGTGTGTTTGTGGGTCTTCCTGTACTATAAACCAGTCGTCGTCGAATGCGATGACGTTCACATGTTTATAAGTGTGCCTTGAGTGTCCAGATGAGTTTTGCTGCTGCTTTATTAATGCATGCGTTATTATTAACATGCGTGTTTTGGTGACCGTGTGTCTTCTCTCGTCAGCGGCTCGTGACGGGTGGAACGATCCTCCAGCTGTACGCTCAGGACAACGCAAGAAAAAGGTATTTATTTGCATAATGATGTTAATACCGATTATATGGGAAACAATATGATGAGTAGAAACCTTCTCTCCTGAATGGACTCTGAGTGAGTTAGACTGCAGTTCCTCCACTGGCCACTAGAGGCGCTGCAGAGGAGACTCACTCCCATTGACCCGCATGTTAAAATGCCCAACTTTACAGCAGAATAACACATGTTTACAGTCTGGTGTTAAAAGTGGTTTTGGTCTATATCGCTAATGTTGCCCTTCATGACGACTGTGAGGGTGGTGAACGTTTTTATAACTCATCCGTTTAAATTATATTTAGACTTAAAGTTCTGCATAATTAAGGGCGTGGCCAGGTGGATTTCCGCTGATATCACTACTAGCCGTTTGTCTGCTGTGTGTTAGCGTCACGTCACCTCAGCTAATCCGCCTCGCTGCACATGTTCATTTATCTGAGAGTGACGCGCGGCCAAGATGGCGATGGCCGGCTCCGCCCACTTTTCTGAAATGCACTTCAGAAACACTACAGGTTACATCACGCCCATATTTTTTTACAGTCTATTGTTTATAGAGTGTGTGTGTGTGTGTGTGTGTGTTGTACAGCTGCCAGAGAACTACACTCCTCCTGCTCCGATCACAGCGCCGGTGATGGGCTTCCCAGCGGAGAATCCTACGCAACAGGACCGAGTCCAGGTGCCGCCCGGAGCCCCTCAGGAGCCCAACATACAGGTCAGAGGTCATCGTATTGGAGTCGGGTCAGATGTGCTAGTGTGATCGAAGGCGGTCAAAATGGCTGAAAATATAAATTCCGATTTCTATCTTAAATATTAGCAAAATTCGAATTATATTTGAATTCTAAAGGCAAAAAGTAGTGTATTGTGTCCTATGCCCACAAGAGGGCGCAGTATATAAGCAAATCTAGCGTTGCATCTTTTATTGAAATCAAATGACATTCACTTTTTAAAGGGTAGCCTATTAACTTTTGAAACCATTTAGCCAAACTGGATAAGCTAACAAAAACACGTCATGTGTTCGTCATGTCTCGCGCCTCTTAACACACCAATTACAAAATGTACGTTTTTGCATTCGAATGTGCTGTTTTTTTAACGCTCTGGTGCTCTTTGCGTCTGTGACAAATTAGCACATTTTTTTATTTATTTTTTATCAATGAAATAAATGTACTACATTTTAGTTTGATAATGTTTTTTTATTTAATATTTTGTATTTGTAGGGAATTTTTTTTATTCGAAATGATATTTACGCTGCATTTATAATCCATTTATTCACTAAATAAATTCTGTTTAAATAAAACCACACCATCAGTGTTTCCGCTACATTCATTCTCCCGTGGCGGGCCGCCACACTTAAAATCCTCCCGCCACGGCTGCAGCTTCTCAGTGACGTCCGACATTCTGCATATTGTGTTATTTTGTTAAGCCTCACTAAAGGCATAAAAAAAACTTTGTAAAGCACAATCAAGTTTTCACACTATACTCCAAGACTTCTAAAGTCATTCAATAGCATAATGTGTGGTAAAATTAATATTTTAGTCGTTAACGGAAAGTCATCTCGCCTCAGTCATTCTCCATTCAGCTTTCACACAGCGCGTCGCGTTCGGTTGCGACAGTAAACACGACGACACTCTCTTCAAGATCAATGTTCCCAATATTATACTTTATTTGTAGATAAAGCAAAGGTCTATATTATTTGCATAAAATGACTTTATCTTGCTGGAGTGGAGTTTATTGCCCTTTCTAAATCACATTCCCTTCTCCCGGGTGTATGTAAGATTACAGCACTGGAGTCGAGAGAGTGCGCGATTGTTCTTGCGCGCTGAAATTTAAAACTGTTAAAATAAAAGGCTCAAAAAACTGTTGCATAGATAGAATACACTGCGCATTAGTGCTGCAAGATGAATCATATCGCAATCGTAATAGCGATCTCAAACCTATGCAATTATAACGCAAAATGCCGCGATTTTATATTAAATAAACAAATTAGGACTAACGCAGCATCTCTTCTTTTTTGTCATCCTTTGACTAGTCTTACATGATCCCGCTCTTATTCGTGCAAATGCCTTTTCGCATTTTGCACGACAAGAAGTGAAAAGCTGCCTGTGAGTGCCCTAGAATAGACGAGACTCGCATAATGCGCATGCACTGACCGCGTGCCAGAATATACAGTTCTCTTTCGAGCTTGAACGAACAATAGCACACACAATTATGCCAAAATGTCGTTTTGTCTAATATCTTCTTAACATAAGAAAAGTCTTATGGACAAAGAGTTGTGCGCTATGAGGCGCGTGTGAGATCCGCGTCTCGGCAACGGGTTCTCTTAAAGGGCCAGCAGCGAATAAAGCGTTCTGTCAGTAAAGTTAAAAGAACAAAGGGAAATTAGAAAATTACTCACTGATCTTGACTAAAGAACTTTTGTAGCTTTAATAAGGATTATTCTATATATAATTTATGATTCATGCAGCGCAGACTGTTTGATAACTTTATTCAATTTCTGTACCTGTTAAGACAGGAAGGGCACAATAAATATGTTTTTTATTATGGGTTTATGTGGGGATTATTTGAAGTTCACTACATCTAAAAGCTACTATAATTTTTTAAGCCTATAATTTTTTTTAAAAAGTTGATAGCTTACAATTGTACTGATGGAATCACTGTAATGTTGGTTTGGTTGAAGGTTTATTGATCATTATAGGTGTTATCAATCATTTAGTTGTTGTTTTTAGTTTAAGTTGAGAAATAAACATCAATACACAGAATGATCACTAATCTGTGTGTGCATTTTACTTTAGAACCAATAGTTGGACTCATGAAACCATTTTATTATATCGGAATCGCATATCGCAATTGCAAAATTGGCTCAAAAATGGCAATATGACATTTTCCCCAAAATTGTGCAGCCCTACTAAGCATAGATTTAATCCCCTTCCCTTCGCTCTGTTCTTTTCAATGCGAAGCGTTGTGTGCTGTGACTTGGTGTTGCTTCAAGTGCATCATTCTGCACACGGGATGCGCATGATCGCTTATAATACTTTGGGGAGACAAGGGGGCGTGGCCTAAGGGAATATCACTCGTGGGCCACGCCCCCTCCCCCTGGGGAAATGGGCCTGCCCCCACAGCTTGGAAAAATCCTAGAGGAAACACTGCACCATGCAAAAAACTTTTAATGCATTCGAATGTGCAGTTTTTAGTTTGTTTTTTGACGAGTATTTGAAGTTGTAATTCTGTCACCGTGTGTGTTCAGTCTTTACAGCAGCTTCCGGCGGTGCGAGTGGGACAGAAGGAAATCCCCCCCGAACACATGATCATCAAGACCACCTTCAGTAGTTTAGTTCAGCGCTGTCAGCTGGCCGCCACAGACCCGGTAAACACACACACACACACACAGCATAACTCTAATCTGATTGGCTGGCTTTATGCAACCTTCTGGAATCAGTGCTCATGTTTGTATCCCGTCCACCTAGAAACTAAGTGTTTGTCTGATGCAATCTTTTGTAATCTTTTATCATGACATTGCAGCACATTAGTTTCAACATTGATGATAATCAGAAATGTTTATCATATAGCAGTAGTGTAGATGGTACAAACACAAAGCCTTTAAAAAAAAAAATTATAATGATTTTATTATAATGTCCTGCATACAGAATTAATACCCAAATTATTGATTTAAGAAGTGTATTACATTCTCAAAAGTATCGTAAATATAAAGATTTTCATTATTGTTGTGTACACGTGTGAGGATTTAACCACAATAAACTGCAACGTGCTTTTGATTTCTCTCAGTTTCTGACATTAACTTTCCTTCCAGCAAACGAAGCGCAAACTGGACGACGCCTCCAAACGTCTGGAGAGTCTGTACGACAAACTGCGGGATCAAGCGGTGAGTCGAGGACGTCTGATGAGCACGCAGGGGTCGAGCACGGGTTAAAGAGCGTCAGGGGCTTCAATTTGATGTCTTGAAAGTCAAAAACAACCCTATTTTTATTGAAAGACTATATATGTGACCCTCATCTCGAGTCGCACGGGTGTTTCTGTGGCAATAGACGACAATTATGCCAGCTTTTATGCTAAAAATCATTAGGATATTAAGTAAAGATCATTTTCCATGAAGATATTTAGCCCTTGTGCATCCTTATGGACATTTTTGCCCTTTTTTTGTTGTTAAAACTAACTGCAAAAAAACTTGGCACAGGTGTGTATTTTTTGGGGGGAATTTTACTATTTCACTGTCATTTTCTTAAAAAAATATTTTTTGCATTAGGTACAAAAAAATACTCCCGCTCAGCCCCTTTCGGACAAAAATGTCCCCATTGAAACCCATTAAAACTGCCATTTTTAATCCCCGGTTCAGTTAACTATAAAATTATGCAATCTATGTTAAGAGGCTTTCATTCTGATGGCAAGGCTTCCAAATTTTATTTTTTACTATTTTTTCTCAGATGGTGCCATTTTTTTTAAAGTTTGACATATAAAACAAATATCGCTTTATTCGTATGTGTGTTATAAAAAAATATGTGTGTGTTTGTAATACTGAGAGAGAAAAACTGCAAATTCAAATCCAATCACTGTGAGCTCCAGTGGGGTTTTGCTGCCACCCAATGGGGAAAATATGTTACTACGCCCAAACAAACTGTTACCCAAAGCTCATTTTTTGAGATATCATCCTCAAATTCGAAACACAACCTATTTAGATTTATGGCTTTGATTTTATTGCAGTTTTGAGTTCAACCTGATTTATAAAATATTTTTTTTATAAATAATTTTCATAAACTTATACCTATATAACTTCTTTTTGGATTTACTTATTATTATTTTTTTACTTCAGCAATAATCTGCAAAGGGTCTTCTTTAAAATGATACCAAACTTACGCCGCCTTCACACTGGCAGTTGAAATCAGCTCCGATGCGGCTGCGAAACGACCGGAAGTCATTCATTTCCTATGGAGATTCGCAGACCGCATGCGAATGGGTCCGAAACGGGTCCGACCGAGTGCGGTGCGAAGAAAATCGTGTCCGTTGGTCATCCGGATGCGTTCAAAAATTTGAACTCTTGCGAAAAGCTACGGACGGTTCCTATCCGACAATTCCAGCGGAAGTTGAGCGTTGCTATGGTACTGATAAACAAACCTGAATTATTAACTTTTAATAAAATAAATATTGATTTTATAACGATAAGTTGTGATGTCATTTTTTATTTTCATGACTTTCTAACGTTTATAAGGGCAGTTAATACAATTAAATTGAAGGTAGACATTGAACTATTGACCACTATATCACATTTTTTAGCCGACCTGACATGTCAACGTCCTGAGCAACTTTCCTCACGCAGCATAACCCAGAGAGATCATACAGAACTGACAGAATCAATCTTTAATCTCTCCGCCATTTTTGTTCTACCCGCGTCCGACGCTTTTCACTGTGTAGTACGACGTCCGTTGGGAACGTATTGCGTATTACGGAGCTGATTTCAACTGCCAGTGTGAAGGCAGCGTTAAGCTTTCTGTGCTCCAAAGCGTCACATTTTTATGAGAGTTTTTTGACATGGACATTTTTGTCCCTTTTTTTTACCTGTGTAACTTTTTTTAATTGATGCACAAGGGTTAGTAAATGTCCTGTGAGGGAGTGCAGCACAATCGCCAACACAGACACACACAACTTTAAAGCAGATTTTCTCAATGTTTCGATGTTTTTGCGTCTTCAATATTTGCGTCTCAGCCAATTATATAGTCCTATCATAACAAACCATACATCAGTGGAAAGCTTATTTATGCATCCGTCATATGATGTGTACATCTCAATTTTAAAATGTGACTGGTTTTGTCATGCAGGGTCACATATGTGAAATAACTGTTTAATTTTATTGATAAAACAATCTTTTCACTCACTCACAATGAAGCTGATATAGAGTTATTTCGCATGTCTATGAGTGTGATATTGCTCATAAATATCCAAGTTTATGATATATCGTTCATTCTACAAGTCAATCATATAATCATGGGAGAAGAAATCCGTTTGAATAAAGAAAGCGATATCTTTGTTATAATATCCTTTCAGTGGACTTTACTTCAACCATTTTGTTTTATTGGTTTAATATCCTTTTTGTTGATCTATTTACATTTTTTAGAATTTGAAAGATAATAAAGATATCGTTTGATAAGTGAGATCTCTTGAATGTCATATTAGTGTCTGTACGAACCCTAAGGTTTGAGAATATAACTGGTGTTTTGTGTCGCCCCGTCAGCTTTCTCCCAGCATCCTCGGCGGCCTGCACGAGATCAGCCGTTGTGTCAGCGAACGCAACTATCCGCAGGGTCTGGAGGTTCACACGCAGGTCGTGAGCAGCAGCAACTTCAGCGAGATCTCCGCGTTCATGCCCGTCCTCAAGGTGCTCATGACCATCGGCAACAAGCTGGCCGTGTGACGCTCTCTCTCTCTCTCTCTCTCTCTCTCTCTCTCGCGCGCACTGAGCTCAGAACCAGTCCAGCGTTAACATCCCACCACTCCACGACTGGAGCTCTTCTCGTGCGTTTGGTGTTTGCTTTCCTTCTTATTCATCCAACACAAGCAGAACGACTGTTCAGAAAACCATTATTGCGTGTTGCGTGTTTGAATTGAATGTAGTGTGAACTGTTGCATTGAATTCGATGTTAGAAACTGTTAATGCGGCAGTTTAAGAATAAGCCTTAATACACGAGCGGAACGAATTTGTGCAAATTGTCGCATTCAGATCGGCTTGAGAACACGTTTTTGTGCGTAAAACCGTGTTGAATTGAATGCAACAGTTTGTCTGAAAACGAGCGGAACGAATTGCATTGAATTCAACATGAGACTAAGAATGTGCCGAAACTTAAAGGAGTAGTTCACTTTAAAAAAAACTTTTGCTGATAATTTACTCACCCCCATGTCATCCAAGATGTCCATGTCTTTCTTTCTTCAGTCGAAAAGAAATGAAGGTTTTTGATGAAAACATTCCAGGATTTTCTCCATATAATGGACTTCAATGGGGTCCAAACGGTCCAAGGTCCAAAAGACAGTTTCAGTGAAGCTTTAAACGACACCAGACGATGAATAAGGGTCTTATCAAGTGACGATCGGCCATTTAAAAAAAAAAAAAAAAAAGTTTAAGTTTTATAAGCTCAAATGCTCGCCTTGCTCTGTTCTGTGATGAGCGTTCGTGTCTCTCCTGTTCGAACTTGTTCATCAAAATTAATTAATCTTTTTTTGTGTTATTTGATTCATTCAATGAACGAAATGAACGAAAAAAAAAGATTCATTCATTTTGATAAACGAGTTCGAACAGGAGAGTCATGAATGCGCGTCACAGAACAGAGCAAGGCGAGCATTTGTGCTTATAAAACTTAAACTTTATTCATTTATTTATTAAATGAGCGCTCGTTTTGCTTGATAAGACCCTTATTCATCGTCTGGTGTCGTTTAAAGCCCTTTGAAGCTGCACTGAAACTGTCTTTTGGACCTTGAACCGTTTGGACCCCATTGAAGTCCATTATATGGAGAAAATCCTGGAATGTTTTCATCAAAAACCTTCATTTCTTTTCGACTGAAGAAAGAAAGACATGGACATCTTGGATGACACGGGGGCGAGTAAATTATAAGAAAACATTTTTTTTAAAAGTGAACTACTCCTTTAATGCAACATTTTAAGAATAAGCCTTAATACACGAGCACAAATTTGTGCAAATTGTTGCATTCGATTCAGTTTGAGAACGCGTTATTGTGTGTGACGTGTTCAAATTGACCGCAACAGAATGATCTTAATACACTCGTGTGAATCATTGTGGATTCAGTGCGAGACTGCAGGAACACGACTCAAGCTCAGGTTCGTTCTGTACGCCGGGTTTCATGATTAAAGATCTGATGCTGTCTGTAGTTTAGTCAATGTCAGTGGGTGTTATGGGTGATTATTGAGCGATTGATGAACTGTGTTTTATATTGCACTTGACGCTTGATCTGCACTGCTGTTTCTCCTCCATACACTCCTGAGCTTCTCCAGACGTCTGCTCGGATCTGGATACTTACACGAATGGAAACGTGAATCTGTCAGAAACACGTCCGGGTCAAAATCTAAGAAGAAAATCAAGTTTTTTTGACAGTAAAAATTTTTGTTTTTTACTTTTGCATATTTTTTGTAATTCCCCAAAAACCACTTTTTTTATTCAGTTTAAATTGTGTGCAGCATGCGTATTATGTATAATTACTTAAATTTATTTGCAAATGAGAAATGCATTGAAATTGAATATTAATACTCCTAAAAATAACCTTATTTATATATATATTTATAATTTCCCCTGGTTTTTGATGTGGGCGTGTTCTTGACAACCTATATAATAACTGCAAAGAAACTGAATCCAACTAAACAGTTAATCTGATAAACTAGTTCATCGTTTGTTCTGCTGAAAATGTCAATGTTCTGTGTCTGAAACTGGTCGTTAATGAAGCTTGAAAACACTTGAAGAAAAATAAAATACAGAACTTTCATAAATGAGCGGCGTCTCTGTAATGTCCTGTAAAACTAATAATGGGCAATTAAAGATTAATAAAAACAATACCAGCATTCTTCAGAATAAAGTTCAGTTGTTTTAGTGTTGAGATCAACTATGAACACCTGAGCCAGATTTAATCATATTAAAATGAACTTATAATTCCACACGTAAATCATTGGGCTCTAAAGACGATCTCTGTTGAGATGAGGGTTAAATCAAGTCATTTTCTGCATTTGCACTTCTGGCGAGAAAGAAACATTTTCCAATTCATTACATCACGTAAAACTTGTTTAATAATACTCCCAAATTAAACATGCATAATCAAGTCGAGTCCAAATGTATTTCTATAACACATTTAGAGTTGCACCAAAGTGATGTACAATAAAACACTGAGCATGTAAAAAGAAGCCATGCAGCATATAAAATATAAACACAAACAAAATATTATAAAAATAAAAGTCAGTAATAGAAACTAAAATAATATTTTTTCATGAACCAGTGCATCTTAGTAATCAATAAATTATTAATAGACTATTTTAGACCAAATTATTAAATGTATAAAATGCTATTTTATTTAGCTTGTATGACACATCTTCTTTTCTGAGGGATAAACTGCTCTATCGCTCATAGAGGACTCGTTAAACACATCAGAAGTTGATTACGAGTGCTTCCGTCGGATTTAACGGGGTGTGTCTCACACACACACACACACACACACACACACACACACACTTACACACGGCGTGAGAGTCTGAAAGAATGTGACCGGTTTGAAACCGCAAACTGGCCCGTTCATCAACATCACGTCTCAGTCATTTCAGCGCCGCATTGAACATTCGAGAACAGTTCGCTGATTGGTCCGCCGAAGTCACACGGCGATGCTGATTGGCTGACGTTGATCTGCTGTTGAAATTCCCGGGAAGCTGTGAACGTTGTGACGCAGCACCGCAATGACCGGGAATAACACACTAACCGTGTGTTTTATCAAATGTAAACGTTGATATAACGCCAAATGACATTCATAAAATAGTTTATTTTTAGTAATGGCATTAATAGCAGCCTTTATCTTTATAACAGCCTTCTGTTGCTTACATCATTAAAATAAACAAAAATAAACAAACGTGATATATTTATTAGTTACATGTTATGTTTTTGCAGTGATCTTGTTACCTAAGAAAGTTTTAACAGCATGAATGCAACTTTCTAGTTAGACGTGCTCAGACATGCAGGACTAATTATGGCCTGTGGAAATAAAACTGCACTGTATTGTGATAAAAAAAAAAAAAAATCAGTTGTTGTTTTTTTAAACCTGATGGTTTGTTAATTAATCTGAACTTTGTTCCTATATTTTCATCCAGTTTATTTACATTTCTTTCTAAAGAATGTCCAAAAACACATTAAGAAAATAAGTGCACATGTCAACAGGTTGAGAAGCTCTTTGCTTGAGACTTTATTTCCAGTAATAGATTAAGAAACAAAAGTCCATTCACTATTACAGGCTGTTATCACAAACAAGAACATCATATTAGTTTTAAGAGCCAACGGCGTCTTCCAAACAGCATGAGAAATATCACGACCTCTCGGGTCACAAGAGTCAGAGTGAAAATAAGGCGATCCGTCCTGTGAGAGGAACAGCGGCGTCTTCATCACTGTAAAGTCTGGAAGGAATTACAATCCCAATCGTTTTAAAGGTTGCCAAACTATTAAACTACGTGCAACTTGTCAAAGGAAATCGGAACATGGAAAAATAGCATTTGAAAAATCTCTGAAAATACATTATGTTTGATTAAACGTACAGGTGAAAACGTGACGGCAATCCGGACCATAATTACTGCAAGTGTTTCGTCTGTATTAATATACAATAGAAAAGAGTTCTGTATTAATAGAGCATGCTTACATGAACGTTCCTAGAAGATGCCAACATTAATGTAGGATCAAATCTGGATGATGTTGCGCAGTTAATCACGATACAAAACCAAACTATACATTTACAGTACAAGAATCAACACGCTCAATCATTGTCACGCAGCCTCGTCAAATTAAACTAAACGTCACTCATATATCGAACACTTCCAAATCAAGCATCGGATCCAAAACGTGGACAATTTGTGCAAGTATGGCAACAAAACAGTTTGGCAATATTAAACTATTAAACACGATCGCTTGATTCGTTAAGGTGCAACTGTTGTTAAATATTAAGTAGATTTAATTTCTAGGTTTGGTAAGATGCCTGTGTGACGGGGTCGTAAAACGGGAACACGTCAGCAACTGAAGCTCAGAGTCCGCGGAAACTAAATCTGGAGAAGCGCTACACAAAGCGTCACAGGCGAGACTGGGGTAAAGAACGAGTCATCGGAAGTCAAAGCAGTCGTGAAACTCCCCGTCACTGGAAGGACCGATTGTCCTCCTGTTTTCCGGCCGGCAGTTCGTTGGGATCGAGGGATGATGGGATGGAACGTTAGCCGTTCCTGTGACTCCCGTCTCCGGTTCGCACGATGCGAGCGTTCATGGCGTCCCGGGTTACGCTCTTCGGGTCGCTCGCCAGGCCGAGGAGGCACATGAGGTCGATGAAGAACGTGGTCAGGTTGAGCTTCCAGCCGTACTCGCTGGTGGCGTAGTCGAAGGGGAACGTGTGGTGGTAATTGTGGAAGCCTTCGCCTGAGGAGACAAACCAGGAGATCAGATCATGCGGTCGCCGGACGGGGTTTCCCAGCATGCAAACGAGACTTTCTAATGCAAAAATGCCCCTGTGTCTCACGTTTATATCATGATATCTATTAAACTGCTGTGTATAAAACTATTGTGTTGTATTTTAGATTCTACAACTCCATCAGTTTTGAGCGAATCAATTGGGCGAAGCAATGATTCAATGAACCTGAATGAATCAGCCGTTTGAACGAACAAACGACTCGCTCATTTAGATCTTTAACGCCACAAACACGAACAAACGAGACTTCCTAAAGCAAAAATGCCCCTGTGTCTCACGTTTATATCATGATATCTATTAACCTGTTGTATAAAAATAGAAGTTAATATTGTGTTATATTTTAGACTCCTCAATGAAAATATTACCTATAAATCCAGAGCTGATGGATCCAGAGCGAATCAATCGGGTGACGCAATGATTCAATCAGCAACTCATTCATAAAGAGAGCCATACTTCATTCCTGAATGAATCAGCCGTTTGAACGAACAAACGACTCGCTCATTTAGATCTTTAACGCCACAAACACGAACAAACGAGACTTCCTAAAGCAAAAATGCCCCTGTGTCTCACGTTTGTATCATGATCTCGATTAACATGTTGTATAAAAATAGAAGTTAATATTGTGTTATATTTTAGACTCCTCAATGAAAATATTACCTAGGCCTAAAAAAAAAAAAAGTTTGGTTCCGGTTGGTTGTCAGTTGAGGTCATGGGTCGGTAGGGAATTTTTTTTTTTTTTTTTTTTTTTTTTTTTCCAGTGGCAGCAAGGGATGGGTAGGAAATTATTCAGGGCTCGACATTAAAGGGATAGTCAAACCTAAAAATATCAAAATTGAAACTACTGTGGAAACAAAGACACCTACATCTTGGATGCCCTTGAGTTAAGCTAAAACATATCAAAAATTAATTTCAAAGTGAACTATCCCCTTAAGCCTTTTCACGTGCTTGTCCTCCGGACAAGTAAGTAAATCTGTCAATCACTTGTCCGAGTAAAAAAGTTGCTTGTCCGGATTTTTAAAATTTATTTATTTTTTATTCTGAAGCAATATTCTCATCAGTGTTCAATCAGCTTTGATATTTAAAAAGGCAAATTGTAATATCTGCACCTTTAAGGGCATCCCCTCCACCAATATTATTAAATGCCCTATAGTGTCTTATTATTCTAAATAATTGAATTTATTGATCAAATTTAGGAATTTAAAATGAAAGATGAAGCATACTGTTACCCTAGGTAGGGCTGATCAAATTAAATCATTTACACTGAAAAATTACAATTTCATAAAATAATGTTATGAAATTGATTTAAATGTGCAAATAAGAAATATTGGAAAGAATTATACTAGGCTACTTATAAACATAACACTAAACTGCCAATAGGTGGCGGCAGGCGGCCGTATAAATGAGTGAGTTATTGATTCATTAATTCAAACGATTCGTTCAAACGGTTGATTCATTCAAGAATGAGACAGATGTTGATGTTTATGAATGGGTCATTGAATCCTTGACTCAACCGATTCGTTCAAAATGCTGAATCATTCAGTAATGAAAACAGGATGAGTTCCTGTGAGATGCGTCGTGGTTCTGCTGTGACTTTTCTTTGGAACTATTTTCGCTGCTGAAATGGAACAAAAACACCCAATATTGCTTATAAACAGTAAGTGACTTAATCTTAACTGTTTATTGAACTGTTGTAGGAAATCAATGTCACTTTTTCAATCGTGATGGTATTCAGGAAAAATAATTGAGGCTGCTTAGTGCTTAACATATGTTAAAATATAAAAACTCCACATTTAGATTTTTTATAGGCAGAGTATGTTGTTAACTGTGTGTGTGCGCTCCGCTCATGTGTGTAGATTTCTCTGCGCGAGCGTCAACAGCGCAACCTTACCAATAATACCTTAGGCCTGCCACATTTATTATCCACAATCGATCGCAACTTGCAATAAATGTAATAAAATCAGAATCATTCTCTCGGTTTAGTGATTCCCTAGTTATTTTTTTGTTTGTTATTGATGTTCTAATCAGGCTACTTGTCCGTTGGGGCGAGTAAAATTCTCTTTTACTTGTCCTTCAAAAATCCATTTGTCCCGGAAAAGCGGACAAGTTAGACGGGCTCTAGAGATACGAACCGCGGCAGGTTAGAGTGTTTTGGATTGCATAAAATAATGAAAGAAACGAACAAATACATGGCGAAAGAAGTGCTAGACAGCAGAAGATGGGATTGGGATCATGATTGGATCATGATAGGATGATTTTTTAATAAAACTAGGCGGATGGAGGTATTAGTATGTGGTGTGTGCATGCCTATGAATGCATGTATTTGTGTGCGAATATGAATAAAAATATCCTAAATTACAAAAAAAGACTTGTATAATATGTATTATAGTTCAGTTTGACGAACGATATCTGCCTCGTTTGTTAATAGATTGCTGGAGTACAAGATGCATCTTACATCGCGTGCTATAAAAAGACGGAGCTGTACAAAAACGTACATTAATAGTTCGCCTCAGAGTTTTTTATTTGTGTATTTATTTAATTTTTATTATTTCTTCCCCAAGCTCATAAAATAATTTTGGGTCGCACATAAATTGACAGGGTCGGTCGGAAACCGGAAACAAACTATTTTTTTTTTTACGCCTTATAAATCCAGAGCTGATGGATCCAGAGCGAATCAATCAGCAACTCATTCATAAAGAGAGCCATACTTCATTCCTGAATGAATCAGCCGTTTGAACGAACAAACGACTCGCTCATTTAGATCTTTAACGCCACAAACACGAACAAACGAGACTTCCTAAAGCAAAAATGCCCCTGTGTCTCACGTTTATATCATGATATCTATTAACCTGTTGTATAAAAATAGAAGTTAATATTGTGTTATATTTTAGACTCCTCAATGAAAATATTACCTATAAATCCAGAGCGAATCAATCAGCAACTCATTCATAAAGAGAGCCATACTTCATTCCTGAGTGAATCAGCCGTTTGAACGAACGAATTTAGATCTTTAACGCCACATAAACAGTTTTTTGGAAAATTTCAAACGAGACTTTCTAATGCACACACGCCCTGTGTGAGTTTGTCTCACATTTATATCATGATAAGTTGAGCAATATCACACGAGTGCCGTTTTTGTTCCAAATAACACACATGCATGTGATTCAATGACTCATTCATTCATAGAGTCATTTACTTCATCCCTGAATGAATGACTCACTCATTTAGACCGTTAACGCCACATACTGGCAGTTTAGGTTTCTTATTTATGGTATCAAATAAGAAATTATATTAGATGTATTTTTTTCATTTAATCTATGAGAGATGTTCAAGACACATTTTCTTTCACAATTCTCATTATGATCAACATTTTATTATAGTTTTTTATTCTCCTTAGCATCTCAGTTTATTAAACGCAACGATTTAGAAAATAAAAACTGCATGACATCACCGAGAGGTTGAACTGGAGGTTAAATGTGCCTGAAGTAGAGTCTGAACTTGGAGTTTAGGCTCAACTGGGTCTGATGTGTTTATTATTAGGATAAACCCCTGAGATGTATTCTCTCGTGTGTGTGTGTGTGTGTGTGTGTGAGACGTACCGATGGTAGTGAAGGCGACGAATCGGTTCTCCCGGGGGTAGATGGTGCTGTCGTAGGGCCGGTTCCCCCACATGTGTGCGGCGCTGTTGACCAGCCAGGTGGAGTTCAACACGAGTGCGTATCGGAGGATGGCCGGAACGAAGTACGCCACCCACAGCGACTCGCCCCACAGGAACCAGGGCACAAACATCGGCACGAAGAAGCACATCAGCAGCACAGACAGCTTGTAGTACCTGAGAATCACAAGAGTACAATCGAACTTAGTTAAAGGTGCATTGTGGGATATCGCTGACAGAAATGTTCTCAGAGGTGTATAAAGAGCTTACAGAACGAACCGTTATGTTTCGATTGGCTCAGAATGGGCCGTTATCTACACACACACACACCACGGGTCGCTTACATCGACATGTTTCTACGGTGGCCCTGAGTGGACAAGCGCTTTTCCTCACTAATGTTGTTCTTCATGCAAAGATGCTGCTAAAGTCAGTGAATAAAACACTGACACAACGATGAACAACTAACAATAATATATTGTTTGACTAAATAATCATTTTTACTTGATCTCTGTAGGGCTGTCCAACGATTAATCGCATCCAAAATAACAGTTTGTGTTTGCATAATATATGTGGGTCCACTCACTGTGTATACTACACACAAATGCTTGTATATATTTAAGAAATATTTATATAAAACATTTTTTTTTTTTTTGCTTAAATATACATGCATGCGTGTATATAAAATAATTCCACACAGTGTACCCACATATATCATGTAAACACAAACTTGCGATGCGATGAATCGTTCGACAGCCCTAAATCTTTGCCGTCTCAGGCGATGACATCACTATTCACAACCTCACCACTAGATGCCGCTAGAATTCACACACTGCACCTTTAAGTGAGCAATGACAGGTGGCGGTTTGATTCCAGACTCACTTCCTCTGAAACATGACGACCTTATCGGCCTTGAGGTCGCTGATCTCCAGCTTGCGTCCCTTCTCGATGACGTCCGGGTGTTTACGGACCAGGAGCCAGCCGATGTGAGAGAAGAAGAACCCGCGCTGGGCGTTGTGAGGGTCGGCGTCCGTCTCAGAGTACTTGTGGTGAGCGCGATGGTCACGTGCCCATTGGTAGATGTCGTTCTAGAGCGGAGAGAGGCACAGAAATGACACACGTCAATGCACCTTTACATGTCATGTTTAATCCCATTTGAGAGTTTGCATCACTTTGCTGCTTTTTTACATGCGTTGGAATAATACAGTAGTCGACATTTAAAGTTATACATGAATTTTAAAAAATACCCGTCTAACTTTGACGAGCTTTTTCTGAAAAGATGAGAATTGAAAACACTTCAAATGTTGACTACTGTATTATTGTTCGAACATATGGAAACCAGTCAGAGTGAGTGTGTGTGTGTGTGTGTCTCAGCTCTACACTAATGCATGCCGTCATGACAGATTAATGTCTGAGACGCTTCAGGCTTCATTTACACTGAATTGTAAATGAAGTAAATTACTGAATTGTAAATTACACTGAACTGAATTCATTTACACTAAATTTTGCAGCGTCTCACCTCGAAAGCCATGGAGTTGGCGAAGGCCAGGAAGATCCGGAGCGGTAAAGACGCTTTATACGTCCTGTGGCTCCACAAGCGGTGCGCGCCGGCGGTGATTCCCAGACCGCTGAACACGTAACACACCAACGCTGCGGGAAACAAACAAACAGGCCATTATATTCTTCTGCAAATAACCTGAAAAATTAATGTTGAAAAAATGAAATGAAAAAGCTCATGTTTAATTTTTAATGCACTTCAATGACACACCTGGACTAGTTTCTGCATCTCGTAAATCATCTGTATTTTTCAGCAAATATGCCTGAAAAACTCAACTAGGAGTTTGTGATATTGACATTTTCTCCAAAATTATAAGTAAATGATGTGTTATTAATCTTCGCAATGCAGAGGAAACATCTGAAGTGGCATTCAGATGCATTTATTTACAACATGAAAAGATACTTTAAATGTGAAATTAAAACCGCCAGTAGGTGGCTGCAGCACGCCACTAAGGTTCAACTGATTCACTCACTGTCTTAATGAGCGAGTCATTGAATGATTCATTCAACCGATTTGTTCATTCAGTATTGTGTGTTGCTCAGAGACGCAAACAGTTCTGTGGCTTCGTTTGGAGCTATTTTCTCTGACGAAATAGAGTAAAAACAGGTAATATTGTGTCTAAACGTCCTTAATTTTAACTTCTTGTTTACTGAACGTGTAATCATGCTGATATTTGGACGAAAACGTCACTCTTCATGTGATATTGATTAACTATATTAAATTATATCAAAGTAAAAGACATAAAGAGGTATTGTTGCCTCTTATCTTGAATATTGAGGGCATTATTTAGTCAAGTAAATCACGCTGTAAATGCTCAAGCACACTAGTCTAACCTACTTCATAAAGTCACATTAAAACAACAATCACAATATATCGCGCATCCCTATGGCTTAGTGCAATTTCAATAAACATGCATGAGTTTTTCAGAGAAAAACTCTATTTACACATGAACAGCTCGTGTTTTCACTGTCAATTTGCAATAAATGCTTCTAAAAATAAGCATTTGTCAAGCAAAAGGAGTGTGTGTAGAGTAGATGATATATATCAGACACGTGATTTAAGAAATCATTCATTCGTGCAAATAAAGCAGACTAGAAGTGGCAGTTTTTACAGTCGCTGCATAAATGTTCTGGCGTTCCCTTAAACTTTATAACCCGCACTAAAGTTTCACAGCTTTAAAAGAAGAAGAAGAAGATGCATCTTCAAATAACACGTGACTTAAATATAGTGCATGATGCATCATTAGAAATTGTTTGGAAAAGAGACCAGCGCGAGCATTGTGCTAAACATCTCTTTCCGTGACGTGTGAGTTAATAATGACAGATTGTTGATTTGAGATATCAAACATCCAGTGTGTGGCAGTGTTTCGATACTCACTCCAGAAGAGTGTGAGGACAGATGCAGATGGGACCAGCAGAAGCCCATACAGAGCTGCACTGTGTAATAAACTCATCAGAATCACATTTCTCCAAATTATGACGACGGGAGGTTTAGGCCCTTCTTTCTCTTTATATGTGGTGTCAAACACGTCCTCCACTGACTGCTCCGGAGTCGGACGCCAGACTGCAGTTTTAATATCCATATCAGGCATGATGAAGATGATCACTGTCATAAACACAAAACGCACACTTCCGTTAGTCTAACAACATTCAATGAAACTGCGATGCAGAACCAGAACAAGCAAGCTAAACTGGGTCATGACGACACACACAAAAAAATCTTTTTCACTGAAAAAACACCAAGACTTACCAGACTGATGCAAAGGGTGTGTGTGTTAATTCAACGCACGTGCAAGATCGTATTAAGAGAACGCTGGATATCCAGGACACACAACCGCTGCTGTTGACGGTGATGCGTAGTGCTCTGCTGTCGCGAGCGGAGCAATAGCGCGCTCTGATTGGTCGGAGAGTTGGACACCACCCTAAAGGGAATGCACGGATTGGCTGATGCTCATCTGATGTTCGCTGTCTTTTTCTCTAACTTCTTCACACCAGCGTCCCCGTACAACCGTATTTCTAACGGAATCGGTTCGCGTATTTATACCGTGAATCCGCTCACCCCACCGGCGAGGAGTTTCTCCTCTCCAGCCAATCAGAGCTCGTGCTGTCACGGCCACGAGCCCCCGTTTCATCACTTCACAAGCTCGTCATTATTTTCAAATAAGACTTGTTCTTTTATTATCACTTTATCACGAACATAAATGATGCTAAGTACTGATACGCGGATAACAAGGGTGACATGCCGTGTGAACTACAGTTACCCAGGTGTTTTCCGAAAACCTTGCTTTCTAGTTTTCAGTTTCAGAACTCTTTTTGATTAGTAGTGGACAGCCTACGCATGTCAAAAAAAATGAATCGATTCGTTTGAATGAATTGCCAGGGACGATCTTGGGTGTCACTTCTACTACAAAACAAATCAGTAAAGAAGATCAACATTCATATGATACGTTTTCATCACTCTCGGAGTTTTCAGTGCAGGTTTTAGTTTTATATAATCAAAAAACGACTCATTTTTTTGTGAACCGATTTGTTCGGACTGTTAATTCAAAAGAATCGATTCACCATTTCGTCCGGGTTTTTTTTTAACAAGTTGTTTATTTTTGACTCGGTTATTTAAAAAAAAAAAAAAAAATCGGTTATTCTCTTTTCTATTAATTTGTAAGTGGAACAAATTTTAATCAATATAGCTACATTATGAATAAATTACTGTAAATATGTTGGTAACACTTGTTAATCCTTCTAACGGTAATATTGAAGAAAAAAAATGTAATTTCACAGTGCATGATGAACTAATATTGATAAATACAACTTTGGATTTTAATAACGTATTAGTAAATGTTCAAATTTTCATTAAAGATTCATAAATGCTTTAGAATGCAGTTAATTATCATTGTTGAACTTTATTGAATGGTGTCAGCAATATTTTTGTATGAATTTGTAAAGGGAATAAATTAAAATAAAATAAATTTCAAATTAATATAGGCTAATATACCGTATTTATATAAATATATAAATTAACATGTATTACATTTCAATTATGTTGTCTAATATTTATTTTTTTAGCTGCTGGATCATTTTAACATTGAGTAGTTGGACTGCTGTAAATTATGTAAAGTTTTTCAAGGTATCAGCTTTACTGGTGTATAAAAGTAAGACAACAGGTCAGTATATTTTATTAACAGTAATTCTCAATAAGTCCTGCAGGAATCCTGATTTTCTCACAAGTTTGAGAGGAATTCCTCAGCTGTCCGAAGAAGACCGGATCATATAATAACATATAACATATAATTAGTCATATGCGGTCATGTAAAATATGCAAACTGTCCACATAGACCCCGTCCGTCTGATGGGCCGTTTGCCATGTGGCCCGATGACAAACAATTGAGATAATTCCACCCAGCTAGAAATGTTTTGTTCTAAAAACGTTATAACACAAAGTTCTCACAATGTTTTCAGCGGGTATTTTTATCTTGGTTACTAGAATGTTTTCCTAGAAAGGCAACACAGCAAAAACTCCAGCGATAAACGTTAATGAGATAATTAATTGAGTGATTAATTGAGTGATGATTGAGTATAACAAGCAGAATCACTGAAGGAGAAAATCTACAATTATAAGCCACCGTTATGGCTCTTGACACTTATATTATTAACTTTAGATTTTGTTTGACTGTTCTATCTGAGTTATACCTGCCAGATGAACAAAGAAAAAACGTGATCTAAAGGTGTTGGTTGTATTGTGACATTCATCATTTGAAATGCATGTTTGTGGTGTATTCTGTTGTTTAAAGCATAATGATATTCTGCATAAATATCCAGAATTTTAGATATAATATAATGGATTTCTTAAAAGTTGTTTTAAAAAAAAAAAAAAATCTTTCTTTTAGGCACACACAGACCTCAAGATTCAGTCAATGCTTCTCAACTATGGTGACCAGCAAAATATTTAATAAGGAAAAGTAAATTACATAGACAATTCACATCATAATTTATTCATCATACCGCAATACATGATGGGAGCCATTAATGAGTTTTGATTGGTGGCAACAAGGATTATTATTGTCACCATGGTTGAGATGCACAAGCTGATTATTGATGTCTGTGTTTCTAAATAAACATGAAAGTGATTTGATCAGAATAATTTTTATTAAATGTTTCAGATTATAAGAAAAATAGTGATTATGCTATGTAGAACCACTAAACTATTGCTATAAAGTTCAAACAAATCATCTGAATAAGTTCCATTTTTCAGATCACAGCATGATTTTGTCAAACATAGCCAAGACTCTTAGATCATACTTTTCTTTGTTCATTTGACTGTTATAAAACAATAACAGCAGACAAACAAAATATAAAGTGAAAGCAAGTGTCAAGAGCCCAACTAAATCAAACACTGATCGCCATAACGGTGGCTTACAATTTGTGATTTTCTCCTTCAGTGATTCTGCTTTTTATCATCGGGTGTCTTCAATAATGCTTTTGCTTCAGCATTTTGCGAACATTGATTTGATAATGTTCCTCCTTTGTTATTATGGAGCATTGTATGATTTTTTATCTCAACAATTTTCCCAAAACATCCTCAAAATATTACAGTTAAAACGTTATATCTTAGTTTACATTTAACCTTACAGAAAAATATTTGAAATGAGAAAGCATCCTTAAAACATTCCTTGAAAATTTCTTTAAAACATTAACCAAATAGGCAATGTTAGCCAATGTTCTGAGAACGCTCCCTGCTAGCTGGGCATCCAGATAAAGATATTGACATGGCATGAGATCATTAAAAACTTTGCCCTGGTTTCACCATTGCACAAAATCCCGTTCATCCACAACAGGAATGCAACATCCACATTACAAAAACTCTATTTCTGAAGGTTAATAAGACACATTTCTGTTCAACAAAGCCAAATACTCTTTAGATAAAAAGGTCCAATGGGATCCCAGAGGTTCTTGACTCTTGTTTTATGCCAAAAAGGTTTAGAAATATCTTACATGACTGCATACCATGCCTATTTTCATGTCTAACGGGTTACATAAAAAAAAAATCGAGTGATTAAATATGTTTATGCTGTTATTTCATAAAAATTTAAGTAAGATTAAAATAGTGAATCATTAAAACTAAATTCACCGGAAGTTTTCTTACACTTACAGCCAAAACGCTGACCTAAAATCACTCGTATATCAGTCGAAACATGACTTAATTTGACATAACGTGACATAATTTGAACGTTATCTGTAATGTTTATGGTCTTTTAGCCTAGGACAAGATAAAGCGAGATAGAGAGCAAGATAAAGATAATTTCTAAAGCGTAGAAATTGTTAAGATGGGTGTGTCACTCACTGATATACAGAATATAATTGATTTTAATATATTAAATATTACAATACGTAAGTTCCTATTACTATAATGCACTATATTATATTAAAATCCAAGGCATGCAAAATCTCAGAGCGACAGTATAAATGCTTGGAAATAAAGCTTCATGTCTTATTATTATCATCGTTATTTTTATTGTTGACCAACATCCACTTCAGACTCAAACGGTCAGAAACCCACGTTCTCTGGCTTCTTGACAGTTTGCATATGAATAAACTGTTATTATAATGTTGAGCTTTTAATGCATTTAATCAAACAAGTTGTTATCTTTACTGCTTCAATATACACACTGTTAATAAAAACACTGTAGTTAGGGGTGAATTAAGGGTTATTGGGACATAAGTTCAAATGAGAGAGTTAATACTAGTTTATTTCTCATGTGAAAATAAAATCTTTTTAGCTGAGGCCTATATCTGTAGCCGTGTCTCAATATGCCTTCTTGTCTGTAGGCCTACTTGTGTTCTTGTGGACTTGTAAAACGTCATCAGTCGCAGTCCAAGTAGCCTACAGTTCACATCTAGCCAAGTCCACTTCAAATCCCCGGATGTGTTCTTGATCCGCCCCGTTTACCGAGGATGCATCGAGAGGTGACTTGTGCGGACTTGAGATAGCCAGGTATCCCAGAATGCATCTCGCGTCAACCAGCATGCCTCCCGCGATATATCAAAATACTGCTGTTATTGAGTCATGAAATGTAATTTTAAGAGTGTATCAGGTAAGAATGTGGTTGTTTGAATCTCAAATCTGTGGTTTATTTATAAAGATGGCACATATTTAAAAAATGTAGCTGACGTTTTCGGAGCTCTGACATGCAAGCCTTCACCGGCGCCCCGCGCTCATCAACCCCGACTGGAACAGCTTTTCCTCGGCTAGTGCTTCTGACGTTTGCCGCTGGCACAGATGTCTCGTCTAGTGGATAAACTTGACGTATAATTCGTCTTGTGTAGCTAATTGTCTATCTTTGGTCTCGTCTCATTTAACTATGTTCCATGGCAAAAAAAAAAAAAAAATTATTATATATATTTATTTATTTATTTCATTTTTTTACTAAATGAACAATAAAATAAAATGAACGCTGTCTTTGTTTGTTAATTGTCAATAAAAATCAATAACGTTTCATATTTTTAAAATGAAAAAAAAAAAAGATCATGTTAATTTTGTTATTAATATATGGAGTGAAGATAATCAATATACGCCTGAACCACATGGCCAAATATTTTTAAGATTTTTTTTTTTTTAATGAAAAGAGGCAAAGTGGTGTTTTATAGCAAATTTTGTTTTATTTTTGACGAAAAGAGGCAGAGTTGTAGCATATTTCGTTTTATTGTTGCCTAAAATATAAATAGATAACCCGAGTAGCCAGAGCTTGCTGAGTGACTCGATCAAGTACGCTCTGTTCCATTTGCAGAATAGCCGGACTTGTAGTTCTCCTGAGTCGTACTTGGCAAGTCTGAACTACCAAGGACGCAAGTCCGAACTTTGCGTACTTAATTGAGAACGGCTTGTTTTTTGTGTGTGTTTTTTATTAAAAAACCAAGCAAATAAACAAGTCGAGAATAGCTTGTGATATCAGCTTTTTTATTTTTATTTCCAAAAATAGGATGCCCTCATTGGTGTGACATCATCTATGTGGGCGGGGCATCAAACCGGAAGTTGAGCAAAAATGTGAGAAAAGTGAGAAAAATGACATTGCTAAACAATTTTTTTTTACAGTAATACATGCCAATCTGTTTATTGGAGAAAGGGCCACTCAACCTTTCCAAACCAATGTTACCCCAAAAAAAAAAAAAAAAAACATAATTTTTTAATGAAGTTTGAACCTGATTTTTCCTTTTTACTTGCAACTTTCCAATGACTTTTGGACTTCTTTTGTTTCAATTACACATGTTGCACTAAATTGTGGATGAAAACACATAGACTCTTAATAATGATGAACAGAAAAAAACACAAAATCGTGCTTATGAAATAATATCAACGAATGAACTAACATGTGTAATAAATATGCTTAGACCAAATCAATGATAAGATCTGCTGTCCAAATTACCCAAAATGTTACCAAAAATGTGTGTTTTGTGTCAGTTTACACAAAAGCGTGTGTCACAGAGCGCAGTGGAGAAAGTTTCAGCAGCGATTCAGGCTTTTACAGAAATATAGAGCTGAGTATCATCAGCGTAACAACAAAAGCGAACGCCAGGTAGCGTGTACAGAGTGAACAGCAACGGTCCTAGGACTGAGCCTTGGGGTACTCCATCCATACTGAACTCGTGATTGATATGACACTTCTTCATTTACTGTAAATCGGTAGAGGGGTACTGTCGCCTTTGGCTTGCTTAGTTGGGGACATTTAACATTTAATATTCAACAATATTATTGATCTCCTGCTGCATTGACACATTATATGAGAACTGAGCTGGACGATGATGTCACTGTTTCCTCCAGAGTGGCTATATATATATAAATTAACTAAATTATTTTTTTACAGCAAAAATGAACCATCACTGAACTTACTTAAGCTGGACAGTGACTCTATTTTCTTCTGGAAACAAACTCAGTTGCATTATTGTCCTGTTATCTCTGTAAAGCTGCTCTGAAACACTCTGTAATGTAAAAAGAGCTATAAACAAAGGTGACTAGACTACAGATTTGGACCAATGTACCTTACTATTCAGAGCACAGGTCATTACTCTCTCTGCCCCCCTACCCTGTTTCCGAGGATGAGCAGTCCACATTAAATCCACATGTACTAGATCTGGCCTCACACACTGTCTGGGTTTAAACATGAAACTATTATGCATATATTTGTTTTCCTATGTGCCAGAGAAACAATGTATGTAATTTTGTCATGTTAAAGCATTGCAGCGTAAAATGGAAGAGAGAGTGGTTTGCATTTATCATCTTAACCTCAATCGGTCCTTGGGTCAATATGACCCCAATCGACTTTTCCTTAATAAAAAAAAAATGGTTTCCTTTATCTGAGTGGAATAAGATTTTGTGACTTTTCCTACATAATCTATCTATACACACACACAAAAAACTGGGCTTGATTCGGTTGTTCTGAAGGTGTGCAAAATTTTTTTTTTTACAAATCTGGTCTTCGGGGGCAATATGACCCCACATTGAAATGAATGGGAAATGTGAAAAAAACTAAATATTTTTTATTCATTTGTCCAAAAAAATATATAAATCCATCATAAATCAGAAAATTTCCACACAGAAATGAAGGCCTACTACTAGAGCATAAATGTGATGTAGAAAAGACATGCTCACTCACACACACACACACACACACACACACACACACAAACAAACATGTATGAGTGTACTGCCACAGAGAGCATTTTTTAGAACTCACAAATGAAATCAGTCACAAATGCAGAACAAAGATATTAAAGTGTGAGACCTAATACACACACACACACACTCACACACACTGATTATAGTTTTACAATTTGTTTTACATGTTTTTTGTAGCTTGTTATTGCTTTTTTAAGTTCAGAATTTTATTGGAAAAAATGTTAGATTAGATGTTCACTCATATTGCTTTTGTTTTCATATTTTTTTTAATTTTATTTATTTTGCATTCTAAAGTTAATTATTTATTTTTACACTTTTTTCAATGAAATCAACAATGTGCAACTAAAATCTGACTCCAAGTCTTGTCCTTTAGGTGTGTCTTTTGTGGCATTTAGGTGTCCTTTTTCTGTGACACTTTGTAAAAACAGACGTTTCAAAATGCATCAAAAACTACAACAATTATACTATTTAAAAAATTTATATTTTAAATGTCCTTTCTTATGTTTATATATATATAAAAATTCATAAAATGTATTTCAAAAGTTGTGACAAAAGTAGTAGGCCACATGCAGTAAAATGAAATGCCTCTGCTGGTCAAAACTATTTATTTCTAAAACTGTAAAGAATTTAGTTTTATCTCTAACCAGTAGATGGTGTAATTCTACAAATAACACCTAGCTCAATATCCAGAAGCAATTTAAATTAAATTTTGATTAAAAAATTAAAAAAAATAATTAAGATTTCATTTGCAAGTTTATGGTGTGGTTGAGGAATTGTTTTGTAAATAGGTACAAAAGTACTTCTTATCTCCCAAAACACAGCATTAATGAATAGATGAGAAGTAAACAAAAAAAAAACATATATTATTTGTATTATTAAAAATGTAGTTTTTGTACAATTTCTCTATCAATTGTTGGGGTCATATTGACCCCAAAGACCAGATTTGTAAACAGGAAACAAAGACCTTTTGAGGGTTAAGAAGATCAGCAGGATCAGATCTAGTGGGTTTCTGAAATTATTCAATTTAAAGATCTGCAGCATTAAAGATTGTTGCCCTTAAAATAAAATAAAAAGAAGATATCAGTTCTAAACAGTTCTAATGTAAACACTGATCACAACATTAAGTTCGTCCACACAAGCCATTTAGACAGAATTTAAAAACAACGCACAGTATGCTATACGATGATGCATTTAAAATTAAGTTTGCATAAAGCTTAAGCGTAACTATAGCGCCATCTATTGTGCATTTCATGAAAAACAAAGATCCCGATCATTTTGGGATCAGACATTTTAAATGCATTTATATGTGCCATCAAACATAATCACAGCAACACACATTATTATTATTATTATTATTATTATGATTATATAGCTAGTTAGATTGTGTGTATATCTTCCAGCCTCTGGGAAGTGTGGAGTCTGAACACGTCATCATTCCTCGCCTGGTGAAACTGTTATCCATAGAAATGGAAAAAGCTCGTGACGTGGAGAGGCTGCTGGCCTGAGAGAAGACTACAAGAGGGGAGGGGTTTGATGGACCAGACGCTGTCAGATAGAATTATTGATACGATTATAAAAATTGACCAACCAAATAGACAATATAGAACATAAGGATGTAAAGTAGAGAGAGAGAGAGTTTCATAAGTACAAAAATAATGAAAAGAAATTTCGATGTTAAATATTAATGCTCTTAAAAGTCTAAATAATAATAGTAGTAGTAATCCTTTTATTTAATGGTGTACTTTCAATTCTGTATCACGTCACGTGCTGAATTCGGAATAGCACGCGACTAATAGTTCTGCAGTGTTTTTTAATGGCAACAACAACAACAACAACACCTAACCTGTTACTTTTCTCAGCGATGATTCGGATGAACCAGTCGCAGCCGTGTGAGATTACTGTTTAAAAGCTTTGTAAAATCACATTTTAAAGAGATTACTGGAATGGATCTCCATTAGTATATCAGGTGAGGTTCTTTTAAATTAATGCATTCAACTTTTTAATAAACAAATATCCCCTTAAAAAAACGAAAACCTCGTGAGATTTGAAAGCGTCTGTACAGAGATTCGCGCTTTTTGGGCCAACTCGCGCCCCCTACAGGACGCGCACGCGCGCACCGGCGTCTCTGGAGACCGTTATCATTAGCGGACGGCGTTTGCAGCTCAATGGTGCTGTGTCGGTGTGTTGATCAGATCAGCTGGTGTTCGCAGTGATGGAGGTGAACAGGGATGAAGCGGAGCGTTGTATTGAGATCGCGTTAGGAGCGTTGGAGCGCGCGCAGCCCGAGAAAGCGCGCCGGTTCCTGGAGAAGGCGCAGCGTCTTTACGCGACGCGCCGCGCACAGGGTGAGCGTCTGAACCCGGGCTAATCCAGGCCCTGATCGCACTACAGCACACACAGCACTACAGCACTCACGGGAACCGTGTTATTATTGGGTCGTGTGTGTTATCGCGCGTTCATGAGGGACTCAGAGAGAGCGCGCAGTTCTCAGTTGCGTGCACGCGTAATGTGTTTATATGTCGTTTAGTCTGAAAGTGCTGCTCAAATATGCAGTTGTGTCTTAAACATAGGGATGTGATGGGTTGTTCATGTTTATGGTTGTGTGTGTGTGTGTGTGTGATGATGATGATGCAACTCTTGCACACAGGTCAGGTTCAGATGCCATGTTTGATCAGACAGATCAGGGCATTCAAAACTTCACCCTATAATCACAACAAAAATGATTTATATAGAAATACTAAAATAATAAATATATAATATATAAAGAAATAATAAATAATGCTAATATTTGTGCATAAATAGCTATTTTTCAGGATTTTTACTGTATGTGTATTATGTATTTATTACATTTCTTTAGTAATTCTGAACGAGTGATTTTGGCTGTGTTGATGTGCAGATCTGCTGGAGTCTCTGGAGCCTCAGGGCGGGGGTCAGCAGAGGTCAGGGGTCACCAGTAACGGCGCGGCACCTGCCGACTCCAGTAAACCCTACACACCTGAGCAGGCCGAGGCCGTCCGGAGGTGAACACACCTCACAGGATTATTTATAAATATATATATATCATATTCCATATCTCTAAGCTTTCTAATTGCTAATGTATGGAAATACACAGACCTCAACAGATATTATTGCATAAGATCCAAACCAGTGTTGTTTTAGTATTTTCTTATAGTACCGGTATTTATTAATGGTTTTAAAATAGTTTTTATTGGTATTTTTTTCACATTTCAAATTTTATTTTAAGATTTAATAATTTTTGCTAGTGTTTTTAATATTTATATTTAGCTTTAATTTTTTTAAAGTTGTACTTCAACATTATTCATGAGATCCAAGTTGGTGTTTCACAGTATTTATTAATATTTTGAATGAACTTTTAATGTTATATTTTCAGTCATTTTAGTAAGCATTTGCAACTTTGTAATGTCATTGTGCATTTTTTTTTAAATAATATAATACATTTTTATTTGATTATATTATTTTTCGTTTTTTTTTTATATTATATTTATATTCTATATTTGGCTTTCGTTTGTTTGTTTTAGTCATTTTAGTACTTCAACTTAAACATTGTTCCCATATGATCAGTGTTATTTATATACTGTCTTAGTATTTATTAATATTTAATATTTTGAATTACCTTTTTATATTACCTTGTTACACAAGTTTTGTACATTTTTAGTAATGGTAAATGGACTGTACTGCATTTATATAGCATTTTATATTTATATTTTATATTGAGCTTATAAAATATTATTAGTATTATGCTATAAAAAATATATTTAGAATTATGTTATATTACATTTTTTATTTACTATATTATATTTATATTTTATCTTATAAAATATTATTAATATTATATTATACAAATTTATTTAGAATTATGTTATATTTATATTTTATACTTATCTTATAAAATATTATTAGTATTATATTATACAAATATATTTAGAATTATGTTATATTACATTTTTATTTTACTAATTTATATTTTATATTTATCTTATAAAATAATATTAGTGTTATATTATACAAATATATTTAGAATTATGTTATATTACATTTTTATTTGACTATTTTATATTTAGCTTTAATTTGTTTACGTTTTTGTAATTTTAGTACTTAAACATTTAATTGAGTTGCCAATGCAACAAGTATGTATATATATAAATATGAACTTAATTTCAATGAACAAAAGTCATTTTTCTCCAGTCTGCGTGTTGTTCACCAGTTAGTTGTGTGTGCGTGTGTTTGTCAGGATAAAGCAGTGCAAGAGCTACTACGAGACCCTCGGCGTACAGAAGGAAGCCTCTGACGACGAGCTGAAGAAAGCCTACAGGAAGCTGGCGCTGAAGTTTCACCCGGATAAGAACCACGCGCCGGGCGCCACGGAGGCCTTTAAAGGTGCGCTTGCTTTGGCAACACTATTATTAGCATGTGCTCTGTTATTACTTTAACAAGGTCTTGATGTTGTTTTGGGCTCCACTAGAGCAGGTTTTCCTGCTTGAATGTTGATTATTCTCCTCATATTCTGGGATGACGTAACTCGTGCTTCACCACAATAGTGCCAGAGAGTGTCTAATAAGGGGAGAACTCCCACTCCACCGGCTGCAGTTCCACTCCGGCTCCACATGAGGGCGCTCACAGGTCGAGTGCAGAATGAATGGAGGTCTATGGAGCGATACCCCTCAAAAAATACACTTTTCTCAGGATATCATTTTTTGTCTAGTAATTTGAATGTTATATTCGAAATGAGATGCAAAGAAATTACACATCCTTGGGTGTTTGATTTTTTTTAGAGTCACTTATTTGCTTTAAAATGTTAATGACGTCATACAAATCAAATGACCAGAGATACTGCTTTATAGCAATCCTTCAGTCACTCGCGCTCTGCTAGAAGAGTTTTTGTTAAACTAATGCTCTCCTTCTGAAAAGCACACTGTGCTCTGATTGGTCGACTGGAGCGGTGTGTTGTGATTGGTCGATCGCTTTGAGTGTGTTTGGGAAATGTCCCGCCCCTTCCCATAACCGCCAGTTTAACACACTACTAACTAACTCAACCAGGCCCCGCCCCTTTATTCTGCGCATAAATTATTAGAATGAGGAATATTGTGACGTGTTCCGGAAGAAACTCAAGACTACAATGGAGGCGTTTCAGGAGTGCAGAAACACTGACTCTGATATAGAGGAGAACTTTTAATATGTATTGTGTGACCCTGTGTTGTGTAGCGATAGGAAACGCGTACGCCGTTCTGTCTAATGTGGAGAAGAGACGACAGTACGATCAGTTCGGAGAAGAGCGGAGCAACACCGGCAGATCCAGAGAGAACAACACACAGTTCGAGGCCGACATCTCTCCGGAGGATCTGTTCAACATGTTCTTCGGTGGAGGCTTCCCTTCTAGTGAGTGTGTGATTTTTATCGTTTTATTCAATTTTATTACATATATTTATCTTTTGATTTTGGGATGAAAGTGTATATTTTAAATAAAATATATATAACACACACACTTACTCACTCACAAACACACACACCACGAGTTCCTGAGTGTCTAAATAAAGAGGTGTGTGTTCCACAGGTAACGTTCACATGTACAGTAACGGCCGGATGCGCTTTAATCAGAATCAGGGCGAGAGAGGAGAACACAGAGGGGTGAGAGACCTGCAGTCATACAGTATAGAATCACATGCATTCATGTATATTAATTAATACACTTATATGTTTCATTTACAGAATTCTTAAAAAAAGTAGCTTATATTTTCCATTAAATATTTGAATTTCCTCTACATTTTACATGCACATATTTATTTATTATTATATATGATATTTCTTATTATTTACTTGTTTAAATCATTTTAATATATATTTAATTGACTAATTTGAATCAGGGGACATTTAAAGGGTTAGTTCACCCAAAAATGAAAATTAAGTCATTAATTACTCACCCTCATGTTGTTCAACCCCGTAAGACCTTCGTTCATCTTCGCAACACAAATTAAGATATTTAAGATATTAAGATCGCTCCTGCATACTAGTCCATAGGCTTCTTGAGGGAATGACTCTTGCTGTCATTAAAGACATCGTTAAAATAGTCCGAGTGACTACAGGGGCTCAATCTTAACTTTATCAAACGACGAGAACACTTTTTGTGCGCAAAAATAACGTCTTTATTTCAACTATTGGTTTATTTCTCCCTCTGCCTCGAGTCAGGTTACTAGTTTAATAGCGTAAGCTTCTGTTATTGTACGTCACACGCATCATCACACATGACCAGCGTCGGCCAATAGTGAGCCTACGTGTGACGTAGCTTTACGCAATCACACTACGTTAACTGACTACAGGCCCATGGAGAAGGAAGTGAATAGTTGAAATAAAGACGTTATTTTTGCGCACAAAAAGTGTTCTCGTCGTTTGATAAAGTTAAGATTGAGCCCCTGTAGTCACTTGGACTATTTTAACGATGTCTTTAGAAGCCTATGGACTAGTATGCAGGAGTGATCTTAATATCTTAAATATCTTAATTTGTGTTGCAAAAATGAACGAAGGTCTTACGGGGTTGGGTGAGTAAATACTGACAGAATTGTCATTTTTGGGTGAACTACTCCTTTAAGAGAGGCCCAGTGCAGCGCTGGTGTGTCTGTGAACCAGCAGAGGGCAGCGATGACACTCCAGAACTATATTCATGATCAATAATCCCACTGTACTGCAGACATGAGCTCTGATGACTGATATTCACACTCTTGTGTGTTCAGGGCGGTCTCGCTCTCCTCATGCAGTTGATGCCCATCCTCATCCTCGTCATCGTCTCGGCTCTCAGTCAGATCATGGTGACCAACCCTCCCTACAGCCTCAGCTTCAGACTGTGAGTGTCTCTCTCTCTCTCTCTCTGTTCTATCGTATCTCTCTCTATCTCTCCCGCTGTCACTCTCTCTTTATCTTCTTTCACACTTTAAACGGCACCGTTGCTCTTTCACTCTTCCAATGGTCACATTTGCACATCAGATTTCTTCAGCACTCGTGTTGTCAGAATCAATAGAGTTACATGAAGAGTTCGTATCTAAACTTCATTCTCATTACAGGACTGAGATAAGCCAAGAGTATTTGTAAAGCACATTTTATATGCAAATAGTCATTTAAAATTGTTATACACATACACTTACATATATATACGTAAATAATTTTGGTTAGATTTGACAGCAGTAATATATATATATTATATATTAGGGCTGTGCAAAAATTAATTGCGATTAATTGCATCCAAAATAAAAGTCTGTGTTTACATAATATATTTGTGTGTGCTGTATATAATTATTTTGTATATATAAATACACACACATTCATGTATATAGTGAATAAAATGTGTTATTCATATATAAAACATTTATATTTATATAATATAGATTATGTATTTATATAAATATACAGAATATAAACGCAAATAATTCTTAAATATATACATGCATGTGTGTATTTATATATACAAAATAATTATATACAGCACACACAAATATATTATGTAAACACAGACTTTTATTTTGGATGCGATTAATCGCAATTAATTTTTGCACAGCCCTAGTTATATTATACTATATTATGCAATATTATATTAAATTAATGCATTTAATTTATATTATTATCTTATGTTATATTAAATTAAATTTATATTATATTATTTAGGCATATATTAAATGAAACCGCAGCATAAAAAAATGTGCATAAAATGAAATTCTAATTGTAGGTAACTTATTAAATATGCAAATAAGTGGCACTGAGCATGTGAGCATCTTGACCTTTCGTCACACTATCAGTGAACATGCAGTCACGTTTAATGAGTGACCCAGAAATTATTACGCTGCTTTCTTGATGTCACAGCTTTGATATGAAGTGCAGTATGTGCACATTGTCGTTGGGAGAGCATTGATCCGGCACACGCGCTGCTCCAGTGCTGAGACGGTGCCGGTCCACTCAGGGTCGCCGTGACAACGGCACGTCAATCAATGGCAGGACTGATGCTGTGACGGGCCGGTGCGGGCCGTGGGGTCAGAGGTCGACTTCTGGACCCTGATCTGCAGTTTCAGAAACTGCTTCAGTCACTGATCAAATTAAAGTTTCCATTTAGCCGAAAACCCAAAATATAAACTCGTTTTCATGACAGATTTATTCAAACATGCATTACATGGATAAAGGCTTCATTTGTTCATTTTTGGTTAGTTAGTTAACATGAATACACACTTATTATTCTAAGTTATTGTTCATTTTTAATTTTCTTGTACTTCTAATTCTAATGTTCCATCTGTTAATATTGTTTAATGGACCTGAGCTGAGATGAACTATCAATGAACATGGAAACAAAGATGGCACATGAAACAAACGTAATGAAAGATGAAACAAACGTAGTGCACATTAACTAGCTAACATTAATTTGAAGATTTTACTCTATTTTTGCACATTGTTAGCATGTTTTAGCATGTTTCAAAATGTGATTCAGGCATGTTTCTAGTATGAAGTAACAGATTGCTAGCATGTTTTAGCATTTTTTAAACATGATTTATCACATTGCATGTTTCTAGCATGAAGTTGTGCATTGCTAACATGTTTTTATATGTTGCTAACATGATTTAACATAATGCTAGCATGTTTCCAGTATAAAATGGCAAATTGTTAACATGTTTCTAGCACAAATAGCACATTGCTAACATGTTTTTTATGTTGTTAACATGATTTAACATAATGCTAGCATGTTTCTAGTATAAAATGGCAAATTGTTAACATGTTTCTAGCACAAATAGCACATTGCTAACATGTTTTTATATGTTGCTAACATGATTTAACATAATGCTAGCATGTTTCTAGTATAAAATAGCACATTGCTAACATGTTTTTATATGTTGCTAACATGATTTAACATAATGCTAGCATGTTTCTAGTATAAAATAGCACATTGCTAACATGTTTCTAGCACAAATAGCACATTGCTAACATGTTTTTATATGTTGCTAGAATGTTTCTAACATGATTTAACACGTTGCTAACATGTTTCTAGTAGGATTTAACATAATGCTAGCATTTTTCTAGTTTAAAATGGCACATTGCTAACATGTTTCTAGCACAAATAGCACATTGCCAACATGTTTTAGCATATTTCTAGTATGATTTAGCTGTACGTTTTAACATGTAGCTTGAATGATTTAATTTGCGAACACGTTTTAGAACTTTGCTATCATGTCTGAAGCATTCATTTGTGCATTGCTATCATGTTTTAACATGTTAGCACGATTAAGTACGATGTTAGCATGTTTATAGCATGAAGTAACATGTTTTATTTAATCCTTCCATTTTTCTAGCATGATTTAGCACATTTTGTTAAAATGTTTCAACATGTTGCTAGCGTAAACACAATTACAGGTTATGTAAAAATATAATGAATGTGGAATATTGTGCATATAATATTTTACTAATTTATTTATTCCCAATTTATTCTAGACGTTTATGGACAGTGAATAGCTAATGTAAATGTAACTTGATTTATTTATGGTGCTTTCTAATTTTAAACACTGGTGCATTCTGTCAATCATGTGAGATCTCGTCTGATTGGCTGAGAGAGTCTGGAGAGCCTCTGGACTCTTGACCTTTGACCCTGAATGATTCTCATGAAGTGGACAGTCGCTCAGCTGCTGCTTCACACTCTGTGTGCATGAAGCCTCTGACCTCTGACCTGAGAGAACACTGTAACTTACTGCTGTTTACAAGCAAGGTTTATTATCGTTAATATTAAATAATTATAACTAATGTTAAAGTTGAAACCATAAAAACAGTGTCATTACTTAAAATAAAATAAACATTAACTGCAAATCAGATATTATAAAACAAACCCCATCTCATCTAGTTTCTGTTTAGTTTGTTGAAATACTAAAAAATAAAAACAGAAAATATAAAATTAATTCAAAATATGAGTGTGTTCTCTGTGTGTGTTTTCATATCCTCCCTAAAGCATCCCATAATTAACGTCCCCGTGTCCGTGCGCAGGTCATCGGGTCACACACACAAACGCGTGACGGAGAATCTGGGCGTGACGTTTTACGTGAACGAGCGTTTCTCTCAGGAGTTCAAGGGCTCGAGTCTGAAGCGCGTGGAGAACAGCGTCGAGGAAGACTACATCTCCAACCTCAGGAACAACTGCTGGAAGGAGAAACAACAAAGTACGTCACACACACACACACACACACACACGGTTCACGAGCTACCCCATTTGAGTGTTGTAACAATCAGACTCCGACATGTGTCTGTTCACACTCGAGTTCCTCGTAGATAAACGCACGACTGTCCCTTTAAAAACGGAGTGTGTTCAGTAGGTTCATTCCCGGCCACTGTAACGCAACAGCAGGTGAGTCACATGTTTGTCCTCTCGATCCGGTCAGAACCGGCTGATGATGTCACTTCCTCTGATGTCATTCCTCTCCTCAGATTAGATGAATCAGCTTCTCTCCAGTCTGGAGTTACACACCCATACGAGCACAGTCTGAATCAGCGCTTCCTCACCGTGTGTGTGTGTGTGCGTGTGTTTCAGAGCGTTTCCTCACCTGATGTGTGTGTGTGCGTGTGTTTCAGAGCGTTTCCTCACCTGATGTGTGTGTGTGTGTGTGTGTGCACGTGTGTTTCAGAGCGTTTCTTCACCTGATGTGGTGTGTGTGTGTGAACAGTCTGAATCAGCGTTTCCTCACCTTATCTGATGTGTGTGTGTGTGTGTGTGTGTGTTCCAGAGGAGGGTCTGCTGTATCGCGCGCGGTACTTCGGGGATAGCGCTCTGTTCCAGCGAGCGCAGCGGATGGGGACGCCGAGCTGCTCCCGTCTCTCCGAGGTCCAGGCTTTACACGGATAATGAGGCATCTCTGCACTGCCTGGTGTGTGTGTGTGTCTATCTATCTATCCAACTTTTATGTTAGATGCGACAGCCCTAATATATATATATATATGTATGTATATGTATGTGTATATGTATGTGTATATATATATATATATATATAGTTGGATGTTATATATGCACATATTATATTATATTAAATTTTTTTATTCATATAATCATTGCTTATATATTTTTTTTTTCTGATTCGATTGAGTCCTTCACAGTATTTTCAAGCATTCTTTTCCAAAACGTAGGTTTGTAGTGTATTTCATCTGACAGTTGGTTGGTTTGGTTAAAGTGAAATCCCTGTGGAAAGAAAGAAAGGAAAGAAAGAAAGAAAGAAAGAAAGAAAGAAAGAAAGAAAGAAAGAAAGAAAGAAAGAAAGAAAGAAAGAAAGAAAGAAAGAAGAAGAAAGAAAAAAAGAAAGAAAGAAAGAAAGAAAGAAAGAAAGAAAGAAAAAAGAAAGAAAGAAAGAAAGAAAGAAAGAAAGAAAGAAAGAAAGAAAGAAAAAGAAGAAAAAGAAAGAAAGAAAGAAAGAATAAAGAAAGAAAGAATAAAGAAAGAAAGAAAAAGAAAGAAAGAAAGAAAGAAAGAAAGAAAAAAGAAAGAATAAAGAAAGAAAAAAAGAAAGAAAGAATAAAGAAAGAAAAAAGAAAGAAAGAAAGAATAAAGAAAGAAAAAAAGAAAGAAAGAAAGAATAAAGAAAGAAAAAAAGAAAGAAAGAAAGAATAAAGAAAGAAAGAAAGAAAGAATAAAGAAAGAAAGAAAAAAGAAAGAAAGAAAGAATAAAGAAAGAAAGAAAGAAAGAATAAAGAAAGAAAGAAAGAAAGAAAAAGAAAAAGAAAAAAGAATAAAGAAAGAAAGAAAGAAAGAAAGAATAAAGAAAGAAAAAAGAAAGAAAGAAAGAAAAAGAAAGAATAAAGAAAGAAAGAAAAAAGAATAAAGAAAGAAAGAAAGAATAAAGAAAGAAAAGAATAAAGAAAGAAAGAAAAAAGAATAAAGAAAGAAAGAGAGGCTTAACAAGACTTTATTATAACATTAACTTTTTCCAAATACCAGATTTCTTATCTGATCATACAATCAAAAAAAAAAATCTCTAAATACAATAAAAAATACATATACACAAAAATTATACTTCAATCATCATTTTTAAAATTTGAAAAGCAACATGTCATCCAAAACCTCACACAAAACTCCTTCCACAGACCATATTTCGGCAAACCTTTGAATATCATTAATCAATTGAAAACGTGTATTCAATTTTAATTCTAGCAATCACCATGCCTTTAAAGAGAAAGAAAGAAAGAACTCTCAGCCTTTTAAATGTTATGTGTTGGGAAATGTTTCATTTGCATGCAAAATCATTAACTTTAAGAATTATTTATATTTCTTCAGATAAGTAGTAATATATGAATATTTTTTCCTGCACAGGTTCCAAAAACAATCTCTCCAGTCTGGAATATGGAAGAACGCCATACGGATTGTAAATACATTTGGTGAAGAAGAAAAAAAGGTTGAACATTTGCTACAACCAATGAACTTGACTAGACAAGACCTACTGAGGGCTGAAAGTGTGTGTGTGTGTGTGTGTGTGTGTGTGTGTGTGTGTGTGTGTGTGTGTGTGTGTGTGGTCTGAACTAAAGTTAATTCCACTAGACTCATCCCCTTCCACATGTCGTCAGAATCAGCGTTGGCGTTATGGGTCAGACTGGAGACCAGATGAAGATTTCTGCATATATTTATTTGAGTTTGTTTAGCTCAAGATCACGTCGTTTTAATAATTTATACTTGTATGTTTGATATTTATCTATGCAGGGATATTACGAGTGTGCGTTCTACTTCAACAACAGAGAGTGTTAGGAGGAACTAAAGCTGCTGTCACAGGTCATATTTATTGAAAGATTGAATAGGAATATTTATTTCGTACGAAGGTTTATTTTCTACATGACTTAGTCGGAATATTTCATCGCTGGCAGAGACTACGCTGCAATTATTTCACTCAGAATAGAAATAAAGATTGAATGTGCCACTGTCCTCTGTGCGTGTGTGTGTGTGTGTGTGTGTTTTTAGACGCTGCTGAATCATGTGTTTCAGCACGTTCATAGTCACACATCTGACTGTGTGTGTGTGAAACGCTGAGAAAGACAAACCCTTCATTTAATATTGAGCAAAACTATCCGAATACTCGTTCAGTGATCAGATTACTAATAAATCATCTTAAAACGCCATATTTTTACATTTCATAAAAGTGCATTATCTGTATGGATCTACATATGAAGAGTTCAGATGCAAAAGCCTCTAAATGCCATTTGAAATTTTCTTCTTTAATGATGATTTTTATCAAACTTGTATATTTAAGTTCAGTAATTTCACTTAAATAACAATTAATAGGTAATTATCATTGCCATTTAAGTGAAATCACTGATAAAAATCATCGTTCTAGAAGAAAATTTCAAATGGCACTTTTGCATCTGAACTCTTCATATATTTTAATAATTGTAAGACACAGTTCTCGTTGTCTAGTAGTAGTGCATCCATCTCAACATTAAAATATAAATCAATAATGGAGCATTTTTTTTTTTTTTCAAAAAAAGTGCATAATGCATTGTCAGGGTATTCATAATAATGCATTAAATCCCTCATATATCAAACTATATTGCCATTTCCTTGTTGCACAATTAGTTATGCGTTTAAATGTGTACTTTTAAAACGCATTATATCTAGTTTTGAGATTATAAATTCAAAGAATAACGAATGCATTATATAATAAAACAGAGCACACTGTATTTGAATAGTGATCAAATACATACAAGTTGCTCTGCATCAAGTTGAGAGTGTTGCATTCATTTCCCTCACTCAGTTGCGCACGATTGGCGCACGAAGCATTCAAAAAAAAAAAATCAAAGACTTTCATTCTTCAAAAAGATTTATTTTTTGCATCTCTTTCAAAGTACAAAAAACACCACGTTGCATTTGAATATCAAATAAATAAGATGCACGGAATATGCATATGACATTTTAAAAAAAAAAGAAAAATTTAAAAGACCGTCCATTTGATCTTAGGGCACAATAACTGCATTCACATATTTGAAAAAGCATCGTTTTGCATGGAAAATAGCTGCCATATCTGGTTTCCATAAACCTGAGGTAGATGTTCCAAACTCCTGCTCCACTGGAACGGCAGCAGAAGTGCAACATCAGGAACAAAGTCTTTTTAATGTACCCTATAAATCAATCAGCATTACAAATGCCCTGCGCGTTAAACAGTCATACAACACGATTGTAACTTCAGGCCTCTTTATGGGCAACGGAAAGAGGCTTAAATTAAAAAAAAAACCCTAGTAAAAGTCCATGACATGTATGGAGTCCGTCTCAGCATTCTTCAATCAAAAGCTCTTCTGAGCTGTACAGTTTTCTTTTAATCACACGAAACCCAGTGCTCAGTTTAAGTGCACGGCGAACAACCGGAGACGACGGGGATCTGCCGCTGAAAAGGCCCTGGATCTTCGGCCACAGGCCCCTGGAGTCGAGCCGGAGCACTAGGGTTAGCTGGAACGTGGGCACCAGATACTGGTCGACCGCGATCTGTCCCGCAGCCTCACACACGCCGTCCTGCTCCACACACAGATCGATGAGGGCACCTCGCAGGCCACAGGGCTCGCTCACGGACAGATGCACCAGCTCGTGCCCGATGTGCTCCAGAAGCTTCTCTGGAATAAGGAGTTTGGAACAGTGCAGGACACCATCTTTGGCATCGGTCAGGTTAAGTGCTATGAGTTGCACCACTTCTTTGCACAACGCCTCTTCAGTGGGGTCGAAAAACATCTCGGATTCTGACAGATCAGGTATGGATAGGGAACCTGCGTTAGACAAATGCATGCGTTAAAATCAAGATCTTGCATGATGAGAGTTGGAAAAGTGCATTGCATTACATTCAGGTTCTGGTATTTACCTGCATCGGATGCATCGTCTAAACTGCTGTGCGTGTCTGAATCAGAGTCCAGGCTTTGGATGCTGTGCAGTTTCTGCATGACTTTGCTCCAGGACAAGCGCTTGGATGGAGCGTCAGATGTCGGGGTGGACGTGAGACTGGAGTCTTCAGATGGAAGGCTGGAAATCAGCTGCATTATTAACTCTGCAGAAGAAAAGGTTGGTTTTTATTATTCACAGTCAAGTAAAAATTGCGCACGGCTTATGATAACATTGGAGAAGTATGCGCATTGTTGCTCTCTCATTGTACTTCATGGACAATAAACACAGCAAAACCATAACTCACCGATAATCTGTGCTGTATATCCTCAAATGCGATGAATTGTGTGTAGGTTCCTAGTCCGTAACAAAGAGTACCCACTAACAAAGAGCTGTGTGAACCGGATTAAGTGCAGCAGCTGTTAGTATCTGCAGAGTCTCTGCAAAACACTGACGCAATCCGCTCAGCGCCTCTTTATATACGCGCTGGACACGCCCCCTCGGACTTTACAGCCAATCAGCGGTAACGTCACGTCTTTCGCGTCCCAAGTTCGCCTGGTAACACGGAGAAGGAGACTCTGCAGCTCGTCTATTGTCCTCAGTGGAGGAGGGGATAGCTCACTTCTCACTTCACCTATTGTCCTCTCTCTGGACATGTAGTGGCGAATCTCACGTCCTGCTCATTTGCAAGTGGTGTGACTGAACACGATATGATGATTTGCATCTCGAATCGAAGCAGCAGTTTTGTATTGTGCAATAGTGTAGCAGCGCTTTCATCAATGACTGACTGCATTGAATAAACACGGACACTTCCACCCTAGGCTGTCACGTTTCAACTGTTTATCTGTTTAGTTATTCATTTTCTACTGTTTTTTATGCATGCGACTTCATGACCTCTTAAAGCTATTTAAAAATAACCTTATAAATGTGTTTACGATGATGAAATCATTCTCAGAACTTTGGCTAATGTTCTTAAAGTTACAAACATGATTTTCCGGTAGAACGTTCGTTCAAATGTAACATTCTCACGACATTTTTTTTTAAATGTAACGACTTGTTTTAGAACGTTCGGAGAACATTTAAAACAAAGTATCAATTATAATGTTTAAATGATACAATGGGATACTCATATAACTAACCAAGGAGACACATTTTTTTTAGTGTGAATGTTTTCATAACTTAATGGGTGCTGAGTAGTTATACTTTCCCTATTTTAACAAACGAATCTCGATTTAAAGAGTCTATGGACACTTAAGAACCAAACTAAAAGCAGCAAATGGTCTGAATCTGTTGGGGGTTGTTCACACGTGACTGCTGAAACTAACTGAGTTAACACACTTTGGTGCATTAGAAAGAGCAAACAAACTTAGAAACTATAGTCTTTACTGTTTACTGCAAAGTGTGTCCAGTTTTAATTTGATTAAGACTTTTTCTTGTTTTTTGAGCTAATGAAGCTTGGTTAGGCTCGAGTCGGGGAGTGAAGGAAGGGTTAAAATTGGGAATGAAGGTCTGGCTTTGGACTAAGGCCGTCCCACACGGACAGGCACATTCCTGCCCCCACAACTTTTCTTCTGTTTGCTAGTGAAGGGTGTTTTCCTAGAGGATAAACCCTCGAATCCTGCTGCAGCTTTTGCATATAATGCGTTCGAATAACTGCATGAACACTGAAAACATCAACGGGCCTCGAAATGTCTGTCAGGAGACTTTTCTGAGTTCACTCGGTGTCAGACTATAGGATGTAAATGGGTCCAAACACAAACACAGGTTTCATTTGCTCTAAAGGCATGTGGAGCATTTTAGAAACGCCTGCGATTCTTCACACCACAGCAAAACTGCTTGACGACAACTGCTGAAGCTCTGACCTCTGTGAATGAGAAACCATGACTTTCCTGAGGAATGATGCAATTTTAGCACATATTACCACTGTATATACATCCGAATCACCTTATAAACAAGCTTAAAATGTAAACGCATGTGTTTATTTGTCGTTATTTGAGTAAATGAGATTCTTGACAACAACTTGGTAAGAAGATTTGGCCCTATTGAAAGGAAACAAAGGAAAGAAAAACTTTAATGATCAGATTAAAGTTAAAATTATGATGTCATGGTTTTAAATATTTTTACATAGGCCTACAGGGTTGAGATTAATCCAGGATTTGGCCTTAGTGTTGAAAATTCGGACTTTTCATCTCATAAGTGTAAAAATTTTGACTTTCTAAGGCAAAGTTCCAACTTAGTATGTCATCTCGACCTAAATTTCAACTTTACGTTTCTTTACTAATCATTTTTGACTTTTTGTCATAATTTTGACTTTGCTTTTTAAAACATAATTTCAACTTTTTTGTCATAATTGCAATTTAGTATGTCACAATTACACCTTTTTCAGTCATAAATTCAACTTCAAGTCATCGTTTTGACTTTTCAAGTCACCATTTTTACCTTTTTAACTCGTAATTTTAACTTAGTATATCGTATTTTAGTTTTTTAAATCATAATATTGAATTAGCGTCATAATTTCGACTTAGTCTGTCATCATTTTAAATTTCTAACTCATAATTTCGACTAAGTCATAATTTTGACTTTTTAAATCTTGACTTTTTAAGCCACGATTTTTACTCAGTGTGTCATAATTCCGACTTTTCGTCTTATTAGTGTCAAGACGTTGACTTTTTAAGTCATTATTTTGACATTTTAAGCCATTATTGTGATTTAGCGTCATAATTTATTCTTTCCGCATAATTTCCACTTTTCATGTCATAATCTAGTTTTTTTTGTGAGTACTTTGACTTAGTATGTCATAATTTTTCACTTTTAAGTCATAATTTCCTCTTTTCATGTCATAATTAGTTTTTTTTGTGAGTACTTTGACTTAGTATGTCATAATTTTTCACTTTTAAGTCATAATTTCCTCTTTTCATGTCATAATTAGTTTTTTTTTGTGAGTACTTTGACTTAGTATTTCATAATTCTGTCTTTTAAGTCATATTTTTTTTTACTTTTTTCACAGTTTCTAGACTAATGTGGTCACTTTAGAAAAAATATATACTTCTATAACTGGGTTGCCAGTTTAATACTAAAATCTGCAATACCAGGTTGCTTTGGATCCAAAGCATGTTGAGTAAATTGCTGAAGAAATCCATCAGGTGAAACCCCCAGAGTTTCATATCTGCACATTCCTGTATCATGTATGTATTGCATGAAGCGTGAGGGTTGTTGGCCGGAAGCCACACTTCACAGATGTACTTCAGCACAGAGAGAGGACAAACAGTTCCCTCTGAATGAAAACACACACACACGTGTCCCGACCGCGAAACAAAACACACTGCACAACGTCACGCCGTCTCAGTCATATACTTTATGAGTGTAAATGATCCAAGAGTTGTCATAAACTCAGCAACAGAACTGAGTCTGAAGGGCTTTATGCGTCTGAAAACAAGAAAGAGCAATGTTTGCACAGTGTGCTGAACATCCAGAAGTACAGTAGTACAGTACAGTAATGTGTTGTTGTGCTTGATGGAGTCAGTTGTTTTATGTGTGATCATAACACATGAACCATGCCAAATTGTGACATAATTTTTGTCCATACAAAGACGCATGAACACATGCACAAACAAGAGATAACCAGCCAAATATTGATAACTGATTATGCTGTTGACAATGTGTGTCAGTAAAATAAAACCTGTGGACAAATGTTTTAAAAAAGTAAAAGTTAAAATTTTTTGTCAAGTAATTTTGTCAGATAGGATAACTTTACCAAATTTATATATAAAAAAAAAAATCTTCATATTTTGATGTGCATTATAAACCTGTAATAATATCATATTTTATGCTCATATTTCACACCAAAAATGAAAAGAGTTAAATTGACACTAACTACTAAATAACGTATTTATACATCACTGTATTTGTTGTATTAGAGTAATGAAAATCACTAATTAAGAATAACTATTATAAAATACTAAAATGTCTGGATGGATCAATTTTATGCAAAATTCTTACAGATGTGAAACTGATTGTCATGAAAATGATTCCTTGAAAAACATCTTATTTCTTTATTTCTTCCTTCCTTCCTATCTCTCTCTCTCTCTTTCTTCAGATTTCTGGTGTGTAATGTAGTTTTCTGAGCTCCAGTCTCTCGGGGTTCGGCTTTAGGACCCAGCGTGTGTGTGTGTGTGTGTGTGTAGAAACGCCCAGTTTTCAGTCAACATCTCAGTGCTGAGAGAGAACAGGACGTCCAGTGCTCGTCTTCAGGAGTTTCTCTGTTCTCCAGCATCTGAAGGAACTTGCGTTGCATCAGCTGCTTTTTCCCTTTCTTATAACTTTCCCCAACTTTTGTTCATATTATTTCCGTATAATATTCCCCAGTGGATCTTAAATGTCAAATGTGAGCGCTCTGATGGAGGGATGTGAAACACACACCTCTGAGGCTTGTTTATGTGTGTGTAGGAGCTGCTCGAGGATAAAGAATGTGTGTGTTGTTTTCTTTCTCCAGCTGCTGTCCGTCAGTCTGTCCACCCCCACTGTGTGTGTGTGACACGAGACACTACTCTCACGTTTGTCTCACACACACTAGCCTTCAGTCACTGCATGCTGAAGCAAAACTGCTTTCTTATACACTTTTTTTTCTTGCTTGACTAGACTACACAACTGAAACTACAGAAGTCATGAAATTATCGTCCAGCTCTACTATTCCAATAAAGCAGCTCTACAAAAGACATAGTGTCACTATTCAGGACAGGGGTCAGTTCATGGATGATTCAGTTCATGGTTGATTCAGTTCAGTGGTGATTCAGTTCATGGTTGATTCAGTTCATGGTTAATTCAGTTCAGTGGTGATTCAGTTCAGTGTTGATTCAGTGCATGGTTGATTCAGTTCAGTGTTGATTCAGTTCAGTGTTGATTCAATTCATGGTTGATTCAGTTCAGTTTTGATTCAGTTCAGTGGTGATTCAGTTCAGTGTTGATTCAGTTCAGTGTTGATTCAGTGCATGGTTGATTCAGTTCAGTGTTGATTCAATTCATGGTTGATTCAGTTCAGTGTTGATTCAGTTCAGTGTTGATTCAGTGCATGGTTGATTCAGTTCAGTGTTGATTCAGTTCATGGTTGATTCAGTTCAGTGTTGATTCAATTCATGGTTGATTCAGTTCAGTGTTGATTCAGTGCATGGTTGATTCAGTTCAGTGTTGATTCAATTCATGGTTGATTCAGTTCAGTGTTGATTCAGTGCATGGTTGATTCAGTTCAGTGTTGATTCAATTCATGGTTGATTCAGTTCAGTGTTGATTCAGTTCAGTGTTGATTCAGTGCATGGTTGATTCAGTTCAGTGTTGATTCAATTCATGGTTGATTCAGTTCAGTGTTGATTCAGTTCAGTTCAATAACAGAATCAATGTTCCAAAATTCATCAATTATGAAACTCTTGATTTAGTTGCTCAGCAGCTCGAAAACAACAATAGTGTTGTTATTCAGATCAATTAAATCCAGTGCAACTACAGTAGGAGCCAAAAGTGATGGATGTGTTTGTTTTACATGATACTGCATCAAATAAACTATCAAAGTATGTGGAAAATATTTAATAAATATTTTAAATATGAGGGAAGAACAAAATACTAAACTTGGTTAAGGTATTTATCTGACAATTAAAAAAAAACAAAAAAACTTTTTTTTACTTTGCAAAAAAAGCTGCATAAGCTGACAGGAAAAAGCACACATTGACTACAACATGATCAGTTATTAATATCTCATTGCTTTTCTCTTGTTTTTTTGCATGTGTTCATTCATAACCTCTTATTATAGACAGTTATGTCGCATAATTTGGCGTGTTTAATTTCGTTATAATCATAAATAAAACAGTCGACTCAACCACAACCACACAATGTGACCATAAAATCCTGAACACATTTTTAATAATATTAAGACGTCAGTTTTCAAATCCAGTCATCGATTTTCTACACCACTGTATAAAGCATGAAGATATTTACTTTTGAAACGACGTGTGTGAAAAGTGTCATATAAATGAACTCGATTGATAGATTGTGCTCAGACACACCAGGAAAACACATTACGAAAGCGGATTTCATGTTCATGCATCCTTCAAAATAACTCATGCAACATTATTGATTGTGCTTAAAAAAGATTTTTATTGTTCATGTATTGTTTAATTACTAAGGCTTTATTTGAAACACAATGCATATTTACACACATGATCACCAAAACTCTAAAAATGTGCAAAACGAAATATAAATTCATAACTCTGGTTTCAGTTCATTGACGAGGGAGAGCGTGCTCGTGGAGTCATCATGAGGTTGTGAATCCCAGGAGCTGCTCGATGGGTTTATACTTCCACTCGTCCGCCTCCAACTGCTCCACCAGCCCCGCCAGACGCTCCATCCGGGACACCTGCTGATCTGAGATCAGACACTCTTTTTTAAAAAGTCAACTACTCCTTTAATGCCCAGTGTAAACAGGGCCTCATGCATTTCAGGCTGTGAAACTGAGTGTAAGTGTGTCACTTACCATGTTTAACCTGCTTCAGAGTGGATGCAACTTGATAGCTGAACACAGACTCACACAAAAACCTGTCAGATCCATCTGTGGAAAAAAGGCAAATGCATGTAGATCAGCGTTGTGAAAAACATGTGACGAACATGCAAACACACACAAAGAGCCACACTGAGCAACTGCACCTTGAGCTCATTAAATAACCGGCGGGAATTACCCCTCGTAACAAACCCTGTCCTGACCCACAAACAAAAGCCACAACCGAAGGACATTAACTGGATGGATTGTTACAGTAAAAATCTTTACAGATCAGTTTATATAACAGGCTTATGTTGCAACTGGATGTGCCATTTGTTTTGCGCTTAAATCAGTGTTCCCACATCATGGTTAACTCCAAATTCAAGAACCTTTTAAGGACTTTCCAGGTCCAATACCCTCAAATTCAAGGACTTAATGTGGGGACACACAAGCGTTGAGGTACGATCGTAGTAGTTTTAAACCATTTTAAGAGAAATAATAACGAGCACAAACCCTCCATCATCTCTCCAGCTCCTTTCGGGTAAGTGTACAGGACTTTCCTGGGCGGGATGAGCTCCGAAGCGCTGAAGCCGGACCCGGTCACCGAGCTGCCGCTGACCCCGCCAGCCGAGGACGAGGACGAAGATGCTGCCATTCACAACCTGGACAGGACACGGCGCACATTAATACACTACAAACACCAGTTACATGCACTACAACATGCCTCCCATAGCTCATATGACCTTTACAATACATACACTGTCAATATATTTATGTAAACACTCATACAAAATATACCCGTGTTTATATGCTTGTAGCCACTCTAAATTTCGTTGTATAGTGTACAATCAATGTCAATAAAGCATCTTACTTACTTAAAACTAATATGGAAATGAGTTTGTGAAATAAGAAAACATTTCTTTAGTTCATTCAAGATGGGCAAGGACTAACGTTAGCACTACTATTATAGAAAATCCCTATATAGTGTGTTTGTGTGTGTGTGTATATATATATATATATATATATATAGAGAGAGAGAGAGAGAGAGAGAGAAGCACAGAATACATTTAATTATACAAATTGTCTTTAACTTTCACCTAAAAATACAATATAATGGTATAGACATTTTGAACTCCAACATAACAAACAACACAGCGCCACTATCACTATTCCACGATTCATGAGCAATCAATACAAGAATAAATCAAAATTAAGTTAAATAAAAATGTTAAAATCGTGTACTATTTTTATGATTTACAACCTGTGTCCCGCAAAGCTCCGCCGCTGCTGTTATTGCTTTCAGTTGCTTTGTTTACGTCAGTTTGACACGGATCGGATGTTGGCGCGCCCTCTAAAGTCGTGGCGTAATGGGACAAATGTGTTGTGATGTTCATTTATATATTATGTTTTTGTACATTTGGCACTATTATATATTGCATATAATTTAATTAATTTTTCATAAAAAAATAAAATAAAGAAAAAAATTCTTCAAATCGTATTCTCTCAGTAGAGGACGTGACGCAAGAGCGGAAGTGGGTGCGAAGTGGAGGCTCCGCCTCTGTTTGGTTTATGTAAACAGACACATCTCAAAGGTAGAAATATTGATAATTTAATTATTAATAATCATACTTTCAAGCGATATTGTTCTTTAATTAGTCCTGAGTTATTTCACCCTCGTTTGTGGTTTATTATTATTGTTGTAGCACAGTTCACTTACTCAGGTGAAGCTCATGCTAACAGAAACGGCTAACAGAAAAGTTAGACAAACATTATTGTAACAGTGTAAAACGTCTTTCTGCTGACTTTTAATATATTTTTAGAAACAGACATGCTTTCCTAAAGCCAAAGTTTTTGTTTAGTAATTTGTACTGCAGCTATATAAAATAAGTGTTCATAATTAATTTTTGTGAGAAATAATGAGAGATCTGGCATTATTTGTGGATGCTTTAGTGGATGATTAGCAAACGAATTAAGAAAGTTAGGAAAAAAGCCTCAGAGAGCTCAAATTATTTAGTAAGAATCTCAGTAGAAGAAAAATTAAGACAAAGTTTTTCATAAAATGCATAATTTTACCTCACGAATATCCAGCTGTCATATGGTATGATGAGTTGTGTTATTTAATAATACTTTTTTGTTGCTTTAAATCCAGTGTTTTGTTTGATTTTTTTTTTTTTTTTAAAAATGAATGAACAGTTAACATAGCACATTTGCAAGTAATTTATAGGTGTGTATGACCATGGCAATGAACTAGAAAAGCAAATCCCACACACTATCCAAAGTAACTTGAGAAAGTTGAGCGTGTGCCTGCCTGATGAAGGTCATGGGATCGAAACATTGCTAAATGAACTTTTATCACCTTTGCAAGTTGGGATAGTGTACAGGATTTCTTTCTCTAGTTTATTTTAAAAAATAAAACAATGTAGTGAAATCTTAGCTGATGATTTATGCCACATTAACAGTGACGTCACCCTCCTCTTCCTCATCCAGCAGTTTGTTCACGATGGAGATCTTACGGCCGGTTCTCATTAACATCCACGGGAGAATTTACAGGAAAAATGCCGTTCAGGAGGAATCTTATGAAGAAGAAGAGGAGGATGATTATTCATATTCAGAAGCAGGTATGAGCTCTTTAAATTGAGTGACACATGTTCATGTGTGTCTGTAGTTTCACATCAATGTTCTGATTGTCCCAGACGCCGAGCAGTGCCTGGACGAGCCCTGTGACGCTCACGACATACAGCAGACGGAGAAAGGCTTCCGCTGTGCCATAGACGTGCCAAGTGTCCTTTATAAGTCAGTATATGTTCTAGATCAAGTTTTCAGAGTCATACTGCTCGTAAATGTGGCCTAAATCAGTGTGAACGGCACAAACCTCATCTGATCTTATCGATTCAGATTTGTGCCACTTCCATCTGCGGTACTGAGGCCGATACAGGTCAAGGTGTTTTGCAGTCATATCAGTGAATTAATGTGACTTTTTGCATCACTCTCATCAAAATTCTGCTCTATATACACGCAAAACATGCAGGCTCATACCAAAACTGTTTAAAAAACTGTTTTTGCTTTTTGCGCATTATTTCGCTGGCTTCCGCAGCAGATCACACAATAAATAAATGTGTAATCGGTTACTTTAAAGTCTCCCTGTGGTGAAAATCCAGCTTTTAATGTTGTTTATGTGTCAATGTGGTGTTTTTAATACGCATTAAAACAAATCAGTCGACAGCATTGCTGAGTATTTCCTCCTTAAAACTGCAGTGAACCAAAGACAGTCTCGAAAACATGCTTCACAACGTCACAAACGACCTTGTAACCAATCAGATCAACGTGTGATCGTCAACCAGTGGATCTCTGACTGACTGAGTGAGTGAGTGGAGGCGGGGCTCATTTGCATATTCATAGAACTGTGTATACTAAATGAGGCGAGGGTGTCGAGTTACAGTCAAGATATCTTAAGGCAAAAAGAATTTTTTTCAAAGGAAAAAACGTTTAAATATGTAATTTTGGTGATTAAAGATTTTATGGTATAAATTTTTTGACTACAGGGGGACTGTGATGAATAAATTGAATATAAAATATGAATATGTAAATATGTGCTGCGAACTTTCCTCTCAATAACAAAATAAACGCACACCAAAAATGAGAATCATCACACTGGAGTCTGATATTGGCCATATTTAAAACAACAATGTGAAAAAAAAAAACTTTATTTCTTGCGATTCGTGCGACATCCCTATTCGATACTAACCGTCCTCAATGGGCTATATGCACGCATAAGTTCCGCATTTGACGTAAGGATGCTCGTCCATTTCCGGTTGTGTAGATTAAAGCGGAGGAAAACCGGAGAAAACGGGATTATGGCAGAGTCTTCAATATTTACTGTCCTCCCGTCTTTGAAACGAAACGTACATACGTTTAGATGTAATTTTATATATAGTTATATTTATTTAATATAATTTTAAAAAGAAGCATAAACACAACGAGGGGTGTCTGTTTTATCTGTTTTTGTGACTAGCGTTTCATTAGTATAACCATGGAGTATAAAATTCAATATAAATTCTCGGTATTGCATTGGACTCTATGATCGGCGGAAGTTATCGAGCATCCCTAATCCTTCACCGGAAATAACGCCGTGCATAGAGCCCATACTATTGAAAATTAGAATTATTGTGTCGCTAATCATATAATATGTTGAAATGAAGATCTGCTTTTTCCGGTTACAAACCATTCCAGAGACGGATTCAATTAGAACTACAAACATGAATAAAATGTGTTAAAAACTACAAACATGGCGGGCTTGCGAGACCAACGTGATTAATAATCGGTATCTTACCTGACGAAAAGATATTTATTCAATGTCAGCGTTATATATTTCATCTGGAACATCATTGTGAACTTTTATAAAGATACGTTTGGGTCATGAACTTTTAAATGCATCATTATGCAAATGAGGAGAGTCTGTGTTGCCACATTTTTGTCCGATATGGCAGGAAATAAAATGAAATTGAATGTGACGAGATGATTGACAGGGCAATTTAAACAAAACAGGCGCAGTTATGATAATGTAGTGTGTCCCATATCTTGCCTATTATTCTGTATCACACTCAAAAGTATGTACTTTCCTTCACAAAAAACAGAACACACTTTTAGGGCATAGTATTGTGATTGTGAATTTGAGTTTAAAATAATGTTTTATTCCATTAACGGACTTCCATATGCAGCTTTTTCCACTGCATTTCCATTTTCTGATCCAATCTCGGCAACATTCTTGTTTTTTTTGACAGATATATTATCGGTAAGAAGGGAGAGACTCGTAAACGACTGGAATCAGAGACAAAAACTTCGATCAGCATCCCAAAACAAGGCGTGGAAGGACAGATCGGTAAGAAACCCCTGAAGCATTAATGCAATTTATCTCACAGCATTTCTGAGGTCATGAATCATATCTCGTATTCCCAGGGAATGCATAAAAGCATCTGCCAAATGCATGCATTTAAATGTAAAAGTAGATCACGCTATTAAGCAACTGCATATTACTGCATTGAGAACTGCTCTTTTAATGCATTTATCAGCTAAAAATGTTTTTTTCTTTCCTTTTATTACATTTAAACATTTACTTACAGAATACAAAAGAGCCAGAGGTTCAGGGACAGCCAAATATTACATCACATTTGAGAAAATAATAATAAAAATATAATAATGTAGAAAATCTTTATAAATTATACAAATAAATAAATGTGTAAGTATTGATTAAACAGACCACATAAATATAACAATCCTCCCCGCAAAACAAAATACATAAAACATCAAAAAGTGAGCATATATTCAAAGTTTTAGTAGCTTTTTGTTGGAGGAGGTAGACAATGATTTAATATAGACCTTTATATCTTCTTGAAAGTGAGAAATATTGGGGCTCACTTTCATAGTTTTACATTTGTGGATAAAGTATTTTGCAAGCAAATAAACATTTTCATATTGCTTCTCAAAAATTAAAAACCCAAACAAAACATACTTGAAATATATATATATATATATATATATATTAGAGCCTGACCTATAAAGGATTTTGAAGGCCAGTACCGATACAAATATTTTTTGGTTTTAAAAACCGATATATCGGCCGATATTTTTTTTTATTATTTTATTTTTATTTCAGAAACGCGCAACAAAACATTAACAGATTTCCCTAACATTAGTTATTTGTAGTTATTTATGTGTTTTAACTAAAATAATATGATAATGCATATGCATTTTAAAAAGAAACTTGTTTCTTATATTATCACAACAGAACAGACTGATAGTGGCATTAGCTAAGCTTTGTGGTTCGCTAGTCTATGAAGAGCCATAATTTAGCAATGGATAACGTCATAGTGCAAATTGTAAAACATACATTTTCAATATAACAGGCCAAAGAGATGATATATATCATTGCTCTAACTGTCACGCGCTATTAAAGAAATACTTCAGTCACATCAAAAGTTAAAAGGACAGTCAGTCAACTACACTGTGACAACGTACAGTAACGTAATGATTACTAGCTAATTCCGCTTCACTCTCGTCTTATTTAACAGCAGCAAAACTGGACGTGATAGTCACAAATTCTGTCATGCTTATTTGAGTTTAGAGAACTGATGCGGATGTTCTTTTAATTGTTATTCAAGCAATGACCAACTCAACGAGTGTTGCCAACAGGGACGGTGTAGAGCGCCCTCTGGTGGACAAACTATACAACTCCAACATGACATGGTTCAAGCGTGTTTCGTCCGTTTTTATTTTATTTTTGAAATATTCATTTATCGGCCATTATAACTGCCGATACCGATAGTTTGGAAAATCCCCAATATCGGCCGATAATATCGGCCTGCCGATATATCGGTCTGGCTCATGAACTGGCAAATGTCTTGTCAAAGTTTTCTTGTATGATTTCTTCTAAACAAGATGTGAAAGATTCTCTGGTTGTGAATCACTGAAAGCATAATTCACTTGTTCACTTAATTTAAATGTTGACACAATTAGAGCTTTAACAGGATGATGATAGCGATGATTAGGGCTCACGGTGTTCCTGCGTGAAGATAAGTGTGTGTAGGGGTCATGATGTTCTAGTAGCAGGATGTTCTGGCAGAAGCGTGTTCTTGACTGCAGCGGTGAGGACTGTATGTTCTTCCTGTGGTTGGCTGTGGTTTTATGGAAATGCACTTCTCTGTATCTCTCGGTGTGTGTGTGTGTGTGTCAGTGGTCACAGGTGCACACAGGGCTGCTGTCGCCTCCGCTGTAACCCGCGTTGAGGTTTTGATCGACAGCTTTCGGAGGAAGCAGCCTTTCACACACTTCTTGTCGTTTCCACTGAATGCTCCGCAGGTGCAGGAGGGATTCGTGCGCTTTCGAGAGCAGGTGCTGGAACACTGCGGACAGGTGAGAGAGAGAGAATTGAATTTGAAAACACATTTTATTACAATCAAAAATAAAACATTATTTCATTACATCATTCTACATTTTATAAAACACACACACACAAAAAAATTCTCTATTCTAATCTACACCATAAAAATACTCCTTTTACTGCAAACAAATAGCAAAAATTAGTGTCCCTTCATGCACAGAACACAATACCTCTCCACAACACCATTTCATTACAAACAATGACAAATCATTCATTGCCTTGAAAAAATTGAAATCTGGACGTAATCAGATTGGAAAAAAAACACCAGTACATCTTGTCCAGAACTATTTTCAATCTTATTCTTCCTACTCGCATCGATTGCCATTTTTGATTGGGCCAAAACATAATTTAACACAGAAGCCTTTCTCTTTACATATTTAAATCCACATATAAACATTTGCATAGAGAATTTTTCATTAAAAGCCTTAAAAAAAGACCCTACAACAATAAATAAAGGTCTTAATCTATCACAAAACATAAAAGCATGAAAAATGGTTTCTCTATGCAAGCAAAAAGGACAATCGGAACTAATCTCAGGGTTTATTACAGAAATAAAAGCATTCACAGCTATGACTCCATGTATTAGTCTCCACTGCATGTCACCCGCTCTCTTAGGTAACGGTGGCTTATATCGTGCTCTCCATTGCGGTCTAAAATCACCACTAAGACCAATGACATTACGCCAAGGTGTATCACTCCTGTTATGGAGAGAGAGAGAGAGAGAGAGTCTGAATAGAGTGAGAGTGAGAGAGAGAGAGAGAGTTTGAATAGAGTGAGAGAGAGAGAGAGAGAGTCTGAATAGAGTGAGAGAGAGAGAGAGAGAGAGAGTCTGAATAGAGTGAGAGAGAGAGAGTGAGAGTGAGAGAGAGAGAGAGAGTCTGAATAGAGTGAGAGAGAGAGAGAGAGTCTGAATAGAGTGAGAGAGAGAGAGAGAGTCTGAATAGAGTGAGAGAGAGAGAAGGTCTAGAACAGTTAATGCAAGAATTTAATATTCATTCAATATTATAATAAGGTTAATATAAAATAATGCATTATATTTTTTTAATAGTATACATATAATATTATATATTTAATATAATATCTCAATATAATATATTATATTTAAGGTTAATATGATACAACACAACACAACACAATATATTAAGGTAAATGTAAAATCTCAGATAGGGGTATTACATTATTTTATTTTATTTTTATTTTTACTCTTAACTGTTTTTATTTATATTGATTGCATTTACTGAATGAGCACTGTGCCACTGTTCGTCCGACTGTTGCTGTACTTCATTTTATTTTTGATACTGTATTTTATTTTTATTATTATTCTAAACTGTTTTAATTATTCTGATTTCTTTTGATTATTTTAATTTCTTCCATGTAAAGCACTTTGAATTGCCACTGTGTATGAAATGTGCTATATAAATAAACTTGCCTTGCCTTGCCTAAAACACAATTGAATGTAATATAATAATGTCTCTGTTCCTGGTGTTATTATGCAGAATTCATCAGTTCTCCATGATAAAAAGCATCAATAAATAATGTTTGATTAATTTAGATTTGATTGTGATGTGTTTTGTGCAGGACTCAGGAGTGGAGGTGAGTGTGTTTCAGAACCCAGCCAAACTGCACCTGACCATCGGCACTCTGGCCCTGCTGAGTCAACAGGAAGTGACACGTGCAAACGAGCTGCTCCAGCAGTGTCAGGCTGTGATCAGGTCTGTGTCTGATGATACACACTCTTACATCTATAATCACACACACTGATCTCGTCTCGTCTCGGCAGAGATATCACTGAAGCGAAGCCGCTCGCTGTGGAAGTGCGAGGAATCGAGTACATGAACGACGACCCGTCGGCGGTGGACGTCCTGTACGCCAAAGTCGCTGTTAAAGACGGATCTGACAAGTGAGATGTCGTTCATGACCTCGTGCAGGCGTATAGTTTAACGACACGAGCTTATACATTATACTGAATTAGTTGGTTTTTTTGTTGAAAATGTAAAAATGCAGAAAGTTTTAGTGTGTGTGTGTGTGTCTGTGTGTGATGGGAAAGGTGTGTGTGTGAGAGTGAGTGTGATGGGAAGGTTTAGGGGTCAGGTTAGTGTGTGTGTGTTTGTGTGTGTCTGTGTGTGATGGGAAAGGTGTGTGTGTGTGTGTGTGTGAGAGTGAGTGTGATGGGAAGGTTTAGGGGTCGGGTTAGTGTGTGTGTGTGTGTGTCTCTGTGTGTGATGGGAAAGGTGTGTGTGTGTGTGAGTGAGTGTGATGGGAAAGGTGTGTGTGTGTGTGTGAGTGAGTGTGATGGGAAAGGTGTGTGTGTGAGTGATTGTGATGGGAAGGTTTAGGGGTCGGGTTAGTGTGTGTGTGTGTGTGTGTGTGTGTGTGTGATGGGAAAGGTGTGTGTGTGTGTGTGTGTGAGTGAGTGTGATGGGAAGGTTTAGGGGTCGGGTTAGTGTGTGTGTGTGTGTGTGTGTGTCTGTGTGTGATGGGAAAGGTGTGTGTGTGAGTGAGTGTGATGGGAAAGGTGTGTGTGTGTGTGTGAGTGAGTGTGATGGGAAGGTTTAGGGGTCGGGTTAGTGTGTGTGTGTGTGTGTGTGTGTGTGTGTCTGTGTGTGATGGGAAAGGTGTGTGTGTGTGTGAGTGTGTGTGATGGGAAAGGTGTGTGTGTGTGTGTGAGTGATTGTGATGGGAAGGTTTAGGGGTCGGGTTAGTGTGTGTGTGTGTGTGATGGGAAAGGTGTGTGTGCGTGTGTGTGTGTGTGTGAGTGTGTGTGATGGGCAGGTTTAGGGGTAAGCTTAGTCTCTCTGTGTGTGTGTGTGTGTGTGTGTGTGTCGGGTTAGTTAAAGGGGTCCAAATATAGAGTTTGTACAGTATAAAAACCATTACGTCTATGTCGTGGATGTGTGTGTGTGTGTGTGTGTGTGTAGGCTCCAGCAGATAGCAGACAGGCTGGTGGAGTGTTTCGTGTCAGCCGGTCTGATGGAGCGAGAGCGGGACCGAGTGAAGCTTCACGGCACCGTAATGAACACACTGTTCCGGAAGGATCCGTCAGGTGAGACATAAACAAACACCATCGCTGATCCTCGATCCCGCCGTAAACATGCCATTCATAACACACACACACACACACACACTCACCGAATCCAATCACTCTAACCAGTCGGATCGTGTGGAATTACATAAACAGAATAACAACGTGTTTATCAGCGGCTTGTTTGTCCGAATGTTGTTCTGAAGTCGTGAATGTCTTCATCTCCATCATACAAAGCTCTCATTCAGCCGCGACTGTGTGTGTGTGTGTGAGAGGGACGCCAGAGTTTGACCTTGTTTGTGTCCGTGAAGTCTGATTGGGTCAACAGTTTTGCCGGTTGTTGTGCTGTTTTCAGTTTGCAGTCTTGAGTAATGCGAGTCAGTCCCTGAACACCGCGAGCTGCTTATAAACATGTTGATCACATCTCGTCATGTCAAGTGTGTGTTGTGAACAGTTGTTGAAATGCAGGCGGCTTGTGTTTTAGGGCGTTTGCAGACCTGTAGATCGCTTGTGTGTTCCCAAACAGGGACTTTATGTGATCAATGTTGCATTTTCTTCACAAGCAGGGTTTGAAAGTAAGTTTAAGGACTATACGAACATTACCGGCCTTTCAAAACAGAGTAACTACGTCACAGCTTTTATTTTATATACAGTGGTGTGAATAAGTTTGGACACTCATGCTAAAGTTGCCTAAAAAGAGGAATAAAAAAATCATCTTTTGGATATTGATCTTAATGCCTTAATTAGAAAAATGAGGAAAACTCCAACTTTTAAGGACACAAATTTTCTTTGTGAATGAATAATGTATCATAAATAAATACATTTATTTATTTTTATTAAATACATTTTTATTTTTTAAGGAAGTTTTTCCTTAAAATACAGGGTGCATAAGTCAGGACACCCCTATGTTAAATTACCATAGAGTCAGGCAGATTTTTATTTTCAAAAGCCAGTTATTTCATGGATCCAGGATAATATAATATAATTGGCATGGTTTTACTTCAGGTAGCCTAATAGTTGGTTTGATTTGCATTGAGAGATGATCTTATGGAAAGAAATCTCTCGGTGTGGTGGAAGGTGTGTGATGATGTGGGGATATTTCAATCCCAAAGGCCAAGGGAACTTTATCAGGATGCATATTATCCTGGATCCATGAAATAACTGGCTTTTAAAAATAAAAATCTGCCTGACTCTATGGGAATTTAACATAGGGGTGTCCTGACTTATGCACCCTGTATTTTAAGGAAAAACATTTATTTATTTATGATACATTATTCATTCACAAAGAAAATTTGTGTCCTTAAAGGTTGGAGTTTTCCTCATTTTTCTAATTATGGCATTAAGATCAAAATCCAAAAGATGATTTTTTATTCCTCTTTTTAGGAAACTTTAGCATGAGTGTCCAAACTTATTCACACCACTGTATATGAAGAGTTCAGATGCAAAAGCCTCTAAGTGCCATTTGAAATTCTCTTCTAGAATGATGATTTTTATCAAGCTTGTATATTAAAGTTCAGTAATTTCACTTAAATGGCAATGAAGATTACCTATTAATTGTCATTTTATATTATACAATTATTATAAGATGTGGATTTCATACATTAATAAATTACTAACTAATTAGTTACCGGACATTAAAAACTTCTACTATCCCCCCAAAAAAAAGAAAGAAAGAAAAAAAAAAGAGATTAACTACGTCACAGCTTATATATATATATATATATATATATATATATATATATATATATATATTATAAAATTTGGATTTCATACATTATTATTATATATTTCTTATTAAAACTAAATCCTGTCATCCAGCATCTCCTCTTTCATCCTTTTAACCAAAAATGTATTTTAGGTGGACAGATCAATACTGAACGAAGAACATTAAATAAATATAGGAATGTGTTGGAAAATAACAATTTTTTTTGGCCACAGTTGATTTTTACCCACATTCGGCAAGTTGTCTGATCACAAGGCAAGATTTCAAAGTGTACCTAAAATGTTTATGCAAGTCACATGAGGAAAAACTGTCCTCTCATTGGTCTTCCTCTGCGCCCTTCATCTCGAACCTGTTCTGTGTTCCTCTCAGCGGAGGATAGAGGAGCTTCGGGAAGACCCAACATTAAAGATCGAGAAGCTTTTAATGCCAGGAACATCTTACAGGTGAGAAATCCACCAGATCAGTTTGTTTCAACATCATATTCTTTTGCAAAAACATTTGGAGAAGCTTTTTTGTCACTCATGATCTGATACACTGATAAAATACATTACTGTTAATAGACCTTATTCAGAGCAGCGCCATGACGGGTATGAAAGTGAGGCTGTGAGGGATAGACTTAGCGTGTTTCCAATGGCATCCGCTGTAAAAAGCTGAATAAAGCGGCTAGATTACTTACAATTTTCCACAGCTTACATTCGGGAGCTTTTTGTCAACTGACATTTCTTGGAAAGATATTTTTCCAGTGTTTCATGAGCAGAGCAATCCGAAAACACATTAGTACAGCCCATTGAAGAGACGCATGTCATTCCCTCACAGCCTCGCTTTCATTCTCATTAAAAATCAAAGATGGCGCTGCCGTGAATAAGGCGTATAATGACTTTTTATTCAGTAAAGATGCATTAAATTGATCAAAGGTGACAGTAATACATTTATGATGTTACAAACGATTCTATTTCAACTAAACGCTGTTCTTTTGAACTTTTTATTCATCAAAGAATCAGTTTCCACAACAAAACAAAAAAGTGTTTTCAACACTGATAATAATCATAAATGTTTCTTGAGCATCAGATCCTCATATTAGAGTGATTTGTGAAGGGTCATGTGACACTGAAAATCACAGGAATAAATTACACTTTACTATATATTCACATAGAAAACAGATGATTTAGTGTTTTTTCAGTGTTTTTGATCAAATAAACAATATTGGTGAACAGAAGAGACTCATTTAAACATCTAACTATTTATACAGTACATGACTCTGTAGTTCACATACAATACGAAGACAGAATACATGATTGCAAAATGGGTAGAGACGAGATATTAAAGATATAAATTAAGTATTGCATCAGTTACACTGATGAGCAACATTTACCTTGCATTGCATGAAAGCTGTAAAAACATAAACATCATAGCTTACTTTGACTATCTGTCGCCCCCTGTTGGCAGTTAGCAGAACTTCAACACACACACACACACACACACACACACACACACACACACACACACACACAGGCTGTTGTAGAGCAGAACCTTGTTATTTTTTTGGTGTTCTGTCCAGAAACGACTACACCTGTTATTTTCTCAGAACTTTTGTTCCTTTAAATGGTCAAAATAATTCTGGGAAAACCACTCCAGTGAAAGTTGGTTAAACAAATAGAGAGAAACGTGAGAGTAAACTGTGTTTATATAGTTAATCATCCGTGTTCAGATCGCTCTCGTGAAGGTTCGGGATTCTCCTTGATCTGTTTCCACGGTAACAGCATTGATGATATGGTTTATCTCTGATCCTGTAATGTAGATATTCATGATGAATAATAATTGTCTCTCTGCAGATGTTCGGCGAGGTGTATTTCGGAGCGTTTGAGCTGAATTCGGTGCAGATTTCCCAGCGGTTCTCCACGGACAGCACGGGATACTATTCCTCTGCGGGACACGTCACATTCTCATGACTACACACTCATAAACGGCTCCAAAGTACTGATTGAAATGGGATAATCCGCTATCTTTGTCATGCATTGTAAATATGAATATAAAGAGCATTATGCGGGATGATGTCATGAGTATTATTGGGCCTTTTCCCTCAGTGTTTCCATTCATCAAAGCATCTCAGTTTGCTGTGAGTGTGCACTACAATACCCCAGTGTTTTAAAACGCTTTTTATTTGAATGTGGAATTAAATGTCAGGAATCTGTGTCCACATATTCGGCTTGACCCAAGGAATCCATAGACAACAAGATTGTGATTTTTTTTTTTGGACAAACTCTTCAAAAGTTATTCGCAAAAATTGCTATTTTTTTGCATATTTCATGACCCATAGGGGGCGCTGTTTCCAACTTTGGCACGTCCCCTCAGATTATGGTTCTGATGAAGCGTAGCGAGTCTCATTTAGATTGATCAAAGTTTGGCCGAGAAACTGAATTTTGTGTGAGAGGTACATTTCGTTGTATAGCTATATAATACAAACAAGGTATTCAATTAGGTTTGCGACATCATAACTTGTTTGGTCATTTCTCTGCGACTCGGCCCAAAGATCCCCTGAGCCAGTTTTTGTAAGAATTGGGCAAAATTTGATTGAAATGTAGTGAAAGACTTTTCAAAATGGCCACTGCTACTGTAATGGGCGGAGCCTTGATGTAAGGTGTTGAATGTGATTAGCATAATGAGAAAGTTTCATTTTTCTAGAACAAAATGTTCTAACCATTTGAAAATTAAGTTTTTGAACTGATGGTGGTGCTATTGAGTAAGATTACTATTACAAATGGTAAAGTCATGTTGAGACCCCTAGTGGACCCCTGGTTGCTTACAGTGTCTTCTGTTGAAGTGTTGTTTGGTCTGTGTCCAGCAGGTGGCGCTGTGAGGTCACAGTGTGGCTGTTTGCTCTGAGATGCTCTTGATGAGACATGAAACATAAAATCATTCCAGAAAGAGAAAGAAAATGTGTCACTGCTGTATTCAAAAGAAACCTGTCGAGTTCAGCCTTGAAACTCTTTCACTGAAAATATGAAGTTTTTACTGCATGTGCGGCTCAATTATGTTTGATTTATTGTACAGTTCAGATTAATAAAAAGGTTAAATACAGTTGAAATACCCTGATGATCAGCTATCCAACAGAGATCTGATCTGAGCTGAGTGAGTGAGTGGGGGCGGGGCTCATTTGCATATTCATAGAACCACACATACTAAATGAGGCAAGGGTGTCGAGTTACAATCAAGATATCTTCAGCCATGAAGAATTTTTTTCAAGGAAATAATGGTTTAAATAATTATCACCAGTGATAAAATGTTTGACTAGAGGGGCTCCACATTCAGGGAAGTGATGTGAATGATTACAGCATGTTTCTGATGTCTAACGCTGATAGTTCAGACTTGGATGTGGATGTACAGTATATTATTAATGCTGACAACACTGAAGGTCTACAGTTAAACAAGTGCCTTCATACATTATATAAAAGCAAAGGGAGTCTCTGCAGAGAAATAAACCCACACTCACTGCATGCAGGCAGACACACGTTACAGCTGCGTGTGTGTGTTAAAGGTCAGCACAATGTCTTCATCAGAGGCAGAGAGCCTCCTGAGAGGAAGAGAGACTGGTTCACAGAGATGCTCGTTTGTAAGTTAATGAGATTTGAGCTGAGAGACTTAAATCAGCCTCTTAAAATGCACTGTAATACTTCTCAAATTTTGAAATATTTAAACTAAAATGTTTGTTTGCCAGGATGTAATTAGTGGCTCATTATGAATGCACCAATACTTTCAAGTGCAAATGAGTTTAATAAAAACAGGTGTATATTAAAACTGCAGTGAACTAAAGTGAAATCGCTGGTGTTTCTGACGTCACAAACGATCTTGTAACCAATCAGATCAGCGTGTGATCGCCAACCAGTGGATCTCTGAGTGAGTAAGTGGAGGCAGGGCTCATTTGCATATTCATAGAACCACGCATACTAAATGAGACGAGGGTGTCGAGTTACATTCAAGATATTTGATGGGGTGAAGATTTTTTTTTTTTTTTAAGGAAAAAACTTTTATGACATTTTGGTGGTCAAAGGTGAGTTTTAAAGGATGTAATGATTGACAGGGGGACTTTGAGAAACGAAAAGCTACACACTCTGTTAATTAGGGTTAGGAGAACTGTGGCCAAACATATACAGAAACATAATAATCACTGTAGTAATGATCAGATCACAGACGCTTTAATCTAAATAATACAACTTTTATGTTTTAACAATGATAATAAACTGTAAGAAATATTTTCCTGATTTTTTCTTTTGTCAAATCAACTTAGATAATTTATGTATAGTTCAGATAACATAATATTTTGAGTTTCTGGTGATTAAATTAATCTCCTTCATTGTAATAACTAAATTTTTCGATTTCAATGAACTTAACATTTTAAGGCAACCAGGTTACTTATTTTTTGAAGTTAAACCAACAATATTTTTTTACAGTGCAGTAAACAAATATTTAATAATAATTATAAAACAATGTCATTTAAATGAACACAATGAAGTCTGAGACTCGTCAGGATTTCTGTTCTCTCTTCTCTCTGGTCTTTATATAAAGGTGAATCAATGTCTCTTCTCTGTCCTTCTCTTCATTCAGTGTCCATGACTCTCATCATCTCCAGGTTTGCAGTATGAACTATAATAATATTTGGTGAATTGGTGAACAGACGCTTTTCTGTCACTATTGAGGCAGTGTAACCTGATTTCACTTCTTCAAACTCGATGAATAAGGCCGTGGGCTTCTTTCACACATGAAACCTTTACATCTTATTCACAACCTCACAGTTCAGTCTTTGATGAAGAGCAATGTCATGAGGCAAAAAATCCAAATCTGAGGAAGTCTGTTATATAGCACATGATTTAAACATAATATTGAGGATTTAATTTCCAATTAGTAAACAATGAAAAACGCAGATTTATTTCAGATATGTTTATTTCAAACGGTTTCAATTGTAAGTTGCCTCATATATTTACAAACGCTGCATAAATAACGTGTAAGGGTTGATTATTTGATACTAAGTCTATTGAAATACTGTTATCTTTATATATAGGCCTATACATTGGAGCATATACAGGCTATATTATATATTATTCCATCGTACTTAAAATAATACCGTGAGATTGTCATGTGAAATGTGTAAAATGGGTAATAGGCCAATATAATGCTATTTTGGTCCTTATTTCGTAAATGCCAACAGCAATAGATTAATTTAATTGCCTCAGTTCAACGGCCCTCCCTCCCTCCGTCCCTCCCTCTCTCTCTCTCTCTCTCTCTCTCTCTCTCTCTCTCTCTCTCTCTCTCCCTCATCATCAGTTCGTCACCTGAGCGGTGTTCAGACCATCGCTTCGTTCAGATCTCTCTCGTGTTTCTTCGTGAGGAACGGATCATGATGAGCGGTTTATCTGTTGTTCAGCTGCTGCTCGTGACACTGACGATGAGCGCGAGGGAAGCGCGGGAGATCGGTGGCGGGAATTTCCTTGAGGACGAGCAGCAGTGGCTCTCAACCGTCCATCAGTACAGCCGAACCGTCAAACACTGGAACCGCTTCAGAGACGTGAGTTTCCCGCCATTTACTGTCCGTGTCAGTTTAAAGATCAATTATTATATACAATTCAACCGAACAAAAAATCTGACTGAACTACAACATTGCAAGGGTAGTAGCCTATATTCTTAAAGTATCGACAAACACCTTAAAGTATTGACTGCAAAAATGCCGTTGACCTTTTTCACCGTGAATAACGATTTTGGACATTATAACCCCTTCAATGGGGCATGTTGTCACATCGGGAACCTGATTGGCTCTGATTTGAGAATACTTTTTCTTTTTTATATATATGTTTATCTTTGTATTATAGGTTGGCAGCAAAATGAAACGAAAATATCGTTTGAAAATATAACATTAAAAAAACTAAAAACAATTTACATTTTACATTTATCTTTGTTGAAATAAATGTTTAAAAGCCAACACACAGATATAGACTTTGTAGCCCCTGTTGCAATGCAAACTATAAAAGTGAATATTATTATTGTTTTAATTTTTTTATACAAATAATATTTTATTGTTGCGTGGTTTGAGGTCCTCAATCTGGGATGCACGATATATGGATTGGAATTCAAATTTGTTATCAACCAACATACTTTTAATGAATTTAATTTTGATTCATTTTAGCTTATTGTTATCTGTGTTGATAATGTTGTTAATGTGATTTATACTGAATATATTTATTTAGTTTTAGACTAGTTTTAGTTTTTTTTTTTTTTTTATTTTAGGGGTGCACCGAAATTTCGGCCGCCGAAAATGGCATTATCGGTATATACCGATAATGCCATTTTCGGCCGAACATTTTCGGCAGCCGAAATTTAATAGTGATGCACCGAAATGAAAATTCTGGGCTGATATATATCAGCCCAGAATTTTCATTTCGGTGCATCACTATTAAATTTAGATTACTTTTGCTTTATCATAGCTTAAAGTTGGCATGATATGGAAGTTGCGCTAGTGTTTTTTTCTTATTGTGCGTTATATGCAACAAGAACACATGTAGGCAGGACTTATGATAAATCACTTATCATAATTACTGCAATATTCTTTTTTTTACATTTTGATTTCATGGTGACTTTAACATATAGTGAAGAACTGAAATGTTCCTTTGCACAAAATCTTCTTTAAAGTGATAAACAGTTCTTTAGATGTTATTCAAATGTTCTAGAACTGATCAGGATCTTTGGGGAGCCAAAAATGGTTCTTTGGCGTCACTTACGTCGCTTTTGGTTGTATGTTTTAGTGTGAGACACAAGTTTTATATTCATCTGTATTATGTTGATATTATGATATTGTAGTTTTTTCAGCAAGGAAATTTTCGCTGCTCTTTTCCACACATGATCTCAGCTCATCTCGGCACACTGTGTGCAGGAGAGAGTGGGGAACGGGGAAGTTGTGTGAGAAATGACATCTCAGGTCTCGTCAGCTCCCCGAGGTCCTCCTGTCTGGATGAGTTAGCGCTACAGAGACAGACATCGTGTGTTTTGTGTTTGTTTATTGGAGAGAAAGACACTTTGTGATTCAGTGTTGGACTGAATCGGGTGACAGGCGAGGGCCAGAGTGTGTGTGTGTGTGTGTGTGTTAGGGAACCTCTTCAGATTAGCAGTGATGTGATTGGCTAGTCAGAGGGCATTATTATGATCCTGGCGATGACAAACCCCATCGTGTCGAATATGAACGCTTCTGGAACAAGAACAAATATGGGCGGGGCTTGATTGTGTTCCGCGGGGAATTGATTGGATGGTTGTGGTTTGCTATTGGCTGATCTCCTGTGAGTGACAGGTTGCCCCGCCCACATCATCAGAGTAGAGAAGAGATGCTGCGACAAAGTTATTCGGATTCAAGATCATCAGGAACAGGAATTTAAAACAAAAAAGAAGCGTAAGCCAATATTAGGGATGCACCGATATCAACATTTTGGCCGATAATTCTTTATATTAGAAAGCCGATAACCGATATATTGGCCGATAAATCTAAATCCAAATTTTTATTTTTGTGAGAGCCTGATTAAAAAAAAAAATCTTTAAAATGTTCTTATTATGATTGTATGTAGCCGATATGACAGATTTGCACTTTGCCGTATCTTTCTTTTTTTAAAGGGATTTTAATCATATTTCAAGCAATACAAAACCATTATGTTGGACAGTGCGCAACTGAAGTGTCTGGAATAATACATTATTTATTATCGCCTTTAATATATCGGCCAATTCTTCCGATAACATTAGACATGAACATAATATATCGGCCGATACCGATGGCCAGTATATCGTGCATCACTATGTAAACCCCATTGGGATGAACACGTCCCACTTGAACACGTGCAGCCTAAAGACTGTATGAATTATGAAACACATCTGTTTTCTTTCTCAATGCATGTTTATGATCTCAGACTTGCTCATGCATGAATACTGGAGACAAAAGTTAAACTTGTCTAATTTATTTTGCTTCCTAATGCGGCCTTGAAACTGTATTTTGCATGGTTTTAGTGAATTGCATGAATTGAATTGAGCTTTTTTTCAGGCATATAGATAAACTTCTGATGCATGTGGATATATTTTATTGAGGTCAAGTTATGTGAAGATGTGCCACGCTCAGATTGCTTATAATTTGATTGAAAGCATGTAATATTGCAGTGTATCAGTCAACTTGTGAGTAAAATTGACAGATTTATTCTGCTTCCATTACACCAGAGAGCTGAATGCACATGGATATTTTAATGCACAATGAATATTAAATTAATGTGTGAATAAATGAATCTTTTAAAACTTCAGAAAGTGAAATCTGGAGTGTTACAATGTAAATTACGTATGAGCCGATGCATTGTGCCATATGCCAGTGTAGAGACGATGTGTGTGTGTGTGATTAATGCTTCTGTGACATGTTTATTCACACTCCTGACACTGTAAACACAGCCGATGAGCCTCATGCTACACTTCTGTACAGTCGCAGTCCAGAGCTTCTCGTCTACTCGTGTTTGTTACAGAAATGCATGAAAAAAATGGACTTGTTTCAGCGGAGTGTGTGTTGAACACTGTCATGCACACACTGCTTTTTACCGTTGGCCTGTATGATATGATACTGACAGGGTCCAACATTAACTTTTGACCACACCTGCTATTTGCGGTTTAATTCTGAAAGTTTACCGGCCATAATTATGTCTCATCAACCATGAAATGGTATTTTGCATGATTTTTATTCATGCATTTACCATGCAAATAATTTATTGAGAATTCCTGAAAACTGTCACAAAAATATTTTATGCTTTATTGTGTTATGCTGTTTTCATGTGGTGTTGTTTTATTTGATGTGTTTTATGCTGTTTTTTATGTTACATTGTTTTTATTCATGTTATGTTACGTTATTTATTTATTATTTTTCATTTTATGTTGTTTCATGGTGTTAATATATCCTACTTTGTTATGTTTTATTGTTGTTTTATGCTGTTTTTGTTCTATTTTGTTCTTTCATGGTATGTTATGTAACACTGTTTTATATTTTATTTATGTTATGTTTAATTTTACGTTATTCACAAGCATAAAACATGTTATGTGTTTTCACATTGTTTTGTTTAGTTTTTTATGTTATGTTGTTATGTTTGTTTTTGTTTTTTATTTGTTTTATGTTGCGTCAGCCGTCAGATTATTTTTTCATGTTTTGTTATATTATTAAATTATCTTTATTTTGTAGGTATATGAGGAATATTCCTCAAAAATGTGTCACCACATGGAAGTATGAGGAACAAAAATCATTCTAGATAATCTTCTGATAATAAATGTTAGTAACTTATGCAGTGTAAAAACTAATTTTCTAACCTTTTAACTTAGTTTATGAATGTAATTCAGATAGCATAATATTTTGAGTTTCTGTTTATTAAACCAATCACCTTTGTTGTAATAACTAAAATTATTAATTTCAATGAACTCAAAATTTTAAGGCAACCAGGCAACTTCATTTTTTTTTAACAGTCTGTCTCTTATGGATAGTTATTCTTACAATTTGATATAAACCATATAGTTACAAGTCAGCTTGTGAGTATTTCATGGTTGCCGGTTGCATATTAAATATGGATTCAGAATATAAACTGCGCTATGACAGAAATGCAGGAGTGTTTTGAAGCTTGAGGACTGATGCTCCTGTCATGTTAACACCTGTTTTTTCATAATGCGCCGCAAATCTCAAACTTCAGAACAGATTCGAGCACAATTAGCAGAAGCTGCTGAAGGCAAGCGTCACTCAGTAATATCTGTGTGCAGGAGCAGTGATTGATTAATAGCTCTGCAGCGCCGCATCATTATTATTAATAACAGCAGTATTCCCGAGTCTATCTCCATCGGTTCTGTCCTGATGTCCCTGTTATCTTCAGACAGAGTTCTTGACTCTGATAATGCGGCGTCTCACACAGATGGTTGTTTCTCAGTAAAATATGTGCTGAGAATGATTGAAACTGCTGCGGAGAAATCAGATTGAAGGTAGTTTGTTTCCTGTGAGTGTTTAATTCATGGTGTAATTTTATTTTTATTTTTGTGCAGCGATGATGTGACAAACCATTTTTGGTTCCTATAAGAACCCTTCAGTTCTTCCATCTGTAATTTTATCTCTTAAAACTCACCTTTGATCACCAAGGAATAGGAAAGGAAAAAAAATTTCATGCCTTAAAATATCTTGAACGTAACTCGACACCCATGCCTCATTTAGTATGCACGGTTCTATAAATATGCAAATGAGCCCCGCCTCCGCTCAGAGATCCACTGGTTGACGATCACACGTTGATCTGATTGGTTACAAGGTCGTTTGTGACGTCAGAAACACCAGCGATTTCAAACTGTGGTTCACTGCAGTTTTAAGCAGAACATTTTTTATGATTTATGAATTTACACATGGTTTGTCTTAAAGGAGTAGTTCACTTTTCAAAAAAAGTTTTTGCTGATAATTTACTCACCCCCATGTCATCCAAGATGTCCATGTCTTTCTTTATTCAGTCGAAAAGAAAATTTTCTCCATATAATGGACTT